TTACACAGAGTGTGAGACATATTTTAAGATACTGATATGGAAAATATGTAGACTTTTGTCAGGTTTTCTTTTTATAGACTGGGAGAGGCGGCTGATAAGGCGGCTAGGGAACTCACATTGTGAGTAATTCCCATACAATGAACTAAGAGTATTCCAAGAATTTATACTTTTCTTATTTAAAAGCTTTCATAATTAAATTGACTGAGGGGAGTGAGGCTTATTAAATTACTGCAGGGCGCAAAAAAAGACAAAGGAAACCATACTGGGAGTGATAAACAAAGCCAAACACAGCTGGCCGAAAATTCATTATTATTTTGAAAAGGCAAAAACATTCACTGAAGATGTGTGTGTGAGTATATTTAAATTTTAAAATATGTATAAATATTTCTTTATTGCGACTCTATGAGCAAACTCACCGAAACACAAGATATTAAAATCCAACTGGCAGGCAACTTGAGTTAGTTCTGCTGCAAGGTTTTTCTAGGTGCCGAAGATATTCCCTGTAATTTATTCACTTTTCACCAAAACGAAGCACACACTCTCACACAACCATTGGTAAATATTTACCGCGCCGACAGCAGGCTAAATTCGAAATCGGAAAACGAGACTCACAAGTAATAATAATTATTATCAGCAGCGGCGGAACTCGTGTACCGAGAGTACTGTGGAATCCACTTAAGATTCCCAAAAAGTACTTTTGTCGACGACCCAAGTCACAAGTCAAGTCACAACAAATTGGTTAGCACAGAAGGGCACTTTATTGGTGATTACACACTGGCATTTGCCATTTGCATTTGCATTTTTGTTTGCTTTTAGCTTAAATTTGTCGAAAATTTCCCCGATGTTCCGCTTTCTCGCACTGCAAAACGCTTTATTCGAGATAATTAATTGTGTTCCAGTACGGTGATCAGACTAGGATGGGTTTCCTATGCTAGGTGGGGCCTGTTGTTGTGCTTTTGTATCTTTCAGATGCACTTACTTGGCTTTGTGCTTTTCGGGTTACACAGATTGATTGTAATTAGCTTAATACAATGTATTATATATTTTTTGATGCATTTACCATCCGTTAATATATATTTATATTATAGAGACTTTCTTGTTTTAACCGTTTTAAAACATTTCCTGTACTTGAGCTAATTTAGATACATTTGCTGTTGTTTGTATCTTTTCAGTTTGTTTTGTATCTTTCGGTTTATGGATTGTTTTGGATTACAGATATATACTCTTGTATCTTTTGTTTTTAGTTTCTTTTGTATCTTGCTGTTTGGATTGCTTTAGATTGTAGATAGTTGCATGTATTCTTGTATCTTGCACACTTTGAGCACTTGCCTAAGGGGGCCTGTTTCGAAAATAAATATCCAGCACCGAAAATAACCAAATCCAGCCGGCGCGCCGTGTTTACTTCTTCGATCGATCGATGGTTCGTTCAAAACGTGGCAGACGGACTACGATTTCGATATTGATTCCAATTCCGATTCCGATTCCGAGGAGGAGCAGTTCCAAACGCACGTGCAGAGAGTCGACGAAAGACTGAGACCAAGTCGGGTAGCGATCGCCACAAAATAGCAAAAGCGGTGCACAGTGGTATCATTTCAGTATTTTTCATTGTAAAATTAATAGCTTGTGATCGAAGTAAGACAATTGTAAAAAGGGTAATATAGTTGTTTTTAGATTTTTTAGATTTATAAAAGTCAAAATTTTTAAATACCGCTCAAAAGTCATGTTAATGTCACTTATAATTTCTTACATTATATTTTTTTGTTTTTAAAAAATTATCATAAGGAAATCAAATTAAAATTTTAAAACAAGTGACCATTAAAGAAATATTTATATATATATTAGAACTGAAAGTGAGGATCCATTAAATTTATTTTAATTCGACTTGAAACTTGATGCATATTAAGTAATTGGTTTTTTGGTAAAAAAGGTTTATCTTCTCAATTAAAGTCTGAGCTTATTGACATTTTGTATTTATCATCTTTCAGCAATTTCCTATAGTATCTGTGTTTTATATTTTACTTGTAAATCTTCTAACAGGCCCCATTGTGCGACAGCGAACGAAACTGAAGCGAATTCGCCGCAGCCGTCGAGACGCGGCGAACAAACACAAACAGAACCCAAAGCAGAGACAGCATAACGAGATACTATATACATTATGACGCGATCGGTCCCAAACATGCGGCACAAAAATTCCATCTCACACACTCTCAAGCGGAGTTTCTGAGAAATATAGTCACTAAAGTCCACCCCTTGCTGCCCGGCCCCTCCGGAGATTCAGTTCCCAAAACCTTGGTGGTGGCTTTTTACCCTTACAAATGTTTGCCGAAATGCATACCTCCGTGCCGGTGAATTCAATGAGTTCGTGACATGACTCAGAGAGAGTCACCGAGCCAAGTGAAGTTGTTTGTATGAATTAGATACACTGGAAGCGATGAGAATTTTTATCACAATAGTATATATTGTATACCAGTTAGTCATAATTATTATATATTTAGACCCATGCAGAGTATTATAATTTCAGTCAGAAGCATGCAACGCAGTGCACTAGTCATTTCCGACCCTATAAACCATATATATTCTTGATCAGCATCAAAAATTGAACCGATCTAGACATGTCCGGTCAAAAAATAAATTTTTAAAGTTTTTCCGAAAATTGAAAATTTTATAAGGGGTTACATCATTAAAATTGTCAAAATTTGACAAAAAATGGAATCTTTTAAATTTGAAAACTGAGTATGCAGATTTGTTAATCTATTAAAACTTAGCATAGAACAGCTTTCCGAATTAAAATCAATGATTTTTTGGCTTAGTTATGCATTTTTTAAACTATGATTTTCGGAGAAAATTGCCTGTTTTTATACCTTTTTGCTAGGTTTTATAATTTTATTTAAAAACTAACAATAGCATCAACAAACGCAGTATGCAGATTAAATAGTACAATAAAAACCAGCACAGAACAGCTTTCCGAATTAAAATTAATGCATTTTCGGCTTAATTATGATGTCCGAAATACTTAGATTTAAAAAAAAATTGTCTGTTTTTATACCTTTTTCGTTGGGTATAATTTATGTCAGAAGCTTGTTACGCTGTGAAGGAATCATTTCCGACCCTACAAACCATATATATTCTTGATCAGCATCAAAAGCTGAATCGATCTAGCCATGTCCGGACTAAAATTAAATTTTTGAAATTTTTTCGAAAATTTAAAATTTTATAAGGGGTTACAAAATTTTACAAAAAATTGTATTTTTCAAATGTAACAACTGAGTATTCAGATTTGTTAGCGCTAGAAATTATACGATATTTCGGTATCAGAAAATCATTCATTTTATGTATTAAAGTAATTCAGTTTAAAAACCCAATATTAAAACAAAATCTATACATGAAATATGTTCACACATATTTCCTACTTCTTTGTAAACAAAACAGCGAAAAACTTCCAAAACAAAAACCAATTTAAGTTCGATAAATCAATACATGCGAAGTATTCAAAACAATTTAAGGACAACAGCTTGTTCTGTGGCAGATTGAAAGTAGGGGACACTTCAGGGGTAATTTTTCAAACTTGTCACATTTTTTGTTGTGTCCCCACAATTTTCTACAAATATTTACCAGCTGTTGACAGTCAAGAGACAGATATAATAATTTAACAGACACACACACACACACACACCTTGGTATTAATATTTGAACAAGGAACAAATCAGAACCGGTTCCTTGGTCAAGTGCAGGCTATGCAAATATTTGGCTCACTGATCGCCAATTGGAGGCCAATAGACTTCATTAACTGGGAGCAGAGTCATATACCGAGGCCTCCAATATAAATGGGAGCTCGCTATCTGGCATTTCGAATGTTTTTATCAACGATAAGAGACGGCTCCGGATACCTGTGCATACGTATACAAATAGCTGGGAATTTGGCCTACAACCCGGCAAAGTGGGGAAATGTAACTTTATAAGGCCTTGAGGCTTTATCGAACAGTAATGTTGCCTCACCATATTGACTTTGACCAATATAGTTAGTTTCGGAGAGGAAATAACTAACATGTTCATCAGAGAGTAGCAGTAATAATAAAGTCACATTTAAAACTTTGCCCACTCACTATTAAAGTTATTAAATAAGAAATATCTAAGAAATAGGTAATCCAAATCAAATCGTAATTTCGTTCCGTAGGACAGCAATGATAAGAATGCAATTAGCATTGAAGCTAAAAATAAATGCACCACCAACCCCCCTTTTTATATCAACTTAAATTCTCAAGTGGCAATCAAATGCGGACAGCCTATTCATAGGTACCCCTTCGATCGAATTTTAATTTCAGTTGACTTAACAGATTAGCAGTGGTTAAATTTATGGGTTCTTGGCAAATATTTACCGACGGCGCTTATACCCCGGAGTTATCAAGTAATTATCGTCTATTTAAAGGCAATTATCACTCAAACATTTATAAGACTCGAGCTTTGCGCCTCGGGGTATTTAATTTTCTGCCATCGTAAATCATGCTAAAGTTTGAACTATGTATTGCGCATACGCCGTGTGTCACACGAGAGCCCCATGACAAGTCACTTGGGAGGAGTGTGCGGGTGTCTGGGACCTAAGAAAGTAACAAAAAATGGACACATGCACGAGTACTTAGATCAAATGATTTAATTAGCACTGGCCCCACCAATTGTGTTCATTTTAATTACATATATATATTTTATCAGGCCGTCAAAGCTTACGGTTTCGAGACGGCAGCAAGTCGTCGTGGCCCATGTGTCAATAAGTCAAATGATGTTAATTAATTGAGGCCGATAGCGAAATGCTCTGCATTAGACAGCCTGCCAAAAGCCACTTCACGATACACTGCCTCTCGTAATTACTTCAATCGCACTGTGACATAACCAAGATTGAGAGGAGCCCTGCCAAGCTAATTATTTGCCTCGACCATCCGCGGACAATCTCGGTGAAGTGCATTGCAATTATGACAAACGACCTCCACCATAAGGTAATTACTTACTTGGTTAAATTTCAGCACCTTTAAGTTCTATACACCGACGAAGTTCCCTCTAAGACCGATTTCCAATAGTTCGATTACCTGTCGCTGTCGGTTTTATTTCATTATTCCGAGGTATCAACGGTCATCAGATAAATCCAAATCAGTTCATATTTAAAAATAGAATATTGTCACATTCAAAAAAAGACTTTCAATTCCAAAATTAAATACCTTTATCGTTGTTTTAGCAAACTCATTGGAATAGCTCTATAGCTATATCAGCAATTAAGATAATCAAAAAAGTTTCGCCTTATGCACCGACTTAGAGTGGTTAAAGTGGTGCTGAGCTATCCGAAAGGCTATGCTACCGGGTCGGACCAGCCTTTGCTCTAACGCATCTCCATACAGCTGCACAAGTGATGGCTCCTCTTCTACGGGTTCCAGATAAGCAGATAATCCTCCGATTAGCTAAGGGGATTTAACATAAATTAAAATTTTCAATTTTCAACAAAATTAAATTCTCAAAACACACCAAGCTCTCATCGCAGTTGAGGAAACGCACTGCCTGCACATGCTCGGACCATAGACGACGCCGCCACTTGTTATCGTACTTTTGAGCCAGGGGAAGCAACACCAAAGAGCTGAACAATTCATCGCCGTAGCTGGCTGCCTCGAAGTGCTCTACAAACAGATAGTAGAGTGGCTCGAACCTAGCCTTATCCATCAGCTCCGCGTCGAATTCAAAGTCATGGGCGGCATTCTGCTCGTAGAAATCCATCAGGTAATCCCGCAGCAACTCATGCAAATCCTGCTCCAGAAACTGTGAGTCTGGGCCCATGAAGGCAATCATCAGATACATGAGCTTCTCAAACGGGCTAACAACCTGCAGGCCCTCCCGTTCCAATTCCCTCACGAACGAGAACGTCATGCGGACCACCTGGTTTTCTTTACAGAAATAAGAAGAAAACAACAACGGTGGCTAATCCCCAAAGAATTGCAAAAAAGTTTGAAGTGTGCGCCTTCTCACCTGAGTATATGGCTGCCGGTTGCTGCTGCACATTTTGCAAGTAATTGCTGAGGATAAGCCGCATCTGGAAAAAGGGCCAGTCGGCGGGCAGGATGGGTGTTTGGGTGTAACTCAAGGATAGCGATGGCTCCGAGTTGTCCTAGAGTGGAAGCGAAATTTAATATACATTTAAAAATGTATGCATTAGCTAGAGATGTGACTACGTTTTTTCCATTTTTCCATTACTTACTGCTATTATGTGGGGATATACTATCTCCAGACAAGTCTGCTGCAGCAGCTTCAGACTGGCTTCGTCCAGCTTCACATATTCTCCATTGAAGATGAATCGCTCAAAAGTGCTCTTAATCTGCGCAGCATGGGCGGTTGACAAGCAACACAGGTAATTATAGACCAACTGCAGTAGCTGCGAACGCTTCAAATATGTCTCCATTCCGTCGGTGGTCAGGAGCTGGTGGATGAACCTTAGCTCGCTGCGGGCGAAAAAGTTGGCGGCCAGGACCCGATTTAGTTGCGAACTGAGCTGCCGCAGATACTCAGCCAATGGCTCCAGCACCGCCGGTTGCATAAGTGCATCGAACAATGGACGCTTCTCGCTGCTCTCCACCGACACGGCAGCAAGCAGGGTCCAGAGATTACTCAATAGATGCACCGGATACGTCTCACTGAGAATCAGCTGCGGCCCATAGTCGTGCATCAGAACTGCGCCCACATTTGGTAACGCCGCGTGCGCGTGGCGACGATCTATGGGGCGTCTCAGCATTATGGATCCCTTGCTGGGGAAAATAGCAATTAATGGTGTGATTCAATAGGCGGTGGTGGCACCGCCCCCTGCCCTACTCACGCCAGGTCTTGGACGCTTGCAATGAAGCTGCTGGACTGCACGAATTTTGGTAAAATGCTGCGCAGAAAGGGCTGGAAGCTGTTGGGTCCTAGGTAACCATTCCGCGAGAACCAGGACACGGCATACAAGGCGGCACTCAGAAGCGTCATTTGACTAAACTGGAATTTGAAGGATATTTAAGAATTGTATTAAGGTATTATGAACTGGTTTGCAGGCTACTCACATCCTTGATCCTATCCATGCGAGTAGCCGCATGCAGCCAGCTGCAGCAGCAGTTGTTCAACGGTTCCAAGAGCAGCTTCTGTCCCTCCACGTCGCAGACCCCGCTCTCGCCGCTAGCCACAAGGGCGGCCAACAGGGCGGCTGCGTGTTGGCGCACCAGCCCCGAACCGCCCACATCGCCAAAGGCACAGTGATTGCAGTGCCAGCCCAAGAGCTGGCGAAGTGCGGGCAGAAACTGTCTGAAAATGATAGTTATTATACCTCGTCAATTGTCAGGTTATTCTATAAAAATGAGCTGCACTCCACACCCAAGCTCAGTTCGATTTTCGCAAATTTTAAAGCCGGATTCACTATGGCGTCCTGGAAGTTGGGCCTACTTCTGACACTTCTCGTCCTAACCGATTTTATTCCGGTAAACCAAGCGGTAAGTACTTAGAAGAACAGGATTGGCTGCGTAAAGACTTTAAGCGTGTCCTCTATAGGTAGAGTTCAGCTCAATGATTATAAAGCAAGCGAAAAAACTGCGCTTGCGATGCGTAAATCAAACGGGTGTCTCAGTAGGTAGGTAAGTGATACTCTTACAAAATAACTTAAAATAACAAAAGTTCATTTTTCTAAATGAAGAAATAATAGAGAAGTCAATAAGAGATAAGATTATGCCCCATAACACGGCCGTGAACTGCTTTTTACACTGCATGCTTGACATGTTTGGACTGGTTGGTAGCCCTTTCCGTTCAATCACAGTTCTTAGAAATCTGTACCCCTAAATTCCCATAGATTGACACCAAGAACGTTATGCACTTGGAAGCGCTGAATGAGATCCTGCCAGAGGAAATACACGAGACAATCAATGGACTAGTCAGCGCCTGTGGAACAAAGAGTACGTAAAAGGCTTCACCTGAATTCCTAAATGATTGCTTTCAAAAGGTCTTAGCAATTCAAGCAATTTTACTTTCATATAACAAAACCCATCTGCTTTTTAAATCATAAATTTCAACTCTTTTGACAGAGGGAAAAGATGGCTGTGAGACGGCTTATGAAACAGTCAAGTGCTATTTGGCTGTCAATGGTCAGTTTATATGGAATGAGGTGATAGTGTTGCTTGGATAGCGGGCCTACACTCACCTGAAGACATCTCTATTCACGATTCCCAGGATAAGCAGACAGCGCAGTAGCCTCAATGCTTCGATCTGAACACGCACCATCGGGCCCTGACAAAAAGATCCAGATGCAGATTTAATTGAGAGCCTTTCATATGCAATAAATGCACATCGTACCAACCTTATTGTCTTGGGAAAACAAGTATTGTTGTAACCGTGCAATTAGCACTCCCTTAGATAGAATCTTGGCGATGTCCAGATGTTGGCAGGTCAGCACTCGGATGAGTTTCAGGAACAGCGTTTGGGGCTGTCCATAAAACTGATTGTTGCCCAGCGATGGAGGCAAAAAATTAGTGAAGAGTACTTCCAAAAGATAGCTTTCATCGGCCAACTGTCGGGCCACCTTGATATTAGTTCGTGCGATTCTTATAAGCAGCTTCAGACAGGACTCCACGGTGCTATTTTCCGGTTTCACCGAGTCCAAGATAAATCTACATGAAGAAAACCATTTAAAATACGTTTTTAAGCGATAGGGGAAGTTTAGGGCTTACCTAATCCTTTGCAGTACATTTGTTCGTAGTAGACAATCTATGAGATCAGTCTCGGCCAATTGGAAGTCATCCATGGACATACGGTTTTCGGACTCATCTTCATCCACATCGGCACGCACGCTCTGACTGGTTGTCAGTAGCTTCATATAGCGCTGCAGGAAGGCAATGGAATCTGGATCGGAATCTCCGGCTTTATCTTCACCTTGACTTCCCAAGACCTGGAGCGTGGGCTGCCAGTGGCAATACGCGTTATCATGGACATGATCAAGCAATATCTCGTCCGTTTCATTATAGAATAGGTTGGCCAGGGAACGGCTCACAACCTCAAGTTGGGCGGGGGCATTGTCATCCAGGCCGTAGCGTAGCAAAAAGAATATTTTTGATATTGGCAGAGTTAGGACTTGGTCATAAAATCCCTGACTGTAAATGCTAAAAATCCCAGCCACTGCACCAAATGCAGAGATTCTTTGCTGCAACACAGTAGACCTTCAAAGGGGGTATTTAGATTAGGACTGTAGTCTAGCAAATCTTACACTTACCTTGCCAAGCGAAAGAGTTCCTGGAGAGTATAGCCCGGCCGATCGGCTTCTTCGCCGTGCAAATAGAGCTCCCGCTCATCCAACTGCCCTGGTAAGTCTGCATCCTTGAGAGTGTGAGGCAGGAGGACGCCCTTCCAATCGAAGCGTGCATTGAACTGCTGTCCGGGTTTCAGTTCCCGCATCTTGGCCGGAATATCCCGCATCCAGGCCAATTTGTGGTCCTCTACGAGATTGAAATTTACCCAATTACCCTGGTCACTCAGTTGTAAAAGTTCCAAAGCTGGGCTTGAGTCGGGAAGTGAGGTGGATGGTGCTTCGCTGGATGACTGTGTGGCTTTCGGTGGTTGTGCAGGAGCCTCAATGAGCACCGGAGATTGCTTTTTATCAACTGGTTTATCCCTAGTTTGGCGTTTCTTGGTCAGCAAGGCAATCAGAGAGGGATCTGTAAATAAAATTAAATTCAATTCAATTTATTAAACCCTCTTCGATTCGAATGCTTCTTACCCATCGAAGCCAACAATCTTTCTCGCTCAGCCAGAATATCCTGTTCACTCATTTGGTGGATTACATTAAGGTTTTCCTCATGTATTTCCTGGGCCATTTTGGAGTCTTTTACCAGGGAACTTCTATCAGTTTCTGCGGAATCCGTCTTGGCCTTTGATACTTCTGTAGCTTGTGAGCTTGCCTCTAGTATTTGGCGGCCAAATATACTGCGAGGCTTGCTAGGGATTGCCTAAAAGCATAACAATTATAAATAATAACAGAAGTTCCACTTTTTGACCAAGATTTACTCACCCGATTGGGTGCAGATGGCCTTCGTTCTCCTTCAGGTCTTTCCACAATTTCCCCCAGGACATTTTTAATGGAAGTGGCATTCATCTTCCTACCTTTTACATCGCCCAGAATGTTTTCCTGAATTTCATCCATTAATATTTGTGCGACTGGCGTTCCGGTAACTTCTGGCGGGACACTTGTTGACTGTACTTTTACTTCTTCAGCTGGCAGAGCATTCTCCTCCTGTTGTTTCTCTGGAACCGATGTAACACGTCCAAGCTTTGCCTGCTCTCGTCTCTGGGCAAACATTGACTTTTTGGGAGCTACACAATGGATAAATATTAAATAAACATGTGTTTCTTAAAAACAAGCAGTTCTGTACCTCTGTCTGCACGCACAAAAGCCGCCGCCGGTTGGAAGCCAGGATTCTTTGCTCTTTCGGCGTTGAACTCGGCAGACATCCGCAGGATATCATCCTCACTTTCACCGGGCTTTAGTTTTTTAAACATTTTCGCGAACAAATCATGAAATAGTTTCAAAACAAATGAGGGCCTGTGCGGCCAGTGTGACCACTCGCCATTAAAGTAAGAATACCACAGAAAGAACTTTGTTTGGGCAGTTGGCGGTAAAAATACCACAAATTATTTTAAAAATTTATAATTCAAATTAGGTTTTATCATCACAAAAATATAACTCTTTTCAAATAGAATAATAATTTAATATATCAATTTACGTTTCGCCTGTTTTGCTATAGGAAAAAATGATTTATTTAAATATATTAATTTCATTGTTTAATTTGTATTCAAGTAGAAAAAACGATTTAATAATACATGCACGACAGATATGCCCGAATTCTGGGGAAGACCCTACTTCTTGAAGGTGGTGCCGGTGTCTGCAAGGCATTTCTGGAGCGATTGCTGCGCCACGAGAGTGTCTTTGTGTGGAAGAGCAGCCACCTGGAAGAACATCTCGATGCCCTCCTTGAAAAGCTCGATGGCCTCTGAAGTTTTCTGGGCCTCCATGGCCCGGGCGGCCTCCCGATACAGTTCCTCGGTCTTTATCAACCTGACGACACTCTCCTTGAGGGATATATTCTTGCGGCAACGCGGGCACCGCACGTCCTTGGACAAATCCTTGGGGAACTTTAGCAAGTTAACACAGTTGGCCGAAGTGCACCTGAAAAAAAACATGGGAGAAAAATTAAAATATATTCTGTATTTCCTTTTCATACAGATGTACACACCAAAAGCGGACTTGCTTGTCTAGTTTCTGGAGCAGGGGCCAGTTCTCCTGACAGGCCATGCAACTGCAGCTAAACGAGTAGCGTCCTCGCAAGGAGCGCTGGCGATCCTTGAGATTCATTTGAATGAATATGGGACCGTAGTTTACTGCCACAACTTCGTTGGGACGATGCGGCTTGGTGGCCGTAAGAACCAGCTTCTTTCCCACGAAGTGACTAGCAACACTAAAATCGATGGTTTAATACGGTTTGAAAAGATGTAAAATAATGGTATACCCATATTAATGCTTAAACATACATAACGCACTCTTAATTTCAAATATAATTTCTTGAAAAATAACCCTATAACATTTTAAACTGCATTAGCAATCAATTTCAATTAGGTTCAACACTGCGGATGAGTAATATAACGACGTAATCTTATAAGGCTTTGAAAACTTAAACTTACCTGGGCCAGCACTCGTGATTAAAGTAGGAACCAGTGCCATATAGTCCAGCGGCCACAAACACCGTCCTGCTGCCATCGAAGCGGAGCTCCTCGGTCACCTGGGTCTGATATATCTGATGGGCGTTGTATTGTAGCACCTGGAGCAGACCTAACAGAGCGGTGGCCACCTGCAGCTCCACGGCCGTGGGATTGACGCCCTCCGTTTTCCGCCGGCCAAAGTACAGAGCCTTCTGCAAGATGCGCATCAGGAACCCAGCCATTAGGGAGCGCTGAAGGTAATCCTCCGGCTGGCGCTCGTCCTCATGGGAACACAGGTGTTCGAATAGCAGATTTGCCGTGGCCAAACCTTCCTCAAGGTTGGGTGCTTGTGTAAAGACGCGCAGTGCAATGAAGCATAGGATGGACATTCCGGAACCAATCAAAAGATCCATAAACTCGCACTCGAAGCGATGGTAGCTGGAGCAGGCCTCTCCCATGCACTGAGCAGAGCAGAAGGCAACTCCCGAGCAGTGTAGACAGGACACCGGCGTGTGCAGCCTGTAATTGTCAAATTAATACTTAATTATGCAAATCCATTTCTACAGAACTTACCTTTTGAAGCAGTGATGACAGTTTGTGCCAAAGAAACTGGGTATCAGGCAGGCGGCCACTGGCTCCTCACAGAGCACCACATCTCCTGTTGTCAGACCCTCGGCAGCCACCACAAAACGACCCTTATCCTTGGTCTCCACTAACTTGACCACCTTGGCTGCTCCACTCAGCTCCGGATTCTCTCCATGCGTCAACTGGGGCACCTGTCCTGTGTGGTTTTCTTTGGGCACCACCTTCGCAGCAGCTATTTCCTTGCGACATAGGGCGATGTGAGTGGGATCGGAACCAGTCATCTTTTCAGCTATCTTGAGCGAGATCTCAGCCCGTGCCGGTTCTCCCATGACTAAAACGATTTCATTTAGTTTTGCTTTCTGATAGATATTTACCAGTAACTCACCGGCATAAGCCTTGGCCATCTTGCAGTAGTAGTCCACACTGGACTTCAGCTCCAGTCCAAAGTTTGTTGCCAATTTTAGGTCACTGAGAGCAGCCTCACCTTCGCCCAGCCGAATGAGAATGGAGGCTCTCGATCTGTAGGCCAATGCCAGGGTGAGTCCATCATCGATGGTGGGATCCGCATTCCGGTCCGGTGCCCGCATTACGGCAAGATTGGCAGCGAGCAGCGCTTGCTGCAGTAGCTCCCTGCTGCTCTCCTCCGCCTCGCTGCCACTCATCAGGTAGAACTTATCCGCCTGAGCACGTCGCTGGGCGGAGAAAAGTGCATCCTTCTGCTTGAAGACCGGTTGGACATGCTCCAGAACACCCAGCACCGGATCGCACACCTCGCGGTCACTGAAGATGGACAGCACTCGAGCTGCATTGGACTTCAGCTTGCCGAAGTAGTTGCGCAGCCACTTGTCGCCACATGCCTCGCGCACATCCACACAGAACTCATTGAAGAAACCCTTCTTCTCCGACTGGACGGTCTGCGTCGAACAGATCTGGTGATAGGCATCGAACTCCATTTTTTCCTGCTCCAATTATGTAAAATCCAATTCAATATTGTAATAAAATCAAGACCGTCCGCGTTTTCCGATCACCTCTGCGTCGAAGAGTATTGAAAACAGCTGGCGGTGGACGACGATCCTCCAAAAATAGCCACCGGATGGTTCAGTTCGCCGCAATATAAATACTCGCATCTAAATCTTGAACTAGAACCAGCAGTCATCGGTGTTCACTTTCGATATAACTTTTACAGTTCTTTAAATAATTTTATCTAATTTGAATCAACGCAATCTTTAATTATTATTGAATTTCGTTTTTAGTTTTATGAAAATCGGAATACTATATAATATATGTAACTGCCAGAGAAACGGTTATTAAATGTAATGGATCAGAAGTATCTTTCAACTGTAGGTAAGTAAGAACAGTAAGTAGGTATAATAAGTAATTAACAATGATCAGTAATTAACTATGAACATTAAGTAAATCTGAACAGTAAGTATCTATGGACAGTAAGTAAATATGATCCTTAAGTAACTATGACCAGCAAGTAACTCTGATCAGTAAGTAAGAATGAAAATTAAGTAACTCTGACAAGAAAGTATCTATGACCAGTAAGTAACCATATCAGTAAGTATCTAAAGCATCTAAAAGTATGAGTAAGTATCTAAGTATGTAAAGGGGACCATGGAAATAAATAAATAATAATAATAATAATAAATTGAAATATAAAGTCTAGAGCTAGGCCTGATCCCACCAACAGCATCCTACATAATATAAATGTCATGGTTAAGACTTACCGCAGTAAAGGACACGTCATAGCTTACTTCCTTCCGGTGTTGTGACCAAGAATGGTCACTTCATCCAAGAGATCTTCTTCCAGGTCATCCAGATGTTTTGCATTGGCCACGTCATATTTTTGAGTTCGAAGGCTGATCACTTGCACTATCACTGCCGATGTAAACACTAGGTACCCCTAGGACAGACTGAGGCGCGCGTGACCTCAGCGCCTCTATTTATAGTCCCCGGGGAAAGAGAAGAGAAGAGAAAGTGAGTGTGAGTGCGCGGGAGAGAAGTTGCCTCTAGAGATTAACATAGAGAGAGGGGGGAGAGGCAAAGAGAAACTTAGAGCTATTTAATCTAACTATAATCAATAAGTAACTCTGATCAGCAAGTATCAACGAACATTAAGTAACTCTGAACAGTAAGTATCTATGGAGAGTAAGTATCTATGGCCAGTAAGTAACTATGATCAGTAAGTAAGTATGAGCCGTGAATAACTATGAGCAGGAAGTAACTCTGAACAGTAATTATCTATAACAACTAAGTAACTACCAGTAAGTTTCTTGACCAGTAAGTAACTATATCAGTAAGTATCTAAAGCATATAAAATTATGAGTAAGTATCTAAGTATGTAAAGGGGACTATGGAAATAAGGAAATAAATTGGAATATAAAGCCATAATATAAATGTCCTGGTTAAGACTTACCGCAGTAAAGGACACGTCATTGCTTACTACCTTCCAATGTAGTGACCAAGAATGGTGACTTCATCCAAGAGATCTTCTTCCTGGTCATCAAGATGTTTTGCATTGGCCACGTCATATTTTTGAGTTCGAAGGCTGATCACTTGCACTATCACTGCCGATGTAAACACTAGGTACCCCTAGGACAGACTGAGGCGCGCGCGACCTCAGCGCCTCTATTTATAGTCCCCGGGGAAAGAGAAGAGAAGAGAAAGTGAGTGTGAGTGCGCGGGAGAGGAGTTGCCTCTAGAGATTAACATAAAGCGGTAGCCATAGAGAGAGAGGGGGAGAGGCAGAGAGAAACAGCGAGCTATTTAATCTACCTATAATCAATAAGTAACTATGAGCAGTAAATAACTCTGATCAGCAAGTATCAACGAACATTAAGTAACTATGAGCAGTAAGTATCTATGCCCAGTAATTATGTATGATCAGTTACTCACTTTGAACACTTATAAACAATGACTTGCAACTTTTGTAACACAACACATATCTGAGACTTGGCCGGCAGCAGTCACTTCGTTCCGGGGACGATAGAACCATTTGGGAATCATATGCACAGATGTGCGAGATGTGTTTTGGAACAAAGAGTAAGCTATTTGAATGAAACTATGGAGTTATTCTTCTATATAATTTTACTAGTATATAAATCGGAGCATGGCAAATCGGTGGATTATATATATACATATGTATAGCTGCCATAGGAACGATCGGAAAATTTAAAGAAAAATTATAACTTTTCCAGTTTTTAACACATTTTCATCAAATTTGATATATAGCCATTATGTATTAATCTAGAGTTTTGTGTAAAATCGGACTACTATATCATACAAACGATCGTTAAAAGAGGAAAATGCTAAAAAATTAAAGAAGGCATTACATTATTGTTTTAGAACATAAATATATATAATTTATATTGTACTAATTCCTAGTGATCGAATTTCAATCTGCAAGGGTACTGAAAATGCAAGCCATCAGTTATAATATTAAATTTTATTTGTAACTGGAATCGGGCTTATTAATCACATTAAATAATTTATTTAAAAATTAGCTAAACGTACAAAAATATAACAATATGTATGTATATCCGAGTATTTTCATAGTTATATATTCATAGTTAAATATTTAAGAATACATATTCAAGTTTTAGAGTTTATTTTTAGTTTAAATTTAAATTTATAAATATATTTCTCGTGGACTAGATAGACTTTGTTAAGATGCTTATCTTCTTGGAAAGAGTTTTGAACTTAACAATCCGATTTAATGGAAATTATATTCCGACGTGGGATCCTGTGGAAATGAGATATATAAAACTAAAGGAAATTATAAAACAATATTTGTGTTTAAAGTTCATTTTAATTATTGTATTTATTTGCTCGAAAAATGGTTGCATGATTTTCAGTGATCAACTTCATTTAAATGGGTAAAAAATGGTTCTAATGATAGGGTGTGTTTAAAATGCGGTACATAGTTTAGGAAAATGAAAAATCATATTTAAAGAGTCAGTATTTTCACTAGACGTACAAAAATTCAATTGGCTAATTAAGAGTAGGGTACAAATGATACATACATACTTTTAAATTCAATATTATTACAATGTATAAAATAGGATTGAACTTAGGACTGGTCGGGTTTAGATTCTCATGATATATATAAATAAATTACATGGTGTGTGGAGGATGTTTCTCGCTCGTTTCTTCTTGTTTTCTTTGTTAGCTTTAGTCACAATTAATCTCGTTGGCTTTCTTTTTGCGTTGCGATACGATCTAGGAGAAAATGTTACTAAACTTAACAAATAAAATGCTACAAAAGTTCAGCCTCGCCGCCGACAGCTCCGAAGCGTACAAGTCGGTATTATAGTAGGTATATATGTATATATGTGTATATTATTAACTATTATCATCACATTGTAAACGTTAAGTGTTTCTCATTATTTTGTGTAATCCATTAATCTATGCAGAAACGAGTACATCGTCGTGTTTAATGTCTTTTGTGTGTACACAAGCTTAAAACGCTGCCGAATTCGCTGATCTCTGATTTCCCTGGCCTTTCGCTCACTCTGATTTCTAATTTTTGCCTTCGAAAGCCGTCGGATGGGACAGACTAGGAGCCCGTTCCGCCGTTTTTGGTATGTGTGTTTAGCACTGCGAGCAGTTTGCTGGCCACATAGCCTACGTACAAATGTAAATAAATTAGCACTTATGAGTTAGGTCGCCGGATAGCCTAAGAAATGTGTTGAGGGACTCTTGCTCGCGTCTTCCATAACATTTTCTCGCATTTACAAATAAATTAGCCGTAGTATCACTTATTTTTGTATTTTAAGAAAATAACCAAACTAATTTAACTATAAATTAAAAAAGGATTAACCCAGAACATGGAAGAGGCCTGTTTTTCTTCTCTTTACACTTAAGGAAAGCAGCTGCACGAGTCTGTCTCGATGCGGCAGAGAGCGGAGAGAGTGGCAGGTGGCGCCGCCCGACTTAGTCTACCTCTACTACTATACAAAATGGAGGAGCACAGCGACAGCCACGGCGCCAGCACCAATCGCATCGCCGAAGGCAGCCCGATCCGCCCTGCAGAGCGGGGCCGCACCGGACGGTGCGATGGGCTTTGGGCCGAGCCGTGTTAACCTGATCGGATCGATATATGGGAGAGGAGCAGACATCTCACGACATCTTGATGCCCAGCGCACGACTCGTGTATTCGTAGACCACGTAGCTGATGGACACCGCCGGCAGCACCTTGAGGAAGTTGGGCGTAATGCCGCGATACAGCCCCGTCAGACCCTCCTGTCGCACAATCTTGCGGAACAGGCCCGTCATCGTCTCCTCGCCGCTATGCGCATCGCTGCTCTTCAGGGGAATCTGCGTCTTCCGCTTTTGATTGGCAATCGTTTCGGCGGCTGTAAATGCAAATGCAAGTGCGTGAAATTAGTTAATAGAAATTTAAGAAAACAAATGTAAAAGAAACCTCAGTAATTAACTTGCATTATGCTTGAATCAACTGAGCAAACTAATAATAAATGTAATATAAAACTTTATTCATTGCTCACCTTGTGCCTGTAGCCGAGTGCGCACCAGCGCCAGCGGGTAGGAGCAGAGCTGTCCAAGTGCACTCGATGTACTGCCGCATGCCAGGAGCACCAAAAAGCTGGGCTGCTCATTGTTGTCGTGACTGGCAATGTATCTCCGCTTTAGGGTCTCATACACAGCCAGATCGATGCCGGCATAAGGCAGGATACCCAGTATATTGGGCACGTAGCCACGATAGAAACTCCGCGCTCCCTCGTGTTTGTAGATCTTTGCTGCCGCATCGGCAATGCCGGCATACTGCCCCGTCTTCCGTAGCGCCAGGCGCGTCTTTAATACTTCCATGGGATAAATGATGGTCTGGGAAATGCCACCTGCCGCAGCGCCAGCGTAGAAACGTTCCACGATGCTCATCTGCCGGCTGGCGTCATCTCCGCGGATCAGACGCTTCATTTGCTCGTAGGCGGCAAACTTCAGTGCCGTTTCGGGGGCAATTTTCAACACATTGATGCCATTGCCACGCCACATACTCCGCGATCCACCTTCCTTCAGCATGATTTGCATGCACTCTGAGATTCCCATTCTTTGCGTTTGTACCTATGAGGTTGGTAAAGCTGTTTTAGTAGGAGTTCTAACAAAAGGTTATAAGTTCTCTGGATGCTCACCTGCAAGTACACTTTGATCCTATCCAGTGGGGCTGTACACGTTCTGGAAACAGCACCAGCTATGCCACCAGCCACCAAGTGTCGCCACCAGAGGCCCGTCTGCATCTCTTTCTGTGTGAAGTCATCAGGTACATTCATATCCTCGCCAATGTCGAGGTACTGCAAGGATCAAAAGAGCGAATGGTTAGAATATCTGTTGGATTTTATTACGTTTCAATATCCACATCTATGCTTATTACGCTAAGCTAATTGAATGGAATGAGGAGGCTACAGAGGAATATTTGTGAGATATGATTAACCTTGAATTGCATTCATTATTCTACATGAAAGGGGAAAAAACTATTGCAAAGAATGTGCCTTTCCCTTTCCCTTTCCCAATGATTAAGAACCTTTGGCGCCATAATTGGACTCTCCTCTCTTTCCCAAGAATAAGCGCCACGCCACGCAACTGCAGTTGGTGCTGTAATACTAAAATAAAAAAATAGATGCACCAGACGCAAGAATGATGTGATAGCCACACACATGCGCCCCGCCAATCCTCACGAGAATTGCGGAAGCGGGCTATGTGCGGGCAGCCGTAAACAAAGGTTATATCATACACCTTAGTTTCCCTGCTCGTGCAACTATATAAACACATATGTATATATCTCAGGTTCGTGCCTCTCGTATATACTTAATTTTCGCGATTTCTGTTCTTTTACTCTCTACAGACGTGCCCTCAACCCAACCCCGAAAATAATTGGCTCGCCTCGCGTCTCTCCCCAATTGGTTGTGCAATTTGGCAGCGGATCTCCTTTCAAAACTAACGCAGCCAAAGCGAAATATTAATTATTTTGATGAATTGACCAGCTTTGGGCTTTCGCTGGACGATTTAAATCGAATTATGGCCGCTGATAGCCTGAAAGCTGTCTGGAAATTGATAACAATTATCAGGTCTTGTGATGTCTAAAGCTTTTCGCGCGAGCAAAGACTGAACTGAATCCCAACGAATGGCCGTAGGAGAGTTTTAAAGAAATCCCACCCAGAGTCTTGAAAAGGTTATTACACTTTTCCACCCCCAGCCAAGGTAAAAGTAGTTAAACGATTTGTTTATCTCTCTATTCAGCGGAGCAAGAAATATCTAGTAAATCCCGGTAAACACATCCGCTCTTGGGAAGTGCCAAATCATTTTGCGTGTTTGTCACATTCGCACGGTGACAATATTTTGGCGACTCTCTCAGAATGTGAGACTTTAACCTCTGATGAGATGGCGGGGTCACGTTCCCTGAATGTTTTCAGTGTACTTGGCAACTTTAAGCTAGTCTCAGACCTCAGTTTGCACTCGTAATTAGCGATTAGCAATCACATGGCAGCCCATTGAGCGACTTGTGGGAATTAGTTTGGTCAATTAACAAAATGGAATATTAATCCGACGCAAAAAAAAAGTGCTATGGAAATTTTTCACGGAATGTAAATTGGCTGGCGGCAAGTGCAACGTCATTCCCCAATGGAATTTATCATTTCCGAATTACTGGCTATATAAGAATATATATATCTCTACAGTCACATGACTGCGAAAAGAGCTTTCTTTTCATTCTATTTATTTTATATTTATTTATAGCATAGCCGTGAATTTTGGCGCACCAACGTGGAAATGGCCATGAAAGTATCCCTCCGTCCGTCCAAATGGCAGGTTAACAAACGATTAAGGTTTCCCCGGGGTGGAGTTTACCGATCCATGAATAACTTGTACTGATCGTGGGCATTTACTCGCCTCGGCTAACACCATAGCAATTTCAAGGCGAACACGCTTGAATGGTCAATCAAGTAAACCGGAGATATGAAGGCAATCGGGGCCAAGGGAGTTACACTAGATTTAGGGGGGTTTCCAAGATATACATATCTATATATATGTGCATATGGAGCTGGGGAGTGGATCACCGACCGACCGATGAACTTGACTCATCACCAGCAGAATGATTCGCAGCAGCGATCTTGACGGGGGTTAAATCCCCAAACAGACAACGACGTCAGCGAGTTTTGAATAAACAGCACAACAGTGTAATGTAAATATCAACTTGTTTATAAAGAGAGCAAAAACTTTTGACGTCACGGCAATTGTGGGGGCTTGACCAAGTGGCCAAAAGTGAGGGCGAGGCATTTGCGAAGGGGGTCACATGCCGGTGACTCAGTGCGTATACTTGTTACACTCTGACGCCGTAACACACATACGCAGTGTTGGCCAAGAGCAAAAGTCGTGACGCTTGGCAACCACTAGCTAGGAGGGAAGGGAACCTACAAGACCAAGAGAGCAGGCCAGGAGAGCACATAATGTGTGCGAGAGCCACATGTGTGTATTTGTGTGTGAAGTATGTCGTCTTCGCCGATCATCGGAGCCAAAGACTGAGTGCGGTGAGGACGGGGACCGGTTCCCTATCAGCACGTCACCCGTCGGAGCTCGTTTTAGACCGTTGCCGCCGCTGTTGCTAGGCGATTTTTTTTTTTGTGCTCTGTTCATGGGGCAACTTTAAATTGAAAAAAAAAAAACCAAACCAAACCAAACCGCGACGAAGGCGCACATAATGAAATATTGTGTAAGTACAAGTGCAGTGCGAGCACAATTGCAACAGCTGCAAAGTACAAAAAAAACGGATTGGAATTTCAATCGATGCCATTTCAAAGGGTATTTATAGAAAGCACAAAAGAAAAAGAGATCCGGAAGGGATTAACTCTTTTATTTCTTTAAACAATTATTTCTTGGCAAATTAATCCAATATAATATTGATTTTTCTGTGTTATTGGGTCTTAATCACTTGAAACAATGTGCCTGCCCCCACATGGAGATCCCCATTGAACAAGTTCTAGGTAAAACCACAGACGATAAGATAAGCCCACAGCCAATAAATGGCCAATGAGTCAGCATCCGCTGCAGCCTAAACCATATTAAGTAAGTATTGGCGGGTTCCTGGAACCCTGAGGAAGCCATAAGGAGGCCGAAATGAAACCTACCCGTCCCATCATATCACGGAATATGATCACGAAATCCTCCATCATGTCGCCAGCGACTGCCATCTGCTGGATGTTGTGGTAATCAACTGGCAGATTGTACTGATATGTGCTATTCCGCAGCATCTTGTCCAGATTGCACTGTTGCACTTCTTCCGATTTCAAACTATGTTTTCCGTTTCCGCTAATTTTGGCGCCGGAATGTGGCTTTCACTCACTGTCCGTTCGTTTCGGGGAAACAATTGCAAACTTTCACTCGAAGCCGTTACAAAATATGTGCACAGCTCGCTTTTCAGTATGTTTTTCTTCTTTTTATTAAAATGTGATTTGTTGGTTGTCAGCACTCTCGATGCTGTGTTGTGGCCTTTAAACGCGGCTAGACTTTGTCCGATGCGCTTGATGGCGAATTGTGTTTACACTTGTCGCGTAAAGAGAACGGCTCAATTATATAACAACGCTCCAGTGCGGAGGAGGCGCTTTTATATTTGGGGGCCTGAGGGGTTACGACGCGCGCACAACCAACGCGGGAGCCAGCTGATAGGAGACTGAATCCGGGCCAGCGAGCCGACCACGTCGAGAGCTGAGAGAGCCGAAAGCGTCGTCGCCGATCGCCGAGGCCGAAGCTTCGCGATATCGCCCCAAGAGCAAAGTGCACCCATCGTGCCACTCACTCTCCCTCTCTCCTCTCTCCTCTATCGCTCTCTGTATATAGCATTATGCCTCCCATTCCTCCCCTCTCTGCCACGCTCTTGGTGGGACCGCGCGTGTCGGCCTCTGAACAACCCCTACCAAAGAAACTATAGCCCAGAAGCGGCTTCTTCCCAATTAGCTATCATCATTGTTTGGGACTGTTTTTGACACTTATTCCCCCATAGCTTGCCAATGCCCTTTCATATGGCCCATGCCCTTCAACTTGACTACTTGACATCCCCCGAAATACTAAACAAAGGAACGTCTGGCTGTGAGGGTTCGAAGGAAGAGTACCCTAAATCTATATCAGTAATATAAGCAATATATTTTAGAACGTTGTGCCACTCTGTGTGCTAAAAAAAATAAAAAGACTTTCGAACTCTGAGGAATTTTGATCCTTTTTTAATATTGTTATGGAAAACATTCCCAGCTCTTTAAGTTTCTTGTAATTCCCAAGAGAGTCTTCAATTACAATTCTTTTAACTGAACTGTTTATACGATTCTGGTAGCAAATTCTTCCTTTTTCCCTACTTAAACCCCGACTTACCCTACATATCCAGTAATGGATAACAAAACTAGCTAATAAATGATAACTTCAGTCAATGGGCCAGACACTTTAGGCATTTATTTGGCTGTTATTGTTAACACCCATCAAATCTTTATCACAGAGTGATATTTCGCATAGCAAAACCGGATCGCACCGATTTCGCACCATCTCAAGGGTCTGCCAGCCAGCAAACGAGCGGGTTGATTAGCCACATGACGGGCGTGTGACTTTATTAGCTTCACGTTTGAATGACGCTCTCCCAACCAGCGACGATCTTTATTGTGTTTACAAACGGTGGAAACTTTTCCCCCTACATTAACCACGATTACCAAGCATACGTCACACGTGTAAATAAGGTCGGTTCGGGAGATTTTTGCGCGTGTCGTCAACAGAAAACACATTCCAAAATTTCAAATAAAAATATGAAAAAAAAATAGAAATGGCACTAATGTTATCAAAAAGAATACATTGGAATAACAAGCTAGTCACTGGAAACTGAGCGCTGACCACACCGAGATAAGCCACAAAAACGTTCTAGGGAAAACCGCAGACAGACAGACACACCCATTTCTAGGGGCAGGCCCCTGTGTGTGATACCTTAACAAGCTGGAATTAATTTACGATACCCAATAAATGGATGTGGTTAAATGGTTAAACTGCACCGGGAGCTTTCAATTGCCTACTTAACGAGCCCCCTTTGGCATTAAATTGCCATGTATTTGACGCAGTAGAAATGTCTGTGATAAACAACAAATTCCCCGAAACACTTGGATTATATGAACACACACATCATGTTACGAATATAGTTAGTTGTCCAAGTCCCGGTTTGAGTGTCTCCATTAGGGTTTGCACAACAGAGATTATACAATATTTAACTGGAATGTTTACTTTCGAGTAACTTTAAGTAGAAATCAATCCCGAGTTCTGCTTCTCGAAAAGTGTCGCAACAGTTACAACTTCTAGACGCCGGACTTTGGCCAAGAGTGATTGTATTCCGCGTAAATATTTTTTTGCAAATAACTAACAAACAAAGCAAGTGTACTGGGTCTTATCGACGCGTAAATGCGTTCAATCTCTAGACGAATCAATCATCGTATTGGAGGCAACTTAATTATAGCACCAACTTAATTAAAGCCCAGTTAGTTAGTGCGCAGGCTTCGGTCGTCTTGGACTGCCCCGTTCATTAGGTTAATGCAATAAGGTGGCTCTATTCCGGACCCGTATCCTTGCAAGTTGGCTAAAAATAGCGTAGGAACGGTACCTGACTTACTGGTTGCCAGTCACTTAAAAGTACGTCAGAGGCAATGAACCGGCTCCCGACAGAGCTCGCCATATACAATCTTGGCTTGGCAACAAATCCCCCTGGAGCCGGTCGACCTTAAGATTTCAACTTCTGCTGGCAGACGACAAGAAAACAAAGCATCAGACACAGCAAAAAAATGAAAGTCCCAATACTACTACTGATAATCGGAAATTATAAAAAGCTGTTCCAGCTACTGCGAGGGATTCCTCGAAATATAGTAAGTATACAACACAGTGGCATTCGGTATATGTGATTTTTCCAGTTACATGAAATTGATATAAATTGTTAAAATTAACAGTGACAGAGCAAAAGATGATAAAAGTAAACAAAATGATTACGCAGACAACAAAGCATGCTCGGTGGCATCGTCACCTGCCCCGGCGGCACACTGAAAGAAATCTAACCACAAGAAATCTTGATTTTTATACCCTTGCAGTCAGAAGAATGAAACGCCGTGAAGGATTCGTTTGCGACCCTTTAAACCATACATATTATTGATCAGAATCGAAAACTGAATCGATCTAGCCATGTGCGGTGGAAAAATAAAATTTTTCAAAAATTCAAAAAACGATAAGGGTTACATCGTTAAAATTGTCAAAATTTTTCAAAAAATCGTATTTTTTAAATTGTAAATTTCAGTACGCAGTTTTGTTAGCACTATAAAAACTAGCACAGAAACGCAATTAAAATTAATGAATTTTCGGCTTAGTTATGACATTTGAAAAACTTATATTTACCCCAAAAGTTAGCAAATAAAAAAAGAATTAATATAACTAGAAAAAATATATTTTAAGTTCTGTTGGAGGTATACGAATGCCACGAAAAACAAATGATATATATATTTCGATTTGCAATTAAAATCTTAAGACAAAAAGGTAAAATATAACTGCATTTATCAAAGTTTTTTAAAGAGGAAACGGTGATAAAGAGTGTTAAAAGTTCAAAAAATTTAAGTTTTTTTATATTAAACCCCAATTTGCGCTGATATCCTAATAAAAGTCAACACAGAAGTTAGGTTCCGTTCTTGTTAAAATAAAAAATATATAAAAATAAATATATTAGGAAATGCTACTATTGGTAAGCTTAAAAGGCTCTACAAGTCAAATATATTTTCAAAGTATTTTGTTTGTTTGTATATATTTCGTACTTGCTTGCTTCTGTGTTTGGTGAATTTGAACATTGTAACCGTTTAACAAAAGATTTCAACATTAAGTTTGAATACAGATTAAATGGAGACTGGAACATTAATTTTGGAAATTAAAACGTCAACGTAAGCATTGAAATATAGCTTCTATTAGTACAGTAGATATTTGATTCTAAAAGTGGACAGAATTGTCTACAAATTACATTCGTTTACGTTCTGTCAATATTTTTCGAACTAGTGAGTCAGGAATCTGGGCACCCCTGCTCAAAAATTTCTGACTCTGATCATATCATATTTTTATTTTTTCCCGTGCAACGAAAATGCTGGATCTTTATGACTACTGAAAATTATCCCGATAAGAGGGCCGGAATGATATCAAACTGCGGACTCCCCATAAAATGATACTTTAAACTGTCTGATGAAATACGCTCGACGTTTACGTCAGGCGCCGACTAAGAGAATGACTAAAGAGAGCGAGAAAAGCTTTCACTCTTAAGCGTTTCACTTCACTCTCTCTCACACAGAGAGATAACCACAACAACTAAAATGATATACATGCAGGCAATACAATAATATATGCGGCTGATTAGCGGATAGCAAATGGAACTGAGATGATAAAGCCATTCTAGGTGGGTGGGATGGGTGTGTTCGACATGGTGTCCGGGCGTATGTACGTTTGTGTTTAATTTTCTTTTTCGAAAGTGCCCTGCAACTACGTGAGGGACTACAGCAATATTAATGGTAATCGTAATATGTAACTTGGCGGATATGTACCTTCAGATCTTCCTCAGTTAGTCAGGAGTAGTGTGGGTGTAGGTACTACATTCGACAGTATATATCGTATGTGGAGTGTGGAGTGGTTTTTTGTTATTGATTTTGTTTGTTTGGTTATGGACGAGGATAAGAGGGGAAAAGTTTGGCAATTAGTTTAAAAATACGAGAACGTTAAACAGCTACAAAACAGGAACAAGACGACTCTAGGTAGAAACAAACGCGGCAGACGGAAAAAGCTATATCAGATCCGCTTTTAAACTTAATAACTTGCACTAAGTCCTATTCCTACTGTAGGTTTAGCAGCTTCTAATACTTACAGTAGAGTGCCGCCAAAATTTAATCAAGTCGTGTATGTCCGTTGAGGGCGCCAGGAGCATAAAGTCGCGCCACTCGTTAAAGCTAATGTTCAGGCTGCCGTCCTTATCCATTCTGAAATTAGTTTATCTAAAGTTAGCCACTTTCAATTCAAGTTTGTGGACATAATTCCAACCTGGTCAGCAGATTCCTAGCCTCGTCCAAGTCAATTTCCAGACCTAGGTCCTTGAAAGCGGAAATCAGTTCCTCCAAGTCCACTTTGCCTGGAAATAATTTGCAATTTAATAAGTTTGTGACTAATAAATAGCCTTGGCTTAAACTCACCATCACGGTTTTTGTCTAGATGCGAGAACTGCAGAACCAGGTTCTTCTCGTGCTCCCGCACGTAATGCAGGAACTCGGCAAATCCCACGTTGCCACTTTGGTCCTTGTCCGACTGCTGAAGGAATTTCTGTGCGTGGAAAATAAGTGCGGAATATTACTAACACGGAATATTACTGGAAAATTAGTGTCACACACTGGCGAGGTTGTCGCGAAATGAGGCTTTGACAGACTGTCATTAAGACACAAATCAATTTCCCTGTATCACGAGGGCTTCGCTCAGGGGAAACCATAGGAAATTTGCGCATTTGTCTGCACATTAACCTTTTGTATTACAAGCTAATCCATTTCTGATTGCCTTTTTTCTATTGGTAGCCAATACTTGTTGCATGCCATTTCACAATGTTATGTTTTGGGTAAATTAAAATAAGCATTTCGTAATGTTTTCTAGAATAAATATGACTCTATTTGATAACTAAAGGAAATGCGATTTGACGTATAGCAAAATTATCATTATAATATTAGCAGTTTCGAAAAGATTTTCTACATAGATTTCGAGGGTTAAGTTAGGCAGACCTTGCAAAATGCCTTGCCCAGATCAGGGCATTCTAATAATGTACATCGAATAAATTAAGATTCACCAAGATACAACACACGGCTGTCAAGGCCGCATATTATTGATCTCTGTTGTATTCGTTGTTTCGCTCTCTAAAGAATGACCAAACAAAAGCATTGCAATTCCCCCGACAGAATGGCGAGACCCGGGCAAGCACATGTGGCCAACTTATGGTAGGTGTAGAGAACCCCGCACTCACCTCCGCATAGACGCTCGACAGGCCAAACTCGTGCAGGGCCGCCGACAGGTCGTGGATGTCGATCCGGCCATCACCGTCGCGATCCAGCTGCTTGAAGATGCGTTCGAGCCGCTCCTCGTCCTCGATGGGTATCTCCACTGGCAGGATGGTGCCGGAGTTGGCGACCGTGTTCGGCGGCGACACGGTGTGATGGGTATACGGCATGGTGGCGAGGTGCGCATGCTGCAGGCTATAGTTTCTGGAGCTACCGGGAGCGTGCTCATAGCTGGTGGCAAGGGTGCGGGCGGTGGCGTACGTGGCCTGCGCCTGTTGGGCGTAGTTGTAGCTACTACTCGGTTCCAAGTCCAAGTCGATATGCTGCTGTTGCGGCTGCTCCTGCTGCTTCTGATACTCCTGCTTCTGATCCTGCTGCTGCTTTTGATCCTGCTGTTGACTTACTGCTAGGGATGCGTTGTGTTCGATTCCAACTTGCTTTCTGACCATTCTCCAGACTCGTGTTTCCTGCGTGTGCTTCGAGTTTTGGCAAACAGTTAAAAGCAGCTAAGGATTCCGTTGGGTTTGCTCTGTTTTTCTCGAGGGTCTATTTCGCTCTCGCGTGCTTGGGATGGGTCTCAAATTGGGGGCTGCTCCTATGGCCGGCTCATTGTGTTTAGCTCTGTGAATTACCTGAAAAGAGAGTCGCCTGACGATGGATTGGATTGTTTAGAGTTTTCATTAATTTAATGTTTACAGAGCCGCCATCGTCTGGGGAAAAAAGACGATAAACAAGCGGCGCGCTGTATCGGATTTCACGCTGATGAAGTCATCAGAATTGGTCAGCTGGCCAAAGGTGCAAGATTTGGAGGAGAATGAAAGAAGGTCTGAGAGTCTAGTGCAGCCATTGATTTTCTCTGCTGGATATCTGAAGGCCAACTGAGCGCATTTCCGGAAAACCTTGAAAACTCGGCAGCAGCAGCTTCACGCACACGCACATGTCTCCAAAGGGAACGAACAGGGGAAAGCGGTGGAGGGTGGGGGAATGGGAGAGTTTTCCCAGCCAACTCGAACTTTCTATTTGGCCAAACCCAGATCGCTACGTCCAATTCTCTCCACTTAAACGCACTTTCTCGCGGCCTCTTGGCGTTTCTCCAAGCGGCTGTGACTCAAGTTTCTCGGGAATTTTCAAATTTCTGCCAATTTGGCAAAAAAAAATTATTCTGCAGTTCTGCACTCACACACACACGCACGCTCGCACACGCATGAGAGAAATTTGGATAAAAAGAAAGCCATCACTCGCATTCAAGCAGAACGCACACCTTATATGGCCAATTACCTATTGAGTGGCCTATTGTTCAGTTCTTCACGAGGGATCTCAGTTTTATGATTTAAAGTACGGCGAAAACATATATCTTTAATTTTTTGCAAAACGCGTCGAGTGACCTTCTCAAAATATTTAACGAATCCACTTTTCTTGCGCCACGCGCGTTTTTGGTTATAATAATAGTCGTAGCTGGTCACACTTTACCGCTGTTTGCCATACAAACAGCTGGTTTTGCCATAATTTTTATGGTCAAACGCATCTAATGGCGATAGTTGAGCGCGAAAAAAATATATTTGAAAATATTTAAAAGGCAATAAGGGAAACTATTAATATTTTTATAGTTAAATAGACTTAAATTTTTAAAAAGAAAATAAATATTTATGAATAGTATTTAGGATAAATCTCTCAGGGTGCCAAATTTCTTACTTATAATGGATCTAAGCCGAAGCATAATAATTTTGATGTTTTTCAAAGATAAACAAATGTAGCAAACAACTTTTTGCGGAAAATCGTTTCATGACTATTGACTAGAGGTGTAGACATTCACATATTTAAGTGAGTTTTGATGGTAATTATTTATATTTATTTATTACTAAGAGGAATATCTAGCAAATTCAGTTTAAGCTGCATAAACTACCTACAAGTTATTTTATGTGTATGAATCAAGCTTTGAACTGTAATTATTTATATATATATATATATATATATATATATATATATTTTATTAACTAACAACTATAGGAAGTTGCGATTCAGCGGAACCACATTAAAAATAGGAAATCGTAGCTTGTCAACTTGCATTTAATGAACATTTAACAGCACTATTTTAAACATATTGTGGTCTTTACGGGCGCGTAAATGTGTATCGGAACTTAAAACTTAAGTAACCATTTATTAATAGAATATAGTTTATAAAGGTTTGCAACATATGAACCTTGTTTTAGTATATTTAGCTCCAATTTAGAATCGGTAGACAAAAACCCAACGGAAACACGATATTTGGAGGCACATAAAATTTAATCGCGGACCCAGGTAGAGGTACAAATTGGCCAGAACAGTAACAGTTGGCCATTCCCAAGCAATTACGCTGCCTGGTATTTATGACAATGGGTCCACGAGTGCAGCTCAAGAGCAACGACATTGTCTTGTGCAATTACAATTAACAATTTACCATTTTTTGTTGACGCAATTTTGGCGACCGCAAGCAAAGGTAAAGGCAAACCCATAAAAGGCCTAAAAAGTAGCCAAACAATATTTATCTTGAACAGGTGCGCTTGTGACAAACAATATGCGTGTTGGGCAAAGATAAACTTACAGATTTCCAGGCACAGTTTTTACGCACTTGTGCTTCCCCCTCATCGATGCCCTAAAGCGGAGCAGATGATAAATTATGTTCTGTAAATCACCCAAAATTATATGTAAATTTCGCATATCATTTTCCATTTTGGGATCGGGTCCAGAAAGATCCGACGATGGAATCGCCAGAAGGCCACAGGGCCAGAATTTACAACTAGATAATGTGGGGATGATAGAGGGTCATTTTCGAAATAATAATTAAGCCATGCTGCCGATGAGTTTTTTCGTCGTTAATTATGGCTAAGACCAAAATTATAAAAGCAACGAAAAATTCGGTGGGCAGTGAGTCTCGCGGTGCTTTGATTTCGACAAAAAAAGGTTTCCTCCATCAGCTCAGCTTTACCCCATCCGTCCAAAATTGCGAATTGTTTCGTCTGCTTTGCTCTGCGCCATGTAATGTGTTTATTAAAACTTATATTGTGGTGTTTGCCATTGAGAGGCGGCGGCGTCGTCATCTTTATGGCCACCAGCTGATGTGGAGCAATTGGACGAGGCTGGGAGTGGGACTGCGGCTGCGCATGGGTTTGGGATTGGGGCATCACATCGCATCGCCAAACCCGTTATGGCAGGGAAACACAAAACGAAAAGAGTTAAAAAATAAAATGTTCAAAAGTAAGAAATTAAATGCGTGCCAGCGATGAGTGAGCACATTACATCGCGCACTTGGCGAAGCGAGTACGGTTATTACCAACTTACCAACATAACAAATGTGTTTAAAATGTGGCCAGTCCGGTGTGGAGTAGGTCAATCCGTTGGCTCTGGTCAGGGACAATCGCAGTGGAAGGTTATCGCTGCAATCGGGGGAATAACCGGGTCGTAATGACAGGAAACGGGAGCGTCCAGCGTACACGGAAGTCTCCGGGGACCGATCCGTCATCCTAATTGAAAGTGCACTTAATTAATTTTATAGCCTTGATGCTGTTAAGACGAATGCATTTTCAACAGCTTGCTTAATATGACTTCAAGATATTTAATTTAATTTTAGGTCAGGATCAACTGAACGAAAACAATTATTTTTGATTTAATAAAAGCTGAACAGAAACATGCATCATGTTATAATATATAAATCTCATAGATCTTATATGAATAAATCGAGAATTTAATTTAATTTAAATTTGTTTAAAGATAACTTCAGCAAGATCTTTACACATTATCAATGCCACTTTCTTATGGACTATAATTAATTTAAAGGGAAATCCTACATTTTAATTGCTCTATTTTTGTAGAGCACAAATCCTGATTTGTTACGATCATAAACTGAGATTTTCTTGGCACATCCCATGAAAACCAAGGTTCGGAACGGTCTACGATCACCAATAACCTTCGTTTGGCTATCAATAAACCAAATTGTCATTGAGCCCTGCCTCATAACGAGATCAACATTAATTATCATCGAACAAAGGCATTTTCACACTGCAGTTTTAATGATTGTTTAGCACTTTGGGCGTGCCAACATTTCGAACATCCAAATTCAAGTCAAATCAAAATCCGTCCACTTCTCGCCCACGGACAAACGGAAACGAATCCATTGGATTTGCATGCGATCAATGAAGGGCACTTTAGAGCCAGACCTACGCCCTTATGCATTGGGAAATGAAACGCAATGAAATGAAATGAAATGTGGTCCGAGTGTCCAAATCCAGACCCAAGCCCACGTCACGGCCCTGACTATGAAGGGCCAACGCATTTCCCAGCCATTAAACTGCAGTCCGCAGTGGAAAGAGCTACGCAAATATCATCGCCATCGGTTGCCATGGAGGGACAGATCATTAGGTGTTTGGCCATTAGCAAATGGCGACAGCATCATTACCATCGGGGGATTGCATTTTCAAGGTTTCATGGCGACCATTCTCGCCTCAGTGCCACCTGGAATCGCAGTCACTCGCCACTGCTCGGCGCCGGACCATGAAAATGCAAATATTTTATTGTTGCTGCGCCCTGAGCAATGTTTTTCAATAAACCTAATGAGTGAAATAGGCATGAAAAAGCAAAAAATACAGAGACACAGACCTGTATGTAACTACACCAGGTGAGAGCGAGGAGAGATGACGGTAGAAAAGCCGAAAATGAGCCGCCAGCGAACCTGATTTACAGCCACTGACAACGACTGGCCAGCTGACCAACTGACTGAATGACTGCCATTGCCCAATGACGACAACAGCAGCAGCACCAGCAGCAGCAGCTCTTGGATGCTTTATGGCTACCTTTGATGACTGGGAGCTGGGAGCTGGGAGCTGTAAGCAGGCTCTCCTCTCCTCTGAGCCTGGCCAAAAAGGTTCGTGTACTTCGTACTTTCGGTTTCTGTTTCGGCTGCCACAGAAACCAGAAACTTGTTCCCGCCATGCAGCGAACTCATCGGTAAAAGCAGCCACAATGCACAGTAAGAAAATAGTTCAAGAAAGCTACGGAAACTAAGCTTAAAATATTCGCATTCTTTAAATCAATATTTATAGATATTTTTTAATGGCAATTTTTTTGTAAATCAAAGTTTTAGAAACGCATAACTATGCCAAATAATCATTGATTTTAATTCGGAAAGCTGTTCTATGCTAATTTTTAATAGGTTAACAATTCTGCATACTCAGTTTTCAAATTTAAAAGATTCCATTTTTGTCAAATTTTGACAATTTTAATGATGTAACCCCTTATGAAATTTTCAATTTTCGGAAAAATTTAAAAAATTTATTTTTGACCGGACATGGCTAGATCGATTCAGCTTTTGATGCTGATCAAGAATATATATGGTTTGTAGGGTCGGAAATGATTCCTTCACAGCGTAACAAGCTTCTGACTTAAATTGTACCCAACAAAAAAGGTTTAAAAACAGACAATTTTTTTTAAAAAATCTAAGTTTTTCGGACATCATAATTAAGCCGAAATTGCATTAATTTTAATTCGTAAAGCTGTTCTGTGCTAATTTTTATTTTACTCTTTAATCTGCATACTGCGTTTGTTAATGCTATTGTTAGTTTTTAAATAAAATTATAAAACCTTGCAAAAAGGTATAAAAACAGGCAATTTTCTCCAAAAATCATAGTTTAAAAAACGCATAACTCAGCCAAAAAAATCATTGAGTTCAATTCGGAAAGCTGTTCTATGCTAATTTTTAATAGATTAACAAATCTGCATACTCAGTTTTCAAATTTAAAAGATTCCATTTTTTGTCAAATTTTGACAATTTTAATGATGTAACCCCTTATGAAATTTTCAATTTTCGGAAAAATTTAAAAAATTTATTTTTTGACCGGACATGACTAGATCGATTCAGCTTTTGATGCTGATCAAGAATATATACGGTTTGTAAGGTCGGAAATGATTCCTTCAATGTGTTTCAGGCTTTTGACTAAAATTATAGTATCTTGCAAGTGCTTCCCCAATTGTGTTAAAAAATTTAATAAATATGGTGTCCCATATAGGATTTTTTAAACAAAGAAAATAAGCTAAATAAGTGGTTGAATTTAAATGAACGTATTTTTCCAGAGAATTTTAATTCGGATAAATGACTTTCCATGTATTAAATAATAAAGTTGCAACCCTCGATGTAACTCCCACGCATTCACTTTCTCCGTTTCAAGTTTGAATTCTGGCGAAAGTGTTCCGAATTATATTAATTTTATAGATTGATTTTAACAACATGTACCTCTAGTAATGAATGAATGAAATAAAACTTTTCTAATTATTTCTTCACGTGCAGCAGCATCAAGCCGAGCTGATCAGATTGCATTCGAATCCCGCTCCGCCAAGCTGCCCATTATATAATCCAGTTAATTTCTTTAACAATTTTTGTTTCTCCGCCGTTGTTCGGTTTTCGTTTTTCGGTTTTCGGTTTTTGGTTTTCGGTTTTTAGTTTTAAGTTTTCGTTGTTTTGCTAAACGCTGCCTCTCCAGCCAGCTTCATTCGTTGTTTGGATTCCGCGCTGTGTGGACGTCCAAATCAATCGTCGCGTTGTCTCTCGAAGATCGTCTGATCATAAATATATTGCCAGGGTAACAGCGTCATCATCCAGTCCAGTGGTCGTGTTGTTTGAAAACGCGCTCTTTCTAAAGGATTGCGAAACGGGCGTTTGGCATTGCTCATACGCAGCGTGTGACGGCGGGTCGTGCAAAAGAAACAGAAAGGATTTGAAAACAGGGTGTAAGTGTGTGCCAAGTGTGCGTGTGTAAATGTGATTAAATTATGCAAAAAAATATAAATAAAGATATTCAACAAGGATAGAGGGATATAAGCCATAGATATCAAACAAAATTATAAATAAAATACCATTTAATAAACCATTAACTAAAAAAGAAATACGAAACATTTTGATAGTTTGACTTGTATTAATTTTAAATTAAATTCAGAATATGGAAAAGTTTTTTTTTCAATTAAGAAAGTTAAAGGTTTTCATAAGCCACTGTATGATAATCATCTATCATTAGAAAAAAATTGAGTAACTTCTCCAAGATTAAAACACAAAGTACCCAATATGACACATTCCAAAGTCTTGAAGCATTTTCGAAACAAGTAACCACAGATTTCAATCAAAAAGTAATAATAATTTGAAAACGATTAACCCTTATCCAAAAATTCACTTGACTTGAAGTAGAAGCAATCAACTTGGCAGCCAAATCAATCTGTGCAGAGAATATGAGCCCAATGAAATTACCAAATAAGCCACGATTGCACCGCCTGTTGCATTATTGGCCAGTTAGCCAGCCGCTGTACACAAAAGCCACGCAATCCGCAGCCGGAGCAACGAGCTCCCAATGAAAATGTTGAAACTGCAGGCTGGAGAGCTAAGGCTGGAGCTGGAACTGGGAGAGTGAAAGAGAGGAGGTATCCAGCTGGGGTTGCCCAATGACATTTTGAAACCGCATTTCCAGTTGTTTACAGGGAAAACGGAGACAACAAGAAAATTGAAAAGCCCGACAAAAGCCAGGCAGTGCAAGCTGAAAGCCCGTCAATGTCCCAAAAACCGAAATCAATTAAATGGCACAGAGTTCGCAAAGTCGGAGCTATATATGCAAATGAGTCTTTGGCGGGGTGTCATGGGAAAACGGAACTCGAATGTCGGAATTATCGGGGTCTTGAGTTTGAGACAAAGGGCAATCCAAGCGATCGGATCACAAATTGTGTGCAAATATTGGGACTGAGCTTAGCTGATAATGATCGCAGTTTGTTTACTTGGGGCAATGGTGGCACCAATGCCGGATTATGCAACCCCCAGCCAGCGAAGTCTGGCCAACAAGGGATCTCTTTCTTTCGAACCCAGCGCACTGGGACTCTGAGCTCCAGCTAATTATTGCCACTATTTCGAGCGACCATTTTCAATAACCAATTTGTGACACGCTTTCGGCCAACAGTTTTTGAACTTGAACCAATTCGCAGTTTGTGGTTTCTTTGCATTTTTTTTAACCATCTTTTGTATTTGGCCATAATGCCATTTGTCGGTTTATGGATCTTTCAGTCTCTGCAACAACAAAGAGCCAACTCTGAATGAGCCGCACACAGGCGAGAAAATAATTTATACATTTTTTCCATTTCGTCGGTTTCAGAGTTCGCTGAAAATGTATTGTCCATTTACATTTTAGTCGGCGTCGTATTTTAACAAAAACAGAGCGCGTTTCTTGTGAGTTTTAATTAGCAAATATTTGCAAATTACAGCGATGCGTGATCCGGCGGCGTTTGCCTTGAGATCGATGAGACCTTGAACTAATTTCGATGGGAAATCCATTAATAAATGTTGTGGATCCTCATTCAAGTGCAGAATAGGCCCACCAACAGCAATTGCAAAAGGGTTTCTTAACAAAATAATTAATTAAACACATGGGAATAGTTATAGTATCTCGATTTCCCTTTACATTGGTAATTAATAGGGGAAGCATTATATATTATTATTTATATTTTCGGAAGCTTCTTTTCTATATACATTTAAAGGCATTCAATCTTTAAGTTCATTAACTTTATTATTTCCAAGAGATTTGGCTAAGAGCCTCTTGAAGTAATGCCCAATGAATTGCAGAATATCTTTTGTTGACTTTGCAGATTTAAGGGGAATTACCAGGCTGAAGTTGAATCATTTTACTAATATTATAATATCTAAATTAGGAGGGGGTTTTTTATTGGAAGAAGTAACAAAGCATGAATATATACAAATTATAGTTGTAGATGATATAAAGGCATTAATCCAACAAGGCTGATAATGGAAAACAAAATGTTGCTAGCCAAATGTTGCGAGAAACATTTGGTTAGCAACACACAGTGTGGGTCGATGTTGGTTATCTTCAGCTTGAACGTTTATTGTACAATAATTCCAAGGTTATTTATTAAATTTTAGTGAAATTTAAAGAATAACCCACACAAGGTTATTTGTTACAATATATACATCACATATATCATAGATTTTTAATAATTTCTTAGACATGTATGGGAATGTTGCAATAAAATCTGATTGATATATTGATCTTCGTTTGGCGTGACACATCTTATTAAATGAATAGCGGGTATATGAATTAAAATTAAAAGCTTTGAGGCTAAGAAATATACCCCATCTTTAGTGAAAATTAAACACAACATAAAACGCAATATAATCAAATAAATAAATAATTATACATTTCCTGTCTTTTTCCCACAGCTTTAGCTATCCATGCCCAGCGCTTGACCGCATCAGTCCAGAGCAACAGCACCAGTCAAATATGAAGGAAACCAAGTTGGCGCAGGATCAGGGAGATGGCTCCCTATCGGAGTCCCTGCTCAAGATTGCCAAACGGGAACTGCGCGAGGATCGGTGCACTCGGGAACAGAGCCTGGAGCAGCTGCGGAATTGGGTGGCCAAGAACGAGGATCTGCAGAATGTTCGCTGCGACGATACCTTCCTACTGCGCTTCCTGCGTGCCAAAAAGTTCAGCGTTCCGATGGCAGAGCAAACGCTACTCAAGTACCTCAACATCCGGCGAACATTCCCGCACATGAGCACTCAGCTGGATTATCTGGAGCCACGCCTGGGCGACCTCATCGACCAGGGCTACATCTTTGCAGTACCCCAGAGGGATAAGCATGGACGCCGTGTGGTGGTCATCAATGCCAAGGGCCTCAATCCGAAGATCCACACCAGCTGTGATCAGGCCAAGGCACATTTCCTCACCTACGAGTGCCTGATGGAGGACCAGGAGACACAAATCACCGGACTGACGCATGTTGGCGACTTCTCCGGCGTGTCGACGGCCCACGTGACGAACTGGAATCCGACGGAGTTTGCCCGCATCTTTAAGTGGGGCGAACAGTCGCTGCCCATGCGCCACAAGGAGATCCACCTCATCAATGTGCCCTCCACGCTGAAGTGGCTCATTGACTTTGTGAAGAATCGGGTTAGCTCCAAGATGAAGAACCGCCTAATCATCTACGGCAGCGAGAAGGAGCTGATGAAGGGCGTCGACCAGGCATGCCTGCCCCTGGAGATGGGCGGCACTGTGCCCATGCGCGAGATGATCGAGCTGTGGAAGCAGGAGCTGGCCTCCAAGCGGGACCTGGTGCTCGGGCTGGACAAGAGTGTCCTGCTCTCCGACCGCGGCATCCAGCGGCGGAGCAGTTTCAATGCAGAGAAGGCAAGCAACGGTGGACCCAACTTTGTGTCACAGATCGAGTCCATTGAGGGCAGCTTTCGGAAGCTGGAATTCGATTAGCTCACCCGATCTAGTTTTAGTCCATAGTCCATAGTTTTAGGCATCAATTCATCCAGTTAACCCAATACGCAATGCTTCGCAGGTCCCCCGATCCTGATCTCGCTTCCGATCCAGGCCAAAGATCCGTAGCCAGATCCCGGGGATCCCCGCTTCGCTTCTCGGTGGCACTTGCTTTACTCATCCTGCGCTTCTTTGTATTCAGTTTGTTCGTTTGGCGTACAATAAACGAGAGGAATAGTTTGGAAACCATATCCATGTCGTCCAGTCTCTTAATCTCACTTGGTCCTACGGCGACCTGCGTAGCGTGGCCAATGCTCCAGCTCCCGCTGAACTGCCTCCGCATCGGTATCGAGCACGTAGAGCTGGTAGTCGGTCTGCAGTCTGTGTCGCTTCAAGGATTCCAGGATCAGGGCCTGGGCTGACCTTAACTGGCAGTTGCTAGGTGGCCTTTGACTGAAGTTGCCCACAAATGCCATCACCAGGGAATTATTCTGTTGCAGATCTCCTGGGTAACTGCTCTCGTATCCCCATCCGCGGGCCTCGAACGTCTGACAGTCACCAGCGATCAAGAAGTTGTACGGCAGCTCCTCCACGCGGGATCGCTATGAGAGATTTGAATTAAAGATGGGTTGTAGTTCAGTTCGGAGGAATGCACTCACCTGCAACCTGAGCAGCAGCTCTGAACAATCCTCTAGACATCCTTCGCTGGCCGTATGGGTAAAGAATACAGTAGCAACTCTCTGGGGATCCAGCTGAGTGCCTCGACCTTGCAGATCCATATCCGACCATATATCATGCTCGATGAGACTGAGCCGATAGCCAAAGTCCGGCTCTTGCGCTGTAAGCAATGAGGAGAAGTGATTCAGCTAATAAAATTTCTTTGTTGCTTCATTAACATAAATGGGAAAATGTGAAAAATGAATCATTTAAAGGCAACTGCGGTGGGTATAAATTAAAGAAAAAGAATTGTGAAAATGTTGTTCACAAGTAACTTAATGTTTTTCGTGTAAAATTAAAACAGAATCCGTTCCAAAAACAATTAAATTATGTCAAGTTGCTTGGGTTCTGAGAATAAAATATTTAAAAACTTTATTTATTGAGAGACAATACGCATAAAGATCGGTTTCTGTTTCTACAACTACACTTAAAAAGCTTAAAATTAGTTTTTCAAATCACGAAATTATATTTATATAAACTTTATTATTTAACAAAAGAAACCTAGGGTATCTCGTGGAAATTCTTCAAGTGCACCTCGATCATTGAGCACTTCCGCCTGTCCTCACATGCTGACACAAGCTGCTCTTATCATAACTCGCCTAGCTTGCTCGAATTTATTTAAACAAAAACGATCATCAGCTGGAAAACTCACTTTGTCGCCAGAGCAAATACACGGCCAGTACCAGGGAGGAGGCACACATGAGCAGCAGTCCCACGGACCGCCAATTGAGGCAGTCTTTTGTCAGACTCGAGCTGCTGGAGGTGGAGGTCGACATGGTGGTTCTTAGCAGCGGAGTGGTTTCGCTTACATTGCACTCCTCGTGGACCTGACCGTTGATATCCTCGACGGAGCTGAAGCTGCCATACGAGGTCTTGGAGACGGAGTCGGCGTCCGGCGAGGGGCTGCGGCGCGTGGCTGTCGTAGCGAAATATAGAGCAAACAACATATGATGGAGCTTAGCCAAGATAAAAGAGTGCAGATGATTAGCCAAGCGGCACAGTTTCTCCAGGCTGGTCTGGTCTTGGTTCTCATAGTACTTGTTGATGGCGCGCAGACTGTGAACGCTGACGAACATCTTGGCGTCTTGCCACTGAATCTCCGTCTGGGATATCCAAAGAGATGCCTGTCCGGGCCTTAGGCTTTATCTAATCGACGCACCTCGTTATCTAGTCGGGGTCTGGCTTACCCATTCGCACGGCTATGTGGCTGGAGTCCATGGCTGATTTGATCGGATCTGCTGCGTTCTTGGAGCAGTCAAGGTGGTGCAACGGAGTGGGTCAATCAGATTTTTACTGGATCGCACTGGAAAGCACCACCCGATCGATTTGATGCGGTACCAGCGGCCTGCATTAAGCGACTGAGACGAGAACAAGGGAAAAGAGCGCAAGATCGCCCGCATGACGTGCGCAACATTGTCATAAATCCGATCCCAGTATGCTCTCTTATTACGCTCTCTTCGCCCAAAGACGGATTAACATTCGCATTGCGTTTATTCTTCCCCTTCGCTTTCTGATATTTGTATCTTCAACTAGACTCTAAATAACAATCATAATTGGGATTTCTATTATACACAGAATTTGACGTTGCTTAATTTACAGTGCTAGCCAGCTCCGGAACAGTGACTAGACCCTGCTTCCCCCCTTAAGACTAACGCAGGCCGTCATCCAACCGTAATAAGTTAGGAGAACATGCAGTCACAGACACACACTGACATGGACGCAGGACAAGAAGTGACGACGACGGAAGCTGGGACTCGAAACCACTTTAAAACTTCACGACAAGACAATGATGAGCTAAAATCGTTCGAAAATCGGTCGAAAATCGAAATTCTAAAAGAAATGCATTCGCTTGGTGCCTAAAATCTAGACTTAGTACGTATTATGCTTCCGCTTCGGCTGCAGCTGCCAATCTCGGGTTTTGGATTGCATGGATTGCTTGGATAATGGGCTGCCCTGACTTTTACTTGTATGATCGCCAGATTTGCCAGGCGCATAGGGCTGCCGAGAGGAAGGTGACGCCACGATGCAAGTATTTGGTTTTGCAGTTGGGCGAGTAGCCCAGGATCACAGGCGAAGAGACGTCCGTCAGCGGTAGCTGCTCCAGCACGGTCTCGTTGTTCTCCACCTGGAAGGAAACAGATGAGATGAGAAGGTTAGTTGATCGATAGCAAATGGCCGCATTCTCTTTACCTGATATTGACAGCAAGGATCATAGTTCCAGGAGACCGTGTAGAGGCCGCTGCAGAAGAGCGAAAGTGCGCAGGCGGGGGCCGCAATGACAGGCCGATCGCGCCACAGAAGGCTGGCCACCAGGGACACAACGCCAGTGGCTACGGCTGTCTTGTGCAGGCAATTGCCGACCCAAATCCAGCGTCCTGAACAAAGGTACTTTGGATTAAGACCTTCAAAAGAGCAAATTATAGGTGAAGCCCTCACCAGTTTCATCGCCTAGGCGCGGCGGCTCGATTATAATAAAGTCCACCTTCTTCTCCAGAGCCTTGTCCAGCTCGGCCTCGAACCGTTCGTGGGCATTGGAGCTGTCGTAGACCTCACGGATGACATGGAACGTCGGCACTTTACTCGTGCTGGAATGGAGCAAAGATGTGGGACATCAATCACTGCTCACGCCTTTATCTCTGCTTGCGTAGCGAGTCCAAGGTTAAGGTCAAGCAGGAGATTATGCCGCCACCAGCACTGCAGCAGGGTTCGCCGCAGAGCCATTGTCCGCCGCAGAAGATAAATAAATCAAATTGCATAACCGGTACAGGTGCACGCGAAGATCCGGAGCTTCACTACTGCAGTCAGACCCTCAAAGGTGTTGCGCAATCTCCCAAAGCCAATTAGACAGCAAGAATTGTCCGTAATATTTACCTTTCTATGTTTCTGCTAACCATTTTGCTAATAATTTGTTTTTTTTTTTGTTATTAAACTCAGTGTGCCCACGCTTGGAGCGCCAGTTCGATAACACTTTGGTATGAGGCAATATATACTAAAAAATTTGAATTATATCGTAAGTACAACAATCATAAGATTTGGTCACACGTGCTTAAATTTGTTTTCCGTTCTGTACTAATTTTTTCCAATTAAAAACCATTTTTAAAACAAGGTATTAATCATATCGTAATATTTATGGTGTTACAAAAGTAATTCATTATATTTGAGGCATTCATATAATTAGTGTTCTCATACTTGCCATCTCTATTTTACGATATTAAAAATTACGATCAAAAGCAAACAGATTTCAAGTATACAAGAACTTTTTACGATTGAATTGAATTACTTTAGTAGCTCTAACTAACTAAAAATAGTAAAGTCTTCTTTTTAGCATAAATATAGAAGATAATTAAAACTGACCGGCGTCTTATTGTCGCCACGGAGTTTGACATTTCGCCCTTTGTCCGATATGGTCTCACTGCACACACACTCATTGAAATTGGAAAATTGAAAATGGAAAAGCATCGCTTACCGCTCCCGGAATTGCACGACGATAAACACAGACACAAACAAACAGGCAATGGCGAGAACAGCAACCGCTTCAGGCCGCCCAAGAACAAGCGTTACAGGTGCTTCCTGCCGGCGGACAACAACAATCTAAACCGCAGCCAGTCGTTGGGATCCTGCAGCGCCAACAGCTCACAGATCGCCCACGCCATCTCGTTCCGGGGCCCGGAGTGTCCAGACGCCAGCATTTTGCCATCCTCGCCCGCTTCGGCCGATTGGAGTGACCGCAGCCACTTCGAGCAGTGCTTCCAACGACTGGCCAAGCTAGGCGAAGGGTCCTTCGGTGAAGTCTTCCAGGTGCGCGATCGTGCTGATGGCCGACTGTACGCCGTTAAGATCTCCAAACAGCTGTTCCGGGGCGAACAGTACAGGGCCGAACGACTGGAGGAGGTACGCCGCTACGAGGAGTTCTCCGGTCATGAGAACTGTATCCGCTTCATCCGTGCCTGGGAGCAGTACGACCGGCTCTTCATGCAAATGGAACTGTGCCGCGAGAGTCTGGAGCAGTATTTGCTGCGTTGCCAGCGGATACCCGAGGAGCGTATATGGCACATCCTGCTGGACCTGCTGCGGGGCCTGAAGTCGCTGCACGACCGAAATCTGATCCACCTGGACATAAAGCTGGATAACGTGCTGATAGGCGAGGACGACGAGACCTGCAAGCTGGCGGACTTTGGACTGGTTATAGATTTGGACAGAGCCAACAGCCAGCACGCCACCGAGGGTGATTCTCGATACATGGCGCCGGAAATCCTGCAGGGACACTTCTCCAAGGCAGCTGATATCTTCAGTTTGGGCATTGCCATGCTAGAGCTGGCCTGCTACATGGATCTGCCATCTAATGGGCCACTGTGGCACGAATTGCGCCAGGGAATCTTGCCTGAGGAATTTATTAATAGTGAGTGTGTACACGATACTATCTTCGTTCCGACTATTAACGTTTTCCTCTCCTTAGAAATATCCGTGGAACTGCAGACGGTAATTAAGTCCATGATGATGCCGGATCCGGCGCGAAGGCCTACGGCAGATCAACTGCTCTTGCATCCGAGGCTGCAGCGCATGCAGCAGAGGCGAAAGTCTCTGATAACCCTCGGTCAGCTGGTAGGATATCCTTAGGTGCACGCTTTGAACTTCTACTCATCTCATCCTCCCTCAATTTTGCAGTCTCGGAGTTTTCGTCGATCCCGTCGCAAGGTCTGGGGGAAAATGTGCAATTGGAAGACGGCCGCCTTCCGATATCTCTTCTATTTCTTGGAGGTCCTGCATCTGTACAAGCCCATCGCCCCGCCAAAGCCCAGCATCAATATAGCGCCGTCCTCTCCAACGCCCACATCAAAGCCGACCGCGCCCCCGGTGAGCTTACGCTAGTGGGCTCCACGCCCATTGCCAATCGCGATTGCTTCGCCTCCCATTTTCTATCCGGTGAGGACGCCCTCGAGCTGTCCCAGCACGGCACCCCGTCGGCAATGAACTCCACGCCATTAAACCATAACCAAGGCAAATCCCGACTCGACTTGCAGAAGAAGTGAGTATCCTAGTTTTAACAGTCCATCAAACTAACTAATGGCATCTCCGTCCTTTCAGTATGGATTCGCTGGGCAAGAGTGTACAGATGCCGGACTTCGACAGTCCGTCTTTAGGCCCGTCGTCGCCCAAGATCCTGGACACCTCCTCCTTCCGACGAAAGAAATTGTTTGCGCTGGACTACGATGATGAGTGAACGAATGCATCGAGAGATGAAACAATATATCAGTTATGGAACAAATACCAGATACATATGGCAACCGAATATATCGTTATATATATATAGTTTAGATCTAGACGGTAGTGTTGTACGAAGTTCCCTAGAAATAGTCTAACAATTGTGTAATGTTAATGCTTCTTTAGAAGAACTTGTTGAACTTGAACTTATAATCATGTGATATATATACGAAATGCGATTTGAAATGTTAAAATAATAAAATACAGGTAATTGAAAAAACAATATATCAATTGATTATTAATTAAATTATACAAATTAAAAACAAAAAGGAAACTAATTTCGGGGAGCCGAAATTTATATAACCTTGCAAATAAGTTTAAACTATTCGCATTATATATCCATATTTTTATATGGCAATTTTTTCTACAAATTAAAGTTTAGGAAACTCATAACTAAGGTAAAATATCATTAATTTGAATTCTGAAACCTGTCTTATGTTGGTTTTTATTAGATGAATAAATCTGCATACTTAATTTAATATTTTAAACATTTTAAAATTTTTGACAATTTTAATGATGTTACCCCTTATAATTTTGAAAAAAAATTTTAAAAATTTATTTTTTGACAGGACATGGCTAGATCGACTTGAGTATCGATACTGATCAAGAATATATATAATTTATATGGTCGGAAATGACTCCTTCACAACTTTTGCGTAAAAATATAATGCCCTGCCAGGGTTTAAATCTATATATTTTTTCACCAACCGATCTCAAACCCGCTCGCATCAAAATAGGTTATATTTAAAATGTATTCTTATAAAACAAACAGTCTTAACTTATATTATAAGATTTCAAGTAATTTTTATAAATAAATATAATGTAATATTTGAAACTAGTAAAAAACCGAATATTTTCCTCGAACAGAATGGCAACGCCATATGAGTAACACCTTCAACGGAAAAGCAGACGGGCACACTACAGCCGCACATGTTGCTGGTAAACAAATCACAAAACTTAAACTGATTAAAAATGACCAGGAAAAGGCTCCTAAGCAGAAAACTGAAGTCGTGTTTGACAACAAGAAGCGCATGTAAGTGAATCAGTCCGGATCTAGAAATGGTTCACTAACTTCTGCATCCTCAACGCCCCCCAGAGAGTTCCTCACTGGCTTCCGGAAGCGAAAAAACGAGCGACGCTCGCGGGCCAAGGCGGATTTGGAGAAAAACCTCAAGGAGGAGCGAAAACGAATCCGACAAGAGGTGAAAGATGGCTTCAAACACCTCAAGAAGTCGTACGAGCCACTCCGGGAGCTCACAGAAGACGACAAGAAGGAGGAGGGTCAGCAGGAGACATACGAGGACGAGGAGGTTCAGGTCAAGATCGTAGAGTTAACCACGAATGACCTGGCGGCGCAGCGCAACATGCTGGGCGCCAACACAGTCGAGGACAGCGAGGCAGAGGAAGAGGAGCAGGCGGAGAGTGAGGACGAGGACACAGCTCGTCCCGACCGGATACCCGGCATGGATTTCGACCCCAGTGCCCGCAAGCGCAAGAAACAGTCGGAGGAAGACGACGAGGAGCCAAAGGCTAAGAAGACTAATCCCACGCCCGAGGCAGACATCAAGAGCAAAAAGGACTTGGATCGTATTATGAAGACGAAGACGCTGAAGAAGATGCACAAGAGCAAGGTGTTCAAGCTGAAGGAGCGCCTGGACAAGAAGGTCAACCAGAAGAAGGCAAAACGGGAGCGCAATAACACTATCAAAAGTGTGCCAAAGCACCAGCGCAAGCGGCTCAAGTTTGGCAAGGAGCAGCAAAAGTATCGCAAGGGCCGGATGGTCAACAAGAAGGAACTTCGGCGCAAACGGGGCGGGGGCGACTAAGTTATCACCAGTAGTTATCGTAGTAGTTTGTTTAACGGTTTATTTACTATTACTCTAGTGTGGATCAAATAAACTGTTTAATTCCTGGCTTGTACAATAATTTTGCTAAATACGCCGCAGCGCCGGTCGTTTTCATCTCTCATTCGCTCTTTATATCCACAGTACATATATATCATATACATCCAGCATGCTTTATTTTTGCGGGTTATTAACATATGGGCTATCGCTGTTTCTCGCCGCTGCTCCGTAAAATTCTATAAATAAAAGGGGGTCGGCCGTTGCGCCGCTAAAACTACAATCAATTTTTCATTGGGTCCTCTAGGTCTAGGTTTGAATTCTATATACAAAGGTTTTCCGGGTTTTGTTTTAGTTGAGAGTCTTACAAATATAATGGGTTGCTTTATTTTCATGTTGCGCAGATTTTTAGCGGGGAAACATTTTTTTAAAATGATACATTAGAGGGTAGGGTTGAGGGTGAGGTAAGGGAACCCCTCCGTGCGTGGCCTCTTTGCCAACGAAAACATAATTCTCTCTAACGCAAACATGATCTCGCGCTAATCCTTCTTACAACATTATCATAGGCTTAAGGTCTAAGCGGGTTGTTCTGGTGAAGAAATGGGGTTTATGTGGTAGTGTGGGTGTGGGGGCAACAGTTACGCTCTAGCTTATAGCTTACTTGTTCTAAGTCTATTCCTACTCCTAATATGTTCATAAGCAGTTAAAAAACGGTTACAAAACTCTTGCGAAATTGAAATCCAATAACAAATGCACACGCCGCAGTCGCTAGTCCAAGTCGATTATCCCCATCCAGTTAGGATTGCTGCTGCTGCTGTTGTTGTGCCGTCGGCTGGCGCCGGGTGTAGCCTCCGCCGGCGGCCAGGTGACGCTGCAGGGCTCGCTGCTGGAACTTGGCGCTGCCCTGTCCCCCAAAGCGATTGTACTTGAACTTGTTGCGCTGCTGGAAGTTTTGGCGAAAGTTTTGGTTGTAAAATCTGGGGAAGCTACCGCCACCACCGCCTCCGCCGTTCTTGTGCCAGCGCTTTTGGCCCTCGTACTCCTGGAATGGATTGTAGCCGGGCGTACTGTTGCTGCTATTGCTTCCGCTTCCCTTAGCTGATCCTCCAGTTTTCACCTTTCGCTGCCGTCCGCGGTCCATTTCGTTTTCTTCGTCGTCGTCCTGGTCCCGCTGACGCTGCTCTCGCGCATCCACAAGTAGCTGCAGAAAATATAATATTCATAAGTTAGGCTCGAGAGTTCGGACTCAGCACATAGGGTAATGAAGCTTATGCAGATGAGGTGGTAGCACAGCGCAAAACTGGCAAAAAAAAACACACTGAGGGATGCATATTATTTGGGACGAAATGGGTGAGTGGCTTACGGTTTACGGTTCACGGTGACAGGTTATCTGGCTGGCAAAACGGTAACACAGCTCGGCTGAATTTATGGCGCATCAATCAAGCGGTGGAAAATCGAAAGAACGGCCGGCCAGCAGTCAAATCATAGGCTTCATTGCACACTCGGCGGTTGCGGATGCGGATTCACCAGGCGAATTAACTAATGGGTAGTCTCCCTCTCGCAATGACTTTTGCAACTCCTTTTCTTTACACTCTTAACGCTTGGCGAACGGGCCACATTGAGGCGGCGTCCATGGGACGGGAATCCTCAACGGACCTAATCACAGACTATTCGTAATCATATCGTATTTTGTGTGCCTTGTGGCGATGCAGAGGTGAACATGCCTTCACTACTGCAACAGTCTTCTACCACCGTCCGTGAGACGACCCGCATCGGGTGTGTCAACTACTGCTGATACTGCATCTGCAATTGTGGCCGAGTCTCCACCACCGGCGATGTTGACTGCCGCCGAGCTCTTCTCCGCGACGATATCACTGCCATCCACACTGCCGTGACCAGCTATCCGTTTCGCACAAACCAACTTAAAAGGCTGAATGAATGGGGATAATGTGAAAATAAATGCAAATTACAAACAAGTTTCGTTTTAGTAAATCAACTCCTCATCGCATTTCATGCAGTTAACTAAGCTAAAGACAGAAAGATCGAGAGATCAGCGAATTTGAAGGGAAATTAAAGCAGTTTGTTTAGCCAAGAGAGAACCAGATAAAGAACCAAATGTTAGTGCCAAGTCAATACAGTTGCGATCCGAGAACAATGGTCTTTGATTAATTTTACATGATTATGAATAAAGCAAGTTAGAGGAAATATTTGATTTTTGATTTTAAAATAAGTTACGGCCTTTTAAAACTCAGATCACAACTGTGGGCTTTCTTTTAGGACGAAATCCACTCCAGGAAAGACTTCACAACGTTATTATATTAGTGCAAATATTAAGGGTTTACTTTATAGATAAAAAAGTAAAAAGATTAAAAAGTAATTAAGCTTCTGAACTTACCTCCTTCTCAAGCTCCGCGGGCTTGCCGTTCCAGCTGAGCACCGAGGAGCCGTATCCCCGATGCGATTGCTTCAGCAGCTCGTTAATTGTGCTACCATTTGCTGTGCTCTCGCTTTGGTAGCCATTCCCTATCCGCACCGTCGGCTGCTGCGTCTTAACCGCGCTGCCGTTGAGCAGCTTCTGACGCTTAGCGCCGGGAGTTGTTGGCGAATCTGCGGAGGGTTTGCTGTTGGCGAACGGATTCCGATGGCTCTTGGTCGGAGACTGGATTTGGGCTGCCGGCGCCGTCGACTTTTCCTCCTCCTCATCGTCATCTTCGTCCTCATCATCATCATCGTTGCGGGTTATCTTCCAGATACCCGTCTTCGACTTGATAACCGCTGGCGAAGGCGGTGTCTTAGGCGAAGGTGGTGCTCTGTTTTGTGAATGCAATTTCTTTCCTGGATGCCAGCCGTTGGTGAGCTGGCTGCTCGGCACCGCTACTGCCGCCTCATCATCTTCCCCATCGTCGTCGTCTTCGCTGTCGGCGGACCTGTGCTTGCTCAAGCTCTTGAAGATCTCGTCTATGGCGTCAGTCTTTTGTTTGCTGCTGTTAACGTGAACCGATGACGCCGCTGCCGCCGAGCAACCGTTGGTGAGCCCTATGCCTGTGCCGTTGGTCTTGCTATGACCATTGACCGGCGGCCCCGATTCAGGCTCCGAATCACTCGAGTCGCAGCCACTTCGTCGCTTGCGAGAATTGGGCAGTGGGGCCTCCTCCTCCTCCGAAGCAGATTCGTAGGGCACTAGGCTCTTAAGGGGCGTTTTGACAAGGCTGCTTTTCACTTGCACCTTCAACGGCGTCTTTGGCTTCTCCAGGCTGTCCTCTGTCATCTTGGGCATGCTCGGCAGCTGGGCTGTTAAAGGACTGGCCTTGCTCTCATCCTCGCTGTCATCGTCGTCAGAGGATATTGGCAGGTAGTGTTGCTGATTCAATGATTTGTGGTTGCTATGGTTGCTGCTGCTGGTGGTGGTGGAGGAGGAACTTTTGTTACCATTTGCAGTGGGAGCTGGAGCCACTTCGCCTTTAGTGTGTGCGCCAGCCAGTGGAGACTTTGCAGGGTCTTGAAACTTGCCATTTCCCAGCTGGAGACCGTTCTGCTGATGGTGCTGCTTGAACTGAATTCCCGTTTTCTGTGCATGTCCATTGCTATATCCGTTAATCCCGCCAGGCGGTAGCTGGGGGCCAATAAAGCGTGTGGGCGAGGGCGATGGCGAGGAAGATACTGTAGCTGGCACTGGCAGCGGGCTGTGGCCATTGGCTAGGCGGAGACCATTTCCCCGACCGGCCACTGCTGGGCTGGAGACCTGCGATAGGTCCAGTTCGTAGAACATGATGTAGGCATTTGTGTTACACACGCTCTGCATGGCGATAGGCCGCACATAGCTGTCGTCGAAGTTGTAGTAGCTGCCTGCCTCCGTAGAGCCGATGGCCGTGTAGTGGCCGCAGTGCTGGGACACCCCCAGATGGGTGACCATCGAGACGAGGCGGTATGTAAGCGGTTGGGCTTGCGCCGCCGCCGAACGGGCAGCGAATTTGCTCAGATCGATACGTGGCTTAAAGGTGATTTGCTTGGTTAGCTTGTTACCCATCATAGAGAAGCGCTTTAGCTGGATGCACAGCGTGATGGGTGCCCTTTCCAAGGTGAATTGCTTGGTGGCCGATACCTAAAAGGAACGTGTTTATGTGAATATAGGAAAACACGCGTTCTGGAAGCTTGACTCACCTTCTTCTTGCATCCCTCGCATTTGTAACCCATGTCCTCGAGCCGCTCCCGCGAAAAGTGGCCCTCAAAGGCCTCCTCTAGCGTGTCTGCCTTGCGAATATCGAGCAGCAGATCCTGGAAGTGCTGGAACGTTATAGACACGTGATTGCAGCTAAGGCAGCGCACCTCGCTGCGAAGGTATCCGCCAAAGATCTGCCCCAGCGGCGTAGTCTCCTTCACCAGCTGGTCCAGCTCTTTGTAATTGCGGAATCGCATCAGGTAGGCCCGTTCCATGGCCTCGACCAGGAAGCGAAGGAACTCATGCGCATCCTCCTGCCGACCGACGACCATGTGCTTGCAGATCTGCTTCAGCTTCGAGTAGATGTGGTAGGGCCGCACAGCTGACTGGTTGCCCTGGGTTGCCTGCAGCGTCTTGGCCATTGCGCAGATAACACAACTGCCGCCGGACTCGGCCACCGTGCAGTTATCCAAATGGGACTGCTCCGATACCAGCCAATTGGCCAGCGCCGGGATGTGAAGGAGCGCCTGCAGCGTCGAGTTGAGGTAGCAGGTGTTACCCACATTGATCATGCCAGAACCGACCTGCCACTTGCGCTCCGATTGCTTCCATCCGATGCGAATGTTTTCGCGTGGATATAGAACACGCTTCGGTTTAGGCAGCTCGTTGGGATTTGGATTTGTGGTCGCAGTCGCGTTCGGATGGGCATGTGGTCCATGGTTGTGGCTATGAATGGGATGCTCCTTGCGACTCCCGCCGTTGCTGCTGTCTGTGAATGGAGAGAAATGATGGAAGGCCAGGATGAGCACGTGCCGCAATAGGTGTATGCAGGGCGCGAGGAGCAGTTTGTAGAGCAGCCACAGGGCAAACCCGTCCACAATTATCACAGTCATAATGCATTGAGTGTGGAGACCGTTCTCCGTTCTTAGTTTTTCTTGCTCGCCTCCTCCTCGCTGAATGTGTTGTGCTTGGGCTACTAAAATAAAACCAGCTAGCGCGCTGCTCGCTGTGGAAACTGCTGACACACACTCGCACACATACAGAGCCAGGGCCTCACCTGTGTGTGTCTGATAACAGCGAATGAGGGTGCGAACGAGATGGCGAGTGGCAAGAAGAGAAGTAGCAAAACAAGGGAGACAATGCGCCGACGCGATCTATCTGGCCGTCTCGCTCACACCTATAGCACATGAGGCTGCAGAGTGTTGCCAACTGAATTTTTGGCGCGACCTAACAGTGGTTGTTGTAGGCGCTTCAATTTCCAGCTCCCTTTTGTAATTGTTTTCGAGGCATTGACCAGACCAGACCGACCACATCTTGTTACAGCGCCCGTCGCCTTGTCTTGGCTTTGTCCCGTGTGTGTCCACTTCCTGCTCCGCCGTTCGCAACTGTGGGTGTGAATCACGCCTGCAATCGCCTTGCCTTTTGTTTTCCCTCCTCACGCCCTCATTCACACGCAACGCAAGAAGATTGCGACGCATTTACCGAATTAAAAAAAAAAAAAAAAAAATAATAAAAATAAAAAGGGAAAAACAAAAGCTAATAAAATACCGCTGGCGCAATACCCTGTGGCCATGTGTGCGGCGAAAAGAGACGGAACTATGGGGGGGCCTCGTGCTTTTGTCTTTTACCGCCGAAGCAGCGGCAGCACGTTTTTTTTTCCGCCACCGTGTTCTGGGTTTCCAAACTTCTGTGAATCAGAACTTGAAAGTTGTTGTTGCCACCTCTCTTCTCTCTAGCTTACTCTTTACGAGTTGTACTTGTTTTGCTTTTTCGTGTTCCTTTGCATTCTGTTTACACGTACACCACCCAAGCGCAATCACTCGCACTCACACACGCACAAAAAGTACAGGTATGCTGCGTACGCCGACTGCGCTGCTGCTGTCGGCATACTGCAGGCGGACAAGAAAAAAAAATTAAATGTTTGGCGGAAAAACAACACACGTGATTTCTGGAGATTTTGACAAAAAAAAATATTAAGAATATAAACAGGGATCAGCATAAGGCGAAAGGAAAATTTCGCGAATACAGCATTGCTACACAAAGACGAAACACACAGCAAGACGTAGACGAAGAAAAGCAACTTTTGCTACAACAACTTCTCTGCAGTTCCTACTACTTCTCCTTTTTTCTCTTTGCCTCCTCCTCTTCTTCTTGAATACTCACCATGTCCATTAGCGCCCACAACTTTGCCAGCGTTGGTTTTGTTGGGGCTGCCGAAGCCGTTGCAGTTGTTGGTGGCGCCGGGATTGCTTGGCTTGATGACAATGTACTTGGATTTGAGGTTCTCCAGCACCGATTCGTGGTAGTTTGGCACCTCCTCATACTCGATTTTGGCCATCAAAATGCGTTTTGCGTTAGCCACAATGTGGCTCTGAAGATTGCCAGAGTCGTCGCCGGTTTTGGCCTCGTCAGCAGCAGCCGCCGCCCTGGCCGCTCCGCCACCGCTCCCGACGCCGACGGAAACGCCGAGTGATTCTCGCAGAGCGGCATTGACGACGTTTGCCGTTTCGCATACGGCCACCGACACGGGCATGGCGATGCTCCTGCTGCCGCTGGTGGTGGTGGGGATTTGTGGTGGAATCTTGGTAGGTGGGGGTGTTGGCGCCGCTGATTAAGGATGTGGAGGTTGGCCGTGGCTAGCTGCAGTTCCAGCTAGCTGCTGGGCATCGGCGAACCGCTCCTTCTGCTCCGCCCGCGACACGTCCTTCACACACCGTTCGTTGCCCGCGTTCACTCTCCTGGCTCTTTTTCACTCTGCTTTGCACACCGACTGTGTTCGCGGACCGACACACGCACGCACACTAACGCACACGGAAACACTCTTTTTCTAGCTCTGTCGACGGCTCCGCAATGATATTTGTTGGCAATCTGAACATAACTATTGGTGCCTTAACGAATTAAATCAATCCGAATTATTTTCGGTTGCGGAGAGAACACATTTTGTTACGAAAAACTGGCTTTCAAAAATAATGACCCTCGTGTTTCTTCCGACTGCGGATTCTCTTTCCTCCCATATTCGTCGTTTGGGGATGCCAACTGGCGGCAAATGCGCAGTGACGCGCTAGGCAAAGTGTCGTACTAACGCGTTTCACTGCAGCCCTACGATGTAGAGTTGCCAGGTTAATCCCACCCGTAGCACCTAGATTTCGGAGCTAAAACGATCTAAATACATACTATTTTTGGCTTCGCCGCAACTGGTCACACTAACGCGCTAATAGCTAGTGGCTCGAATACATGGCGTTGCCAGACATCCGGGTCTTGGGAATTACGGCAACACCGCATGCTAAACCAATTGTTGAATTAGAATTTAATTGGAAATCAGCTGATAAACATGGCCTCCACGGGACTCCTGGTCGTGTCCAATATCAAGCACCTGGGCAAGTCCCTGCGTGCCATTGAGAAGTACGTGAATTCGCTATACATTCACCTGAATGTGACGGCGGGGTCAACGTCCACATCGTCCACAGCTCCGCCGCCTCCGGTTTGGGGTCGCCTTATTTCCCAGCTGTACGCAAACAGCAGCAGTTACGTGGGCAACCAGTTGGACCTGCGAGTGCTCGTTTCCCCTCTTCGTCCAGGCGTCTGTGGAGCCCCCAAGCTTCGTCAGCCCGTGGACTTATTGTTTTCGGATGCTCACCACCCGGAGCTATGCGAACGCCTGCGGGCAGAACTTAACATTTCCAAACCCACTATCTTTCTGGAGGACACGCCCAGCTCCGACTTGAGCGGCCATGAGGACACCACGCAGGCTCCCAAGGTGTATCCGTCGGTTGTCCTGGGCGGCACCTTTGACCGCATCCATTTGGGGCACAAGATATTCCTCACGCAGGCGGTTTTGCGCGCCTGCAAGCGGCTCGTGGTGGGCGTGACAACCTCAGCCATGACGAAGGGTAAGCACTGGATGAGTCGGCAAAAGATTCTTATCTTAATGGCCTTTGCTATCGCTGCTGTCTGCAGGCAAGACGCTGCCGGACTTGATTTTGCCCGTGGATGAGCGTATTTCCCGGCTCCGGGAGTTCCTCACGGACATCGACAGCACGCTGCAATACGAGATTGTGCCCATCGACGATCCCTTCGGGCCCACCCAGGTGGATCCTGACCTGGATTTGATTGTAGTCAGTGCGGAAACCCTGCGAGGTGGGCAAAAGGTCAACGAAATACGAAAGGCGAAAAATCTGGGACAGCTGGAGATATTCGTGATTGACATTGTCGAGAGCAATGTGCACGACGGCATCCACGAGACGAAGGTCAGCTCAAGTAACACCCGCATTGACCTACTTGGCAGCCGCTGGCGTAGGCCCGAGCCACGGCCTTACCTTCCAGCGCATCCTCACATCATCGGTCTAACAGGGGCATTGCCTCGGGCAAAAGCAAGATGGCAGAGAGGCTGGGCTCCATGGGCGCCAAGGTCATCGACTGCGACAAGGTAGCCCACGATGTCTACGAGCCAGGACAGCTTTGCTACAAACGGATCGTTGAACATTTCGGAGTGGCCATTTTGTCGCCTGACGGCCGCATTGATCGCGCCAAGCTGGGGCCCCTGGTCTTTGCCGATCCCAAGGAACTGCAGGCACTCAACGACATTGTCTGGCCGGAACTTATCGCTGAGGTCAACCGAAGACTAGACGTCCTGCGTTCCCAGGCTGATGTGCCACGCGTGGTGGTCCTGGAGGCCGCGGTGCTGCTGCGCGCTGGCTGGGAGACCAACTGTCACGAGGTGTGGTCCATGATTGTACCGCCGGAGGAAGCCGTTCGACGGATTGTCGAGCGCAACAAATTCAGCGAGGACGAAGCCAGGAAGCGGCTGGCCAGCCAGGTGCCCAACCAGGAGATCGTGGCCAAGTCTCACGTGATATTCAGCTCGCAGTGGGATCATGACTTTACTCAGAAGCAGGCGGAGAGAGCGTGGAAGATGCTCTCCGCGGAACTGGAGGCGACGCAGAATAGTCGTCTTTAGAGCGGATCGATATTTCAATTGTTAATCCTTTTTATGTATTTTGTTGTACATTGCTTAGTTTTAAGTCGAAAGTTGAAGAGAAGATTGCCGGGACATAATTGGGAAAACGATGAAATTTGCATGGGAAATAGCCTGGGTATCCTCTGCCCTAGTGGCTCTCGCCCTTCTTGCCGGCCACCCGCTTGAAGTCGTTCATCTTGGTGGTCATGATCGGGGAGCCGATGAAGCCGATGTAGTCAATCTGTGTCACATCGCCGCCGGATTGATTGTTCTTCACAAAGATCTGGATGTTTTGCACGTTCTGGAACTTGACGTAGCGCAGATTTACGGGCACTCCGTTCTCTAGTTCCTTCTCAGCCAGGCTGCAAGCGGAAATATAAATAGCAATTAATACTGGGTTCACACAGGGGTTCGTTGGGTTAAAAAGAAACTCACCTGAGATCCTGCACACTGGTCATGGACTCGGCCATGTCAAAGTCTATGGTGCGCGGCTGGTTAATAAATAGTTTGACATCCTTGGGACCCAATTGCGATGGAGCTTTAAATTTCAGCGAGTGTATCTTAACAGCCTGGTTGAAGGTGATGGACATTATTAGTTGCTCATCACAGTCGGACTGCAGATAGCCGCCGGCGGAGGCCAGGGCGTGCTTTAGGCCGTGGTCGTCGGATTCGTTGAGGCACTCGCACTCCTGCTTCGAAATGAATGTGTTTAGCTCCATCTGACAAGGGTTAAAGAATAAAGTTAGTTTGGAAGAGATTCGGGGCTGCTTAACCTACCAGTCCCTGGCCGTAGTCTTCGCCCGCTTCTTCGCCAGAGCTTGTGCCGATGTGCTCCTGGATCTTTGCCTCCAAGCCGTTGATATCCGCTCCCTGAATGCGGTCGATCTTGGCCCTGTTTCTGTAGAAGATAAAAGTGGGCATAGCTGACACGCCCTGACCTGCTGCCGTGTCCTGGCACTTGTCCACGTCCACCTTCAGGAAGATCGCCTTGGGGTACTTGTTCGGGAACATCTCGAAAATGGGAGCAATCCGCTGGCAAGGACCGCACCATGTCGCTGTGAAGTCCACGACGACTAGGCGCACGCCCGCCTGCGTTAGCTCCGCTTGGAAGTGGGATTCATCGTTGATCACGCGTACGGACATTATGCTATATTTTTTGTTTTAAATGCGAATTTGCGAGGCGACAACAAAAAGATGACTGGCAGATGTTGAAAAAAAAACATCATTAATGTGACCGAGCAGAACGGCACAGTGGAAAAATACTAAAGTACTAAAATATTATTATTAAAATATTTTTGTATAATTACCTTTATTTATTATCAAATCGCTTTTTATTTTAATTTGTTGTCCTTATTTTAAATTTTAAATGTTTTGATAATATCATTTGCACTTCGAAGTAATAATAAATGCGCGGCGCCTTCACTAGGGTTGCCAACCATTCAAGATTTTGGAACTTATTTTTATTTCTTTCAAGATATATACATATAACTTAATTTTATTCAATTAACTTAATTTAATTTTAATTGTTTACTACAATTGTTTTCATCTATACATAGTATATTTTCCTTTTACAATTACAGTTTTTCATTCACAGATTTGAATTTTCTCCTTGAATTAAAATCAGTTCCAGGTAAAGTTGTTTCTTTCTTTTATTATATATTAATTATTTTATAAAAGTATTTATAATGGCTGCAGGGCTTTCCATTTTTTATCTATATATATATATTTTTTTTAATAAAATGTTTTAAAAAACAATCAAAGTTAAAAAAACGCATAGCTCAGACAAAAAAGTATTAATTTTATTTCGGAAAGCATTCTTAAGTTCGTTTTTATTACTTTAATAAATCTATATACCAAATTCAAAATTTAAAGAAATTAAAATTTGCAAGTTTTTGAAAATTTTAACAATGTAAAATTTATAAAATGTAAAAAAAAAAGTGCTAAATTATTTTTATGCCGGAGATGGCTAGATCAACTTGGATTTTAATGCTGATCAAGAATAGCTTATAGGTCAAAATGGATTCTTTACTGGGTTGAAACTTCAGAATAAAATTAATTACCGTAAAAGGTATATAAATTGCATAGCCAAGTGGATCTCAATGATATTCCGGACCAGTCTTATTTATATCAATAGTTTTAAGGCCGTAATTATGGGAATTTCATTGGTACAGGTTAAAATTTTCTCACCCACCGTACAAGGAAATGACTGAAAACACGGAAAATTCTTCAAGTTAGTGTGGCCAGACCTTAAAAACAAGTATTTTCGCGGAACAACACGGTGGGCACACTGCTACTACCTCGTGGTTTTGTTTCAGGCATTTTCATTCCCATTCGCCATTTTTAAAACGCTACGCTAAAGAGTACACCATGGCAGAAGTGGAAAAGGAGCCGACTATCGCCGAGGATTTGGTGGTCACAAAGTACAAGTTGGCCGGCGAGATTGTCAACAGTAAGTTACCGGCCCGTGGCCGCCGAGGGAAAGCGGCTCCAGTCGCGCTGCTACGTGGCGCTTACACAATTCACTCGCACAAATGCCGCTTTCCCTTTCGCCACGCGTTTATAAATGCGCCTATTTCTGGACTCTTGGTTACATTTAATTTTAGAAACACTGAAGGCGGTGATTGGACTCTGCGTGGTGGACGCCTCCGTGCGGGAAATCTGTAGCCAGGGGGACAATCTGCTCACCGAGGAGACCGGCAAAGTAAGTAATGAATGTTTCCGGTTGCGCGTAGCCCGCGCATCGGTTGAAGTTGTTGTCCAATGATTAAAACTACGCCATTGAGGGGCGCCTTTGATGCGAGCCATGGGCCGTTCGGTTTGGGCCCTCGTGGTTGCCAGGCGCTCGTGGGGATTAAGTGCCCACGTGCCCGACCGGCCTGTAGTGCTTGCCATTGGAATCCCGAGGATTCACAGATTATGAGATCTGAGGACACAATAGTCGCAATTGTTGCTTCTCGCTGTGCAGAACCGCCCAACTAAGCCTTTAATCCCTCCGCAGGTATACAAAAAGGAGAAGGAGCTGAAGAAGGGCATCGCCTTCCCCACCTGTCTGTCCGTCAACAACTGTGTCTGCCACTTTTCGCCATCGAAGAACGACACCGATTACACGTTAAAGGCCGGCGATGTGGTTAAAATGTAAGTGGTTTTCTTACTTATAGCTGCTTCACCTCCTTAAATCTTTCCTTTCTCCTGCCCCACACAGCGACTTGGGGGCCCACATCGATGGATTCATTGCCGTGGCCGCTCACACGATCGTTGTGGGAGCCAGCGCGGACCAGAAGATCACCGGTCGCCAGGCCGATGTCATCCTCGGCGCCTACTGGGCTGTCCAGGCTGCTTTGCGCCTGCTTAAGTCCGGAGCCAATGTAAGTTTACCAACCTATTTAATCACTGTCTTCTTCATGCAAGAAACGGATTGTCTTTCGCTATTCTCCAGCGACTGAACATCTCAACACTTGCAGAGATCAGCGGTGGCGGCTGGTAATTGCTTTTGCCTATTATTGAGGGCTGTGGGCTCTTTGCCAGTTGTCCACATGGTTATTTCTGCTGCAGGCAACGGATTGGCTGCTGCCAAAACTTTGGCACAGTACAGCTCAACGCCTGCAGAGAGCAGCAAGGTCTATTTCGTGAACTGAACAAGTTCGTTTCTTAGAAATGTTCGGTCTTTAAAGTTGTCCACATCCATAGTCTTTTAAATAAATTAGAATCTGCAGGCAACGGATTGACTGATGCTCCAACTCCTAGCACAGTTCAGCTCAACGCCTGCGGATAATAATTGCGTCAATTTCGTGAACTGAACAAGTTCGTTCTTGAGAAATGTTCGGTCTTTAAAGTTGTCCACATCCATAGAGTCTTTTAAATGAATTAGGATCTGCAGGCAACGGATTGACTGATGCTCCAACTCCTAGCGCAGTTCATCTCAACACCTGTGGATAATAATTGCGTCAATTTCGTGAACTAAACAAGTTCGTGCTTGAGAAATGTTCGGTTTTTAAAGTTGTCCACATTCTCAACTAATTTATGAATACCTTTATCTAATGATTACTTTGATAGATGATTAGGATTGACATATTGTTCGATTATACCAAAGTGTTAATTTGTTTTTAACTCTTTTCGGTGGCGTCTACGTAGCTTGCCAACGTCACCAAAAATAAATAGGCTTCTTAATATAAAATGCTTACCAATGCAATTGATTTTTGTACACAATTACAGAACTACGCCATCACCGATGCAGTGCAACAGATCAGCGAGTCATACAAGTGCAAGCCCATCGAGGGCATGCTTAGTCACGAGCTGAAGCAGTTCAAAATCGACGGCGAGAAGACCATCATACAGAATCCCAGCGAGGCGCAGCGCAAGGAGCACGAGAAGTGCACCTTTGACACCTACGAGGTCTATGCCATCGACGTAATTGTCAGCACCGGCGAGGGAGTGGTTAGTAGATCCGACACTTACCATATTCAAACTTCCATCTAGTTCGATGATTAAGAAACACGCCCTTGAGGCTGACCAAGTTGGGTCGCGGAGTTTGCCACGACAGCGTCTAGCACGCACGGTGGGTCTTGGTTTGTAGACCCGGCACGTGCGAACACCAAAGCCCAGCCGGCTGTTGTCCGAAGATTGCAAGATTATGAGATCTGAGAACGTCTCTCATTAGAGTCCTATCTAATACAATATCCAGAACACGCTTGCTAAGCCCTTTTATCCATTTCGTTGCAGGGACGCGAGAAGGACACAAAGGTCTCCATCTACAAGAAGTCGGAAGAGAACTACATGCTCAAGCTGAAGGCTTCCCGTGCCCTGCTGGCAGAGGTGAAAACCAAGTACGGAAACATGCCCTTCAACATCCGCAGCTTTGAGGAGGAGACCAAGGCCCGCATGGGCGTCGTCGAGTGCGTTTCTCACAAGATGATTGAACCCTTCCAGGTTCTGTACGAGAAGCCGAGTAAGTTTTATTTAATATGTGAGCTCAATGTAGGATTTAGATATGCGCAAAACTTAATTCCGGATTTGGTACACCCTTGGGTGCTAAATGCGGCCAGACATTTTGCCAGAGCGAAACCCCAGGCATTGGCGTCTTCAGCATTTGCTCCATATATTGCCTCTGTCTGAACATGCCAATGCCACAAATCTTTTCAATCTATGAATTCTTTGTCTTATTTAATGTTAATTTATGCAGAATTTAGACAAGATCTTTGTCAAAAGGTTAGGCAAACCTGTTCACTTAAACTAGCTCCTGTATATATGGTTAACAATGTATTAAATCCTGTTTTTGAAGCTTACTAATAGACTTCTGTTTATCTTGAATTACAGGCGAGATAGTGGCGCAGTTCAAGCACACTGTCCTGCTTATGCCCAATGGCGTCAATTTGGTTACCGGCATCCCATTCGATGTGGACAGCTATGTGAGCGAGCACAGCATTGCGCAGGAGGAGCTCAAGGTAGGCTGACATCTCTCCAAAATCCAAAATAAATTCTAATCGGAAACCATTGATTTGTAGGATCTGGTCGCGCAGCCACTGGGACCCGTCAAAGGTAAGGGTAAGGGCAAGAAGGGAGCTGCTGGAGCGGCGACAAAGGTAGAATCGGCGCCGGCCGTTGAAACCAAGGCATAGGCCTCGCGCAACCTTAACCACCATCCCCCTCCAACAGCAATTGCTAAAAAACTACAATGTGAACAATTGCGCTGCCTATCGCTGCCGCTCCACAGATTTTTTACTATCGAATTCGTTGCGTAGTACACACACACACCCGCCCCTTTTGACAACCCACACGGCAACCACAATTTAAGGAGGATAGTTGTTCATTAGCCCGCAGAGCAGTAGAATGAAAACGCAGAGCCATTTCCCCGATCCTATCCATCCATTAGCAGGACGGTTTCGGCCGCTCCAAATTTACCTCTTTATTTCCGTTACTATAGTAAGCTGACTTCGTCTATCGGTTTGTTCAACATCATCGCAACGAAAGCAAAAGCAAAAAAAAGGAAATCAAGAACTGTCGTCAAATTGTAACAATTTTAACGCTAAAATGATCTTTAAATATAATTCAAGATATATGAAACAAAAACGTTATTAACGCTGCGTAGTATGTATTAAATAAAATTAACATTTTCTATAAAACAAAGCGATAAATGCCATATTTTGCTGGGTATTAATAGTGTAACGTAACCATTTCGAATTGCAGACGCTTGTTTTTAATTTTTTTTTTTTTTTTTTACAATAAATGCACTTGACCAGTTGTGTTTTTATTTGATACTTTTTAATTTAGTTTTGATGTTCACATTCACATTATACAGTTCGTTATTTAGATTTCTTGCTTTGTTAAGTTAAATTTTACAGTCTCATCTTTGAACTCTGGTATAACGAAAGTTGCAAGAATAACTTCGTGATCGATACGTCGTCGTGTGAGAACTGGCCCCAGCCTGCCCAGCTTCAGACCTATGATCCAATACAATCTATGCCAGCCATCCGGCTCCTCCTCACTCTCCACTTGCGTCAAACAAAATAAACAACAACAAAATACGCAATTGCTACGGATAAAGTATATAGAAAACACGCGACCAGCAGCTGCAGCTGTCGCTGGGATGCGGATGCGGATGCCAGGATCTGGGATTTAATTGTCTGCCGTCGTTTAGGTGTACATACATGGTTTGGTGTACTCTCTACGTTGTGCTGGCGACTGTGTCTTCTATTCTAGATCACGGCTCTGGCGGCAGCCTCGCGGCCATCCTAGTTATCGACATGCACGTCCATCGGCGCCGAGGCTGTTACGTTGCTCGACTTTTCCGGTGAGTCCAGGTAGATCTTCAGAGCGCGCTCGCGGCGCTGAGAGTAGCGCGTGGTGGATACACAGCCGACGCGGTCCAAGCGAGCCTTCTCCTTGGCATTCATCTGTCGCCGCTCCTCCAGCGTCAGTTCCCGCGCCGGCACGCTCTTATCTCTGTTTTGGGTAGGATTTGTGTTTAGTGTTGGCTCTGGCATTCTACTCTCTGGGGCCCAAACTTACTTGTACAGGTAGATGTTCGCTGCCTGTGTAGTGTTCAACGGATACTTGTCCACGGTGGCCGGTACCGAGTACCAACTGGTGGACTCGTTGACGCTCACCGCTGATATGCTTGTGCAGGGGAAATTGCTGTTCACCTGCAGGAAGAGTATACATCTGGTTAAGATCTGGATGGATCGGGCGTTGCACTTGTCCTACCTTCATATAGCTGAGTTTGTCCACTGTAATGTCGCTGATCTCTGATAACGAGCGTCTGATTTCGCTGTCCTCTGGAATGGAAATGGGTTATGATGATGTGAATGAGCATTCATTTGGTACAATATCTATATTTTTACAGGGTTTTAGATAGCAGACACATAAAAAAAAAACAAGAACTTACGGTCCAAGGTGATTTCCTGGAACTTTCCAAACTCCATCTTTGCCGGACACCAACGCCTTACGAATATGGTCAGAGTATCGTCCTTGGGCTGTGGATTCACTCCCTCCTCGCACTCCTGCACAATGAACTGCGAGCGACACATGAATAACAATTTTAATATTCACCCACATTAATCTGAAGCAAGATTATATAAAAACTCACCTCCGCTGTGCTGGTCGAGCGCATGTCACTGTACAGGGTCTCGTCGTTGGCCAGAATCTTGATGGGACTGCGACCGCCCTTCAGCCAGATGCGGCAGTTTTCCACCGATAGTGTGGCATACTTGGCATCCATGCGGTGCAGCTTGGCCACCAGCTCCTCCTTGGCCTGCTCCGCGGTGGTATTGGCATTGTATACCCACTCGCAGATGCAGGGCAGCTTGGAGGTTTCGTTGTCCAGGTCGCCGAGTCGCAGAAAGCTAATCTTGGCCTTAAACTCATCCGGCTGAAGAGTCTTGCCCAGCTCCACGGTTAGGGTCTCGCCCTCGGTAAGGAGGACCAGCGAGTTGTTCTGGTTGCTGGACAGATTGCTCTCATGCTTGCGCTGCAGCTTGAAGTAGGCGGCGGGCACTTGGATCAGCTGCTCGATGTGGCGCTTGAAGGCGCCCATGCGCATATGGGTGCCCACAAGCAGTTTGTAGGCGCGCGTTGGTTTCCTCAGCTGCGCCTCCTCGTCGGACTGATGGCCGGAGCTAGAACTAGTGCCCACCACATCCACGCATTCTATCCGGCTGGCGTGGAAGAAGTGTGGTGTACTGGTGGGCAGAAGCAGTGGATCCAGTGGATCCGCCGCCGCATAGCTGCCGTTGCCATTGCAGTAGGCATGTACCCGCATCATGGCGTCGTGGGAGGCCGCCTCATCCTCGGGGCTGGACAGCTGCGGTGAGTGACTGGTGGAGCTTACCTGACTGTCGCCGCCACCACGATGTGCTAGGTTATCCGACTCCACCAGGGTGCGATCCCCGTCGCTCAAACTGCTGTCCTCCGAATTGGATTCGTGACCATGGCTGGGACTGGCCTGGGTAAGCGGCTCCAGCAGATCCCGCTTGTAGCGCCGCCAATCAGAATCGTTGCTGGAGGATTCGTGAGCGGGTCCCACGCCGTTCATCATGGCGGCATCAACAACGTCACCACCGCTTGCAGACTAAACAAGGGAAAGTCACGAAAGAGGAAAGTTCATTTAATTGAGAATGGGAATGAAAATATCACAGTAAAACTCACCTCGACTGACTCTACGCTGGGCACCCCCAGTACTTCCAGGCTGGCTGCATCCGTATTGGGCACGTTTAAGTAAAAGTATGTGATGGATTTGAACTGGGTGTTGGCCAGGTTCTGAAGCTGCTGCAGCGCCTCCGGCGTCGGGTGCGGATCGTAGGCAACATAGGCCTTGGGAATCGTACCGCGTACCGTGGCAAGCAGGAACGACTCCTCATTAATGTGCAAACGGACGGCGATGGAGCGACGGAGGACGTCGCTGGCTTCCCGCTCCCGCGCTGCTGAGTAAACCAGGAAGGGACCGTCCATGGCCATGGTCGATAGATCTACCATAAACACATACCAGGTGATGCCGTCCGGGGCGTAGGTCTCGAACTGCTGATCCTCAGCCCGGTACTCCAGCAGGAAGTCCAGGCTGTAGTTCTGTGAGGCCCGCAGCTCGGTCAGAGTCGGATCTGTGCAGTTCTCCAGCGACTGGATAATCGTGTCCATCGTGGAGTTGTAGGCCACTAGTCGGCAGCGCGAGATCGGAGCAAATTGTTCCACGCTCAGCAGCTTGTAGGCGGACATCAGCACACTGTCGATGTCGAAGCTTTGCGAGACATAGACCCGCGTGGTCTTCATCTTCTTTAGCAAGGGATTGTAAAAGAAGACGCGCGGCTTGTACAAATCCGGAAGAGCCAGGTCTGTGACTATATTATGCCTTCCCAGGCGTGTTACGCGAGTCTCCTCCTCCGAATGCAACTTTGGCAGCAGTGTCTTGATGTGCTCCGGAAAGTCGGCCACTTTGGCGACATGCTCGTTCCGCTTGGCATCCACCTGGCGGTACATCAACATGTAGGCGTTGGTGCTCGAGGTGTAAGCACTCGAGTAGTAGCTGCCATTGGGTCCTCCGAAAGAACGCTGGATATCCTCCTGCGTGATCTGTGGGCAGACAGAAAATTATAGAATTGGATTGGAGGAAGCAGGGGGAAATCTGGGGAATAACCTACCGTTGACACATTCTGATCGTTGAAACAGAACCACTCGTTGCTATCGAAATCCTTGATATAGGCATAGTAGTGGCCACCCGAGGCGCTGCCCGAATGGATCATGATGGCGAACAGCTCGTACATATACGGCCCGGAGCCCTGCTTGGCGCTCTTGCTGGTGCTGCTACTCATATCGATGCCTTCGTCCTCGTCGTTCAGATCATTCTCATGCTGGCTGGAGCTGGCGGTGGTCACTACGCCGCTGCTCAGGTTGTCATCCTCCATGGCCGAGCCACTGTCCGCAGTGCTGCAGTCGTCCACGGTTCCGTTCATCTGCGAGCTCTGTTCGCCACTGTTGCCGCTTCGGTTGATGAAAGTGTTGAGGTTCAGCGTTTGCGGGAAGGTCACTCTGTGAAAGCAGAAGGGATTGGTATGAAAATGTGGTTCCTGTGGGGTTTGCGACACTCACCTGTCGTTGAGCTTGATGCGGTGCATGGTCTGGTAGTCAAAGTCGAAGCGCTTTAGGTGCAGTGTGAGGACGTAGGGAAAGGATTTGAAGTGCAGTCCCTTGTGCGCGTCACACTTCTTCTTGCACTTCTCGCAGAGATACTGGTTGTTGCCGTCGAGCGTCTCCGGCTGGACGAAGGCACGCAGAGCCTCCTCAATGCTGCCGTAGGCCGAGCTACTGCCGAAAGGACGTACCGGCAAAGGGATGTCCAGGAAGGTGTCTTCGCGCGTCTTCTCCGTATTGCACTCCAGACATTTGACATAGTCGTTCATCTTGCCCTCGTACAGGTTGGAGATGAGGTTCGCCTGCTTGGTGTTCTTGAACTTGTGCTCCAGGGCGTCGAACATGACGCGGCACAGCTCCTGAATGTCGTGCTGCTGCCACGCCTCGGTCGAGTCCCAGCCAAAGCTGCGGGTCAGATCTGTGGTCTCCACCGCCGCCTTGGGCGAGGTCTGTAGGTTCAGGAAGAGCTTCTGCAGCTGATAGGGTATGTTCTTTGCCTCGTTGTCGTTGTCAAACTCCCAGCGATAGAGAGCATTCCGGAACTCGGGCGTCATGTAAAGCGCCTGCAGCAGACTGTTCAGATAGCAGGTCATGGCCTGGTTCACGAGTCCCACATAGCCCTTGGGGCCGCCGTTCGCATGTCGGGTCACCTCTCCCTCCGTTTCTGTGGTGGCCGAGGCCACAAAATCGGAGGCAGTGGCACGCTGCCACGAGGGCACATCATCACCGCCGTATTTGCGACGATAGAAATTGGATACAGCCGGATCATTGCCATCATCCGGTCCACTTGTAGCTTGTTCGCTGTCTCCGGTCGCACATCCGTCGCCTCCGTCCATGTCGCTTGCTGGAACGCCAAAGTCGTATCCTGGGCCGAGCATCGTTGGGCTTGCAGAAGCACCAAGCGCTAGATCATCGTCCGACAACTGCTCCGCATCCGATATGAATAGCTCTGACGATGCATCCTCTGACGGCGAGATAAGATGCTGCAGTTGGTCAGAAATATCTGCTTTGGTCAGCGTGTCGATGGGCTCGCTATCCAGCTCTTTGATGGGCGACGACGGCTTAGCGGGGCTTGTGACCTCGAGAGTAGTTGCTGCAACTGCCTTAGCCTGCGTCTTCTTTGGACTCGCCTCGGAGTTGGTGGCGGAGACAGCCTCTGGAGTGCTCTTTGGACTCTCTTCAGGGCTAGCCTTTGGAGCTTCCTCTGAAGCTTGCTGGGCCTTGGGACTCTTCTTTTCTGGCGAGGACTTGGCCTTGGGAGTTTTCTCTGTGCTCGGTTCCAAGCTAGCGCTGACTTTGGCGGTGGACGAAGAGTCCTCGGTCGTTGTTTTTGATTTGCTCGGCGACGTTGAGCCCGACGCCGTCTTCTTCTTGATTTTCTTCTTTTCGCCGGTGGCCGGGCTCTTGGCCTTCGCCTCGTCGGTCTTGGTAGTAGCCGCCTTCTTGACCAATACCTTCTTAATGGGCAACTCGAAGCGTTTACTGACGTCGCCGTCCCAACTGCCGGAGGGTAGCAGAACCAAGTGATTTTTTAACTGGCGCTCGAAGCCATCCACATCGTACAGCAGTTGTGAGTCCAGGGCATTCAGGTTGACCTTTACGACGGTAGATAGGTAACCATTAGTTTAAGCAAGAAGACAAAGAGAACCACCACTTACCAGATCCTTGTTGTCGTGGGGCTGCAGCAACAGCTCAAACTTTGCGTAGGGAAACTGGGTGCCGATGAGGTCGATCACTCGCTTCACCGTATAATGTGAGCGCACCACCACATTGATCTTTTTCTGCTCAGAGCCGGGCGTCTGGTCAAAGACCGAGACGGTGCACTGCTGCTGCTCACCGCCCTCCTTGTCCTTGTCCATGATGTCCTGGCTGCGGAGTTTTCAAGCGATGGTGCTGATGAAGGTCCTAAGGGACGAAATTAAAAGCGAAACGATGAGCTCTCTACACATGAATTTAGTTATACGATTTAAGCTTTTCCTGCCAAGGTAAAACAAAGGAGTTCTAGGCTATCATGACACCTTTGACGTGGCCAAGTTGCTGGTCATGGTGATGATGGCGACGATGCCTCCTCTACTTTCGGCCAGCTAAGGCAAGTAAATAAGGAAGAACTGTTGCGAAATCTTCTTGTTTTTCGACCTCATTTGCGAATAAAGCAACAGCCGAAAATCGAGAGGAGTCCATGCCGCCGTCCCCAGTTCCCGCTGCCCCAGTCGCCGCTATTGACGTGCTCCGGGTTTGCTTTTCGCGCCTTATTTGTACGGGAATAGCGCGCCAGTTGGCATCTATATATAAGCACGTACGCCCATCGTCCATCCTCCATCGCCCGTCGTGACTCACGCGAAGTGGAATTTTCGTAAACAAGCGAGAGAACCATTGACCAGCATCGGAGGATGCTACGTCTCCGATATGAGGACTGGATAGATCGTCATTGCATAAATTTTACTGCAAAATGTCACTCGGATGGTGGCGCTGATCGGAATTTCTTTGTAGGACTGGACCCGGGCTCCACATCATAACGGAAGTGGTGGTGATTATATGGCTTAATATCTGGCGCCGGCATTATGGCAGTGCGCAAATTGCAAGTGTTCCGCCCACACCAAAGTACATTCATATATCCATTGCCAATACGGGAATATTATTCTAGAAGAATTTGGTAAGACTTTACAAATTTAAAAGAGGCAAACTGTTCAGCTTAAAAGGTGGAATTGTGGATCAAGATATTGACATACTTCTACCTTAATTTAATAATAATTAAGTGATATATAAGTTTGTATTTAAATAACGAAGGTTTCTTTGCAAAATCTTATTTGATTTATGGCAATTATGACATTTATCTATGGACATTTCTGCTTTGATTTACATGCCTCTTTTATGGGGCAAAATTATGCTTGAATAAAGCGCCTATACATGCCAACGGATGCCATATTTAAATCGGGTCAATATATGTATATTTGGCAATTAATTTTTCGAGATTTAATAGCATCTAATTGAGTGTCCAATGCAATTTAAAGATTGCTTATTTACAATGTTTTTCCAATGCGAACAGAACCGAAATAACCACGATATATACAAGATACACAAATGTAGTGGCTGTTCTCTCTCTCGCTACATGGAAGATGCACCGCGACGGGATGTGGCGCTGTCCAAACACATGTTGGATGAAAGAGCGAGATGGGGATCCAAAAAATGCTAATACTCGTGGGGCCAGCAAGCGGCCAGAAATCAAAATAAGAAAAACCCGTGCTGCTAAAAATAAAGACAAGCGGCGACAGCGACAAACGACAAACGACAAAACAGCAGCGGACGGAAAAAGCACACACAAAAAGTCGAGAGGAGGCAGCAGGTCTTGGGAGCGCTTTTGAATACGCGTATATCTGGCTATTTGTAAATGCGAAGGTTTTCAACTAGACTCGGACTCGGCACCCGTGGATATGTATTCATCCGCCGGAATGCTGTGGCACTTTCAACACAAATCGGCAACGGTGGCGGCGGCCCACTCAATATTTACATGATGACGATGTGGAATCTTGCGTCAAATGTTTGTGTTGGTTTCTCGAAGCATTACAGAAACCGATATCGCGAGTTATCATATAGACAGGAGAGAGCGCAGCAGCGCCTGTATTCTCGCATATATTTGTGCTATTTTTGAAACTATTTGGGCAATGCGAAATCTATGATAGTTTCGATGGGGGGACGAGACGAGAGATGAGTGAGAGATGGCAACTGGCTGCCGGAAATTGCACAGGATTCCTGGGGCAATCCAACAAGTCATATAATGCACACAATCTCCATTACGAAATGGTTGCTATTCTTAGACAACTTCACTTGGAGCAGAGCCTACGCTGCTGCTGCTGCTGCTGCGCCCGACGTTTGGATGAATCAGTGTGTATATGCTCGGTGGGCCGTGCTCTATATGCATTGCTTTTACCGTCGTCTGATAGTGCCGTGCCGTTCCCAACTAGAAGAGGAGCCGACCGCCGTCAACGCACGACATAGTTCACGCGTGTACTGGCCGACTCGGATACCGATCGCCACATTCGCATTGCGATGCCGTTGCCGTTGCCGATTCCGATTCCGATTCCTATACCGAAGATATCCCACCCGATCTGGTGCGATCGCTCGGCCAAGAACATTTCTCTGCCTCCTCTGTTTGCCATGGGCATGATGCATCAGCTTGGGAGTGGGGCAAACTATAACGACTGTCTGCCAGTACAAGTGCTTCCTTCCTCCTCCTTTGCCGTGAAACTGTTACGCCCCGGAACCCGAGCCCCAGTCTGAGCCCTGGCGGATTACTCAATGGATATAGTCGATGGACTCGGCGTGGTCGGTGCTAGCGAAAGTGCCATTAGTGTTTGCGATTTCTCTCTCAAATGTCTCTCTTCTTTCTGAATGCGGGAATGAATGACTATTTTTATATGAGGCTGCAATCGACGTACTGAGACATCCTTTTCACAGGCGCCATGACTAAGTGCTGACCACTGCTGCCGCCGGCGTGGCGAATACGGGGAGAGTGCGAAAAAACCTCGTTTGCGCAACACTTTGGGGCCCTAGGTTCCAGGGGGCGGCGCTCGTTGGGTTTTCCCCGATCGGTCAAGGCTTTGTTTCATGCTATGCGTCTTTGTATGTGTGTGTGCGACCCGAAAAGTGGCCCCATCGAGTGTCCTTCGGGGCTAGGACGGTGGCCCCACAAAACTAGGCGCGTCCATATGGCGCAAATTCGAGGGGCCACCGCCGCTGCCGACTTGTGTTTTCTTCACTGTACCTGTATGTGTGCTGTGTGTACCTCCCCGCGCAATCACTCACCTAGATGAGCGTCTGTGTGTGTGTGAAAATACTGCAGTGTCTTCCTGCCGTGCGGTGTGGTGTAGGCGTGTGTGCGGGAATCTCCTTCACTTGTGGCTCTGCTTTCTCACTTCCAGTCTTCCTCACGGCGTTTGCGACCAGTCGGTACGCGGTTAAAATCCGGTTAAAACGATGGTCTACGCGACATTTTTCACAAATGTTTTTTGCTGTTACACTGCGGCTGTTTTGCTTCTGGAGTTCGGTAGTGTGACTGTCGTTTACCGCTGGAAAAATACCGAGCATGAACGAAGCAGGTTTTTAGTACATGTGACCGTACACTGGTGTCGGTATTTTATTTGCTACATAGAGTGTTGCCAACTCGGCTAATTTTGGTTATGTTACAAAATAAATTATCGATTTTAAATAACTCAAATAAAATTACAATTAAGTTATTTTAGCCATTCAGCATTCAATACAAATACCAAAAATATACCATTCAGCGTGAACAAATTGTGTAGATTAAATGCCAAAATAGAATTTTCATATCAATTGTAATTGACAGTTTTGCCATCATTTGATTGCGGTCACAGTCCTTTTTATTTCGAATGTGATTTGCGATTTAGTTAATTTGTTGATTAAAGTCAGTAGAAAAGATTTAAGAATTTATAATATGTCATGTCGAGACAAGAAAGTACAAGGCGAAGTTGAGTCTCGCAAAGACATACTATTAGTTTTTCACACAACATCGTTTACACTTTACTTGACGAAAGAATATCATTTAATGAGAAGCTTTATTATAATAATATTAATAATGCTGATGCATATAATATATAATTGTTTGTTTTGTTCAAAAATAACGGCTTTTCTTATCGATGGTTTTGGAAATTGTTTGGCTTTTTTGGCTATTTTACTTGGTCCGCCCAGCTATAAACGGCGACCGATAGGTGGCAGCACTGCTTGTACTTCTGCATTTGGGACCGATAGACAACACACTATCGATGTTTTTATATCACGTATTTCCCGATGCAACCCTAAGTATCGAGAAACGTCGAGAAATTTCGACGGAGACAGCAAAAATCTATATAAGGGGTGGAACGAGCGCCTTTGCCTCATTATCAAACAAAAATTTTCGGAGAAAGAAAAGAAAGTTGAGTGTGTTATTCTGCGCACGAGAAGCGGTGGAAAAAGCGAAGAACAATTGATTCAATTTGTGCAAACGTTATAAATATTTTAAATACTCGACGTAAAAGCATAAAAATCAGTGACAGAAAAGCAACGCCCTTGTGTTTGGCCATTGGACTTACATTTGTATTTGGATTATACGGATTTGGAGACATTTTAGGTAAGTTGCGGTGGACAGGCATATTAGCATATTATATAGCTTGTGTGGGAGCATCCCTCGACTTGACTTCCCTCCGCTTCCATTCCCAATTCCATCCGAGAACGGCGTGGCGCTTGCTGGCTACGTCACTCGCATGACAACACGGCAGTAGAAGCGGACGTTGCACAACGCGCGGGGGCTTCTAGCAATTTCCACAGAACACCGAGTACCAAGTACCAAGCACCGAGCAGTAGACATTGAAAGAGCATTCAGTATAATAATCTATTTCGTTTTTCTGCTCACTTTCAGCTGAGGCAAGATGGGCAAGGACTTTTACAAGATTCTTGGCATCGATAAGAAGGCCACCGATGACGAGATCAAGAAGGCCTACCGCAAGCTGGCTCTGAAGTACCATCCGGACAAGAACAAGAGTCCGCAGGCGGAGGAACGCTTCAAGGAGATCGCGGAGGCGTACGAGGTGTTGTCGGACAAGAAGAAGCGCGACATATTCGACAAATACGGCGAGGATGGACTGAAGGGCGGCACCCCGGGCCCAGATGGCAGCAGCCAGCCAGGGGCCTACACCTATCAGTTCCACGGTGACCCAAGGGCCACCTTTGCGCAATTCTTTGGGTCGTCGGATCCCTTCGGAGTGTTCTTTGGCGGCGGTGACAACATGTTTGGCGTCCAATCTAGCGGCGGCAACAGCGATGTCTTCATGAGTCCCGAGGACATGTTCGGCGGCGGCGCCTTCGCCGGCAATCCCATGGCCGGTGCCTTCCGCTCGCAATCGTTTAATGCCCAGGCGCCCAGTAGAAAGCGCCAGCAAACACAGGACCCACCCATCGAACACGACCTGTATGTCACACTGGAGGAGGTGGACAAGGGCTGCACCAAGAAGATGAAGATTTCAAGGATGGCCTCAGGCAACGCTGGACCGTACAAGGAGGAGAAGGTGCTGAGCATAACGGTGAAGCCTGGCTGGAAAGCGGGCACCAAGATAACCTTCCCCAAGGAGGGCGACGCAACGCCCAACAAGATCCCGGCGGACATCATCTTTATCATCCGGGACAAGCCGCACTCGCAGTTCAAGCGTGAGGGCAGCGATTTGCGCTACACCGCCCAGGTCAGTCTGAAGCAGGCGCTTTGCGGAGCCCCCATAACTGTGCCCACGCTGCAAGGCGACAGGATTCCAGTGAATCCCAGCGGCGAGATTCTTAAGCCCACTACCACGAGACGCATCAGTGGGCGCGGCCTACCCTTCCCTAAAGAGCCGTCACGGCGTGGCGATCTGCTCGTGGCCTTCGACATCAAGTTCCCCGACACACTGCCGTCCAGCGTGCGTAACCAGATGGCGGAGCTGCTGCCGAATTAGGCATAGGCGGGAATTTCTACTGTTATCACCCTAGTTAAGGCCTATATTTAGTTGATTTAACACGTAAGAAGTAACAATCTAATGAAGGCGAAGACAACAGTGTGCCAAGCGAACAGCTGTATATATAGCCGAGCGAATTCAGACGCTAGATAAGATAGGGAAGAAAACACATACTTGAGCGCATGCTTTGTGTTTTGGAGACTGATTGAGATTTGAACAATATTTATCCTAGAGCACCAATTCCACATATACCCCCAAATTCAAATCTCCTTATATATTTATTTAAGACCCACACATCCGAAAGATAAGAAATAAAAGGTATTATAAATTGAAAGTAATTCGCGGTTTTTGTAGATCGCAAGGCAGCCCTGCTCTGCGGCATTCCATGGATGATATTATAGTTGGGAAACTACACTTGTACTTGTAAGCTTGCGCCGAGTAGATTATAGTACGTTTTAGTACCAATTATTATTATATTTAGAAATAAAGTTATTCCTACAAATTTAACTAGTCTTTTAAATGCTTTAGTTGCTTGATATGGCCGTTGGCGCGAGATCTAAAATTAAATTATTTGTAAATCAAGTCAAACTTGGAACTTGCCAGTACTTTATTATTGTGTTCAAATTGGTCTAATTTCTTACTGCTGACTTTAAATAGTTAGCCATATCTGCTAATATAAATTTATAAGCATGGACTCTTTAAATTTCACCTATTAATGAAAATTATTAACATAATACCGAAATAAATAAAGATTCCACAGTACCTTTTCGTAAGATAATTCACAGGGAAAGCATTTCTCCTTCTGGGGCGCGCACTGTAATTAGAGATACAAAATTAATGATGGCACTATCGATACTATCGTTTTTATTCCTCCAAGTCGATAAATATTCTAATGAAGAAAATATAATAGAGATTTCGTAATCATTTTCATTTAGTTAGATGTCTTACAGTTAAAAATAAGGGTTTAATTTAAATAAAAAGTTGTAAGAAGTCTCTGGTTTGTACCGTTAGAAAATCAAGTTACAATTGGGTGGGCTGCACCTAGTTTTCACACCCAGGTTAGCGTCCACACTGTTCTAGTTGGAGCATTGAAGTTATCATCAATAGTTATCGATATATCGATGAACACGAATATTTTCATCGCTTTTCTTAATTTTTTTTTTTTTAAATAAGTGATGCCCATAAACAAAAGATTTGCCACGCAAAGTGGCGGTAATTTTAAAAATTTCAAACATTTAAAAAAAATATATAAATAAAAATAGAAAGAAATTTCTAGTTGATAAATTTCAAATGAATTAATTTAACAAACAAAGAGTTTGAAAGAGTATACATACTCGAGAAATAAAACACTTTCGTTTTTATTTTTCTTTTTAAATTTCACATTTTATTTTCTTTTGTTTTTCACTTCAAAAGGATTTTGTAATTAATCATTTGTCACACATTTTCACTATCCTTATGTTGAGTGTTAAGTTTGCATTTGCAATTGTATAATCATTGTGTAATCTTTTTTTTTTTATTTTCTTACGCTTGCATATTATTCATTGTTGTTGTTTCTTGTTTTCAAAAAGTATTAACATCCATTGCATGTTCTTATATATTTTGTTTCTGTGTTGTTTGTTGTTCTTGCTGCAGCTGCTAAGTATGTTTGTTTTACAATTAAAATTGAAATTCAATGTGCTGCCACTCTGCGTGGCAGATTCCCAATGCGGCTGCCATTGCTTTTGGGCTTCTGTTTTCGAATCCCCTCTGGGAGCTCTATAGACTGTACTCAATATGCAATTGTGTGTGTGTGAGTGTTACCCTCTGCTGCTCTTTGGCCGAAAGGAAGGTGTGGTAAGAGATATAACTAACAATTACGCTCGAAAACAAATCAGATATCCGATAACAATTTGTTAAAAGAGACTTCAGTGCGTCGTGTGCACACGTGAACTTAATTAAATGAGTCGAGTACATGGTTTGGCTCTCAAACATTCGTATAATAGTGACTATGTATATATGTATATATATTTAATAAAAATGCTTTAAAAATAGTCAAATGCGTACAAAAAGTTTCACGCCGTTGCGAGTGCTCGCATTCAAATGAGTGTTCACATAATTTAACTATTTCATTTCGCTAGAGTCTTCCAACTGACTGACTGCACCTCGCCTGTGGTTGGTTGGTTGGTTGGTTGGGTCTGGGTTTTTATTATTAATTAATATATATTTATATTACCGCTGTCATCATCCTCGAACTTATATAAACCGTAAAAATATTGTTAAAACATTGTGATTCTCCTCTCATTTTCTCATTTGGTATTTTGGTAAATTTCTCCTGGTTTGTCCCGTGTTTGATTAGCATTCATCCGGCGGATGACCTATATCCTTTCGACTGTTTTGTATACATTTAGAATTTTTGTTGTTCTATTTACTCGACTTCTTAGCTATAGCTCTCTATGGTCTGTAGTTTTTTTAATATTATTATTTCCTCCTCGTCTCCCTTCGTTTCGTTTCGTTTCGTTTAATTAAAGTTTACCTTTGTATATTTAATTCAATTTGATTGGAAACCTAAAAAATGTTTTGATTATGTTTCGATTTGTTGCTACATGCTGGTTTTCAGGGGTAAAAAATGAATGAGTGTGAATGCCTGTCTCTAAGTACACCGAAAAACCAAAAACCGTTGACAATCAGTGCCGGGGGGACAATAATAATAATGTATGTACGTTTCAGCAATTGGGGGATTCTTCATTGTTCCTGAATCGAATAACATCATCGAAGCTGCATTCACAACCAATTAATTATTATTTCATTTTTCCCGTTTTGGTGTGGAATTCTCTCATTGTATTTTCAATATATTATCGTATTGTTTTTGCTAAAAATTCCCTCTACAAAAATGTGAAAACCATAGGTCGGTCTTGAGACATATCAAGGAAATCAGGGGTTTAGTTCTTCAATTAAATTTCGGTTCTCAAAAAGGTGCCTTGTCTATGGGGGATTTTTGGATTGATTTTGGGGTTCTGGTTCTCATTTGTTTAACTTTAATATAATTCTGTTTCGATTCTCGAGTTCTTAAAGAGTGTGTGTTCCAAGTGAAGTTCTTAATTATTATTGTAATTCTGCTAGAAGGTGTTGTTGTCTTTTTGGTTTGTGTTGCTTCTGCTTACGCTCATATATTTTCCATTTTGCTTGTTCTTTTGCGTAGTTTTTTTCTTTTTCATAGTTTGTGTTTTAATTTATTTGCCCGCATTTAACGTGTTTTGAGTTTTATTTTCTGCAATTATTTAGTTTTTTTGGTTTTTGCTGATTGGATTCTGTGTGTGGGGGTGGGGGCATTAAGCCCAATTGTTGTTATTTTTCGTATTTTTTAGTTTACCATTTAACATTTTGACTAAATTTTTGCTATTTTCGTTTTACCATTTTCGTTTATGTGTATGTGGGCGTTATGTATTTTTTTCAGTGTACTTCCTACGAACTAAACATTTTCATTGCTGCATTTTTTCTTGGTTGTTTTTTAATTGTTTCATTACGATTACGAGTGTGTCAGTGTGTGTGCGAGTGTGTGGCTTAATTGGCTAAAATTTTCTTCATTAACCACCTTGGGTTTGTTTTTCTTTTTCCTTATTTTTTTTTTGTTTGTTTTGTTTCTTTTTGCATTTGACTTTGTTTTTGTTTTTATAATTTAAATTCTCTAAGCCTAAATACAATGGTTTGCAATTTGTTTACGGGTCGTGTCTCCCTCCTCACGCCTGCGACAGCTTCGTCCTTTCGTCCTGTCCTCAATAAGTGTATGTATTTAAATCGAAATTACTTTCAAGTCTTTTTCAGCGACAAATGCATTTGAATTTGTTCTCGTATTTCTTAATCTGGTTTAATCTCCTTCCTTCTGCTTAGTTCATATTAAATCTGCTCAAAATCCTTCGCTTTAATTATGCCTTTTATTATATGTTTTGCACTTTAAATACAATTCAATATAAATCAAAGTCTTCTCTTGGTTTTGTATTATTATTATTATTATTATTTCAGATAGATTTTAGGTTTTTCTCATTCTAAGGGGGAACTCTCACGGGGTGGAGTCCTTTTTCGTGATGCGAAACGTAAACGTAAAACTGACAAAAAACTCTTCGATGTTTTATATCCTTTTAGTTAAAAATGGCAGACAGACAGACGGACAGAGCACCAGGAGCAGGAGCAGGAGCAGGAGCAGAGACAAACAGGAAGGTAAGCATTTTTCAACCGCATCCCATTCCTGATGAATTAAATCACTGCATTTTCATCTGTCAGGCTGAGCTTGAAAAATGCTTTCGATTTGATTTGAACTCTTGCTCCTGCTCCTGCTCCTGCTCCTGCTCCTGCTACTGCTCCTGATACTGCTCCTGCTGCCGTTTCACTTGCCTTTATTGCTGCTTTTGTTCTCTGTTGCCGTTGCCTTACACTTGATTAGTTAAAATTGAGAAATCGAACAAGGGATCTGAAGTTTTGAAGTTTTGAAGTCGAAGCTGGCTAAGAGCTCTTGTGCCGGCTTAGCGCTTAGCTTAGCTTTGCTTGATACTAAATGTTTTCGTTTTGGTTTTGCTTTGCTTTTTCTGATTTAATTTTTCACATCGTCTTTGCGGGTTGTTGACTGTGGATCTGTGCCTAAATTTATCATGTCTCGTGGTTTCCACACCGGGGACCCTACAATAAATGAAAGAAAAGAAAAGATACAATGGAAACCATATATGAAAAAATATATGAAATATTTTTCGGTTGTTTTGCAGAACTTAATTTGTAGTATTTCTGTTACTATTTCTTCTCTGTTTCTTCAGATAGAAAATATAGATTTAGAGAGCGAAAGAGTTAAGAGAGTTAGATAGAGATAGCGAGAGTTAGAGTGGGAAGGGGATGCGTCTCCAGTTGGGTTATATACAGATTTTCACAGGTTTAAATTGTGGCCAATTCGGGGGTTTCTTTGGTTAAAGTCGACAAAACAAAGCATGCAAGCAAGGGCTGGTTTTGGGAAAGTATAAGCAAAACTAATTATTGTTTAATGTTTAATGAGAACTACTTCAAGCAGGTTCGCTACTCGGGACTGGGGCTTAGTGGGAGTGATTAACAGCTAATTCAACAACTAATACGGGTGATTAGGTTTCTTTTTACTTTTATTTTTTGGGCGGGGGAAGGTAGAGTTGTGTTGGCTAAAATGTTGACATCGCTTGGTTCACTTTTATACTTGTAGTTTTTTTTTTTCTAGTTTTAATTAGTTCTCAGTTTTAGTTAATCACTAAGCACGGTTGGATTGTTTAATTCCCGAATTTGTGATTAAAAGTTTTGCATTTTATGCCAACATTTTCCTTTCTGCCTCTGATGTATGCTTTTCGTGTGAGTGTTTTCTTTTGCTTAGGTTGAGGTTGAGGGGGCTCCAATTCGTCAAATAAAATGAAAGATGGAAATTTATGTACATATAGATGCAGGGGGATAAGGACTTTTCCGTAATGCGTAATTCGTAATTTGTAATTTGGAAAATTTTGCGGTACAGTGGCTGTTGTGGCTGTGGCAGTGGATGAGTGGTGAAAAATTGAAATTGTTTCGCATTTTTGGTGTTGTAACCCACTTGCTAATTTCGAAATTAGTTTTCCAGATGCATAAAGTCAAAGAGCGTGATTCAAAACGATGGATAAAGTTGGTGCATAGATGAGAGTTTCATAAAATTCAATTTGGTTTAATTTTATTTCAGTTTGCACACAAAAAACTAGTTGAAAATGAAATTTCTGCCAAATAATTGCGTTTTCATATACATAAATATTTCTGTGTGTGTGTGAGATAGTGTTTATTTTTTTAAATGCCGAATAAATTCTGGTAAATCTGGATTCTGGAGAGGAGGAATGGTGGCTGGTTGGTGTGGGGCACGTGTGTGTAACCATAAGACATATATCATATATATATATAGTTAGTTAAATATATATAGAGATCGATTATAATGGACATGGCACTCTTTCGGCTCGGCATGGCATTCAACAAGATTCTTTTTGGCATAGATCTCTGGCACACTCTCTATATTGTGGTTAGTCATTGAGAAAATGCAAAACGTTCATCAAATCGAAAAGGAAATATGCTAAGTTCATAGATCTCACAGGTTACTTTAGCTAATTATCAGGTTAATTATCAAGCGATGCCAACTAATAATATCAAGTGTTTGTAACAGACACAACAGATACACAGAAACGCCAAAGGCAATATAAATGACAAGATGTGTAACGCTCATATATATTTGAATTGCTGATGGATTCCACGTTGGCACAGAACTTGGTAAATAAAATTCATTTGATGTTACGCATCTTGTCAGTTATACTGTCTTTGGATATACGCTACGTAGAGATGCACGCACACAAAGGCTCCGGCTCCGTTTCCGTTTCCGTTTCCCTTACCGGTTCCGGAAATGGAAAAATAAAACCTAAATTCTGGAACTCCGACCTACTACAACTATATATATGTAACATATCTAACCGAATCAATTTGGGACTTTGGATTTTAGTTATCTTTGAGATAATTTTCGTGTATAGACAAAATGAAATATCACCCGTTTAATTGTTTAATTACTAATTCAATCCAAGTACTCAACGTCCTTAGTCGTCGTCGTCGTTTTGCCTAATTACAAATGAATATTGCACTTACCTGCTAAGCAACTACTAAACAAATATAGATGCATAACTAATTTAGGGGGGTTACGAGAAGGGGTTGTAAGTTTTAGGGGCTGGATTCTCGAGAGTGTCTGGTGCCTGGTAGGAAGGGATGGGCCAGGAAATCGACGCATAAACTCTGCTCTCTGGTTTCCGGTCTTTGTCGCTGCTGTCCGGTCTCTTATTTATTTGTGTTTATTTTATTGGTACTTATTTGTTTATGTTTATATATACTTTCCATACGCCATTTCGTTAATTGCATTTCAATTGCTTTAGTTTGCTGCATTTTAGTTTAGTTTAGTTCAATTTAGTTTAGTGCTTTGAGCTTACAGGCTCTCGCCGCTTTAGTTTGGTTTAGTTTTTACGTTTAGTTTGTTGATTTTTCGATTATTTGCTTAGTGGATTGCGAGGGTGTGTGTGTGTGTGTGAGTGTTTGGATTATCGGTTAAATTTGATATTTGTTTTAGCTTTACTGTTACTCTTAAATGTTTCGCTGTCTGCGGTCTCCGCTTATCGCTTATCCCTCCTATTTAGTTTGCCTTTATTTTTGCATATTTTGTTGTCGAGTATTCCCGTTTTCCATTTAGTTTAACATTTATGCTGTATGTATGTATATGCTGCTGTATAATATATATGTATATATATAGTATGTATATTCCATTTTTACGATGTATACTTTGATTTTTGAGAGTGTTTTTCCATTTGATTCCATTGTTTTTTTGTTTTGTTTTGATTTGTTTTTTGATTTTGCTGCTGCTGTGAAGCCCAGTGTAAACTGTGAACTGTAAACGTTTCCTTTGAAGCTTAAACTTATTTATTTACGTTATTCCGACTATGTTATTCGCTTTTTTGGTTTTTTGGTTTGTTTAATACTTTTGCTTTGAATTCTCGTTACAACAACCTGAACATTTTTTTGGTTTGACCCCAACCACGTCGTTTGCTATTTAGTCGAGAGTTTCGAAAGGGGAAAATGATGATGATACTGATGATGATGATGTCGGGGTTATCCATGAGGAATGACGAGTAGTATCTATGGTTTTTCCTGGTTTCCCTGTCTGGCTACCTAGGTGTACATATATATATATATATAATTTGATTACCCATTTACTGAACATTGAGGTACGACTTACGATTATCATTCTCTCTGAATACATGTGTCCAACTTGTATTCTTTTTATTGTGTTTGCTGATTTAATTGGAATTTTGATTTTGCATTTCAGTTGTGAGTCTATGTGTGTAGAATGAAATGAATTTTGGAAAAACCGATGCGGAAAATGTAACATTTCATTCGATTTGACCCCATCGGACTTGTATATGCATGTATATTTGTTTATATCTATATAAAAAACCTATAAAATCATACAAAAAACCATATGCATTGTATATGCAAATTATTTGTCACAACATTATTGGTACATAGACACATCGATGCCCTCATCGCACACAACACACCACATCCTTGTGCGTGCAAATTGGCAAAATTTTCTAACTAACTATTGGTTTTTTTAGTTCTCTAGTGATTTCTTTTTTTCGATTCTACTTTTATGTAAATAACCCTCTCTTGTTAGGTATATGACATGTTAACCCACGGAGTGTCGGCACTCAACTTGTGCCAGCTCAGTTGCAGTTGCAGTCGCAGGGATCATAGATTGCAGATCCTAGATCTGCAGATGGATAATTAAAAATCTTTTTTTTTTTTGGGGATGGGAAGTGACTCTTCCCTTCATTTGGCTGACGACTTTTCTTTAACTTTTCTGTATAGTTTCTGTTTCCGTTCCTGTTTGCTGACTGTCTTTTTTCGCCTTTTCTCGCAGCTATACATAACATATATATGTTTAAAGTTGAGTTTGCCATTTGTTTCTCTGTGTCTCTTAGTAGTTTGCTTGAGTGCGAGTATGAATTTCAACTTTAGTTTTAGTTGCTGCCGCTGCTGATGCTGCTCTCTTCTGTTGTTTGCCCTCGTAATTACGGCACTTGAGTATTGTGTGTGCAACGCGGCGTATACGTAATATTTCTACTTGCCACCCCGAGGCGAGCGGAACTTCCGCCATTTTGTTTGTTAATGTGAACCAACGACTGCAGGTGTGCGTACGCAAGAGTATGGGTGCAGAGTGTTAGTGTGTGTGTGTGTAAGTATATGCTTGTAAATCACGGCGAAATGTTCGCGCTCAACTCGGCAGCAACTTAAATAATTAACTGGGAACTGGTAGATGGTAGATGGGAGCTGGTAGCTCTGAGAACTATACAGTGGTGGTGGTTATGCAACCCGGTTCCTTGGCCACTTTTCGTTCCTTGATTAGTTTTCGGCTGAGGCTAAAGGTGTGACTTACTTCTAACACTTACACAACGAGAGAGTACGCGAGTTTAGGTTTCCTGTTAATGCAGAGAGTGTATATATACGTTACTGTAGGCTAGGTCTTTGATTTCCATTTCAATCCCTTGTGTCTTGGAAGTTCGGTTCGATTAATTGATTACTATATAATGGTTAGCATTGTGGGTTTACGTATATCTGAGCTGAGTTTGGTTTAAAATTAGTTTGTTGAGGCATTTCGGGTTCTTGTTGTTACGGTTGCTCTTCTCTGTTATCTATTATCTGGTTTTGGGATTGGCTTTAATGGAGCTTAGACATGGATCTCGAAGTAGTCGTGGCAATCCACACAACCGCCGGGCGCCTCAACGCTGGAGGTTCCCATCTCGGGCACGAATCCTATGCCGCCGGTGGCCGTGGGCTGGGCACTGACCACCACCATTCCCACTCCGCGTGGCGTCTTCTTCCGCGTGCGACTTTGCCGCACGCGGGACTTATGCTAGGAGGGTCTCTTCTGGTACAGACAGTCGATGCATGTGGTGTATTCCGGTGCCGAGGAGCTAAGCTGGTAGCCACCGGGTCCCTGTGGATCATGCTGGCAGCCGCCTCCTCCTCCTCCTCCTCCTCCTCCATATCCACCCATATCGGGGACATAGCCCATGTACTGGTGCTGTTGCTGTAGCTGCTGCTGCTGGAGATGATGCACTGGCTGTGGAGGATGCCGGGGCAGAGGATCGTATATGGGCTGCGAGAAAGTGTTCTCCGCCGACTGCGAGCGCAATGGTCCCGAGCTGTAGACCACGTAGTTTCGTTCCGGGGACACACCATAGGTCCTGTGACCATAGGAGCTGCTTGTGGTGGTGCTATCCCGCGAGGTGGAGCGCTCCAGAGACTTGCTCAGCCTGCTCCTGGCACTAGTGCCGCCGCCACCGCCTCCATAGCGTCCTGTGGGAGCGGCGGCTACATAGTGATCACTGCACGTTTGGTTGTCATACACTGGATAGTACTGATACGTTTCCTGTGCCCCCCGTGTCCTGGTGCCCGTCTCGAAGCTACCATGGGCAGACATGCTCCGCTTCCGGCTACCGTGTGGCACATCCAGGTTGTGATCTGAGCCGTCGCGGCTATCGAAGCTGCTGCGCGGCGAGTGGCGCAGGCATGTGGCCCTGTCCGGTGACAGGTGATCCACACTGCTCCTGGGCGAGATGTGCGGGGAGAGGGTCTCCACACTGCACACGTGCGAGGGTCCGCCCTTCTTCAGGCAACTCCTGTCCGGACTCTTTGACTTGGCCGGACTGGAGGGCGGCTTAAGGATGCCCGGAGCGGGGCCACTCGTATGCTTCAGTATACCGCCACCCTCGGAGGAGCGACGTGGACTGGGAGTCCTTCTGCCGCCCGAGAGTCGATCCTGGGAGTTATCCCTCGAGGAGCACACGCTCAACCGCTTGCCCTGGTCACTCAGACTGGTGCGTGGCGACTTGATCTTGATTATCCTTACCGGGGAGCTGCCCTGGGACTTGCACCGATCCGGAGAGATGTATATCTGGCGCCTGCCACCCTTCACCTTGGTGGAACCAGGACGCTCTGGGGACTTGGCCTTGAAGATTTTGTCTACCTTCTTATCGATCACCACGATGTGTGAGGCCAGTGAGCTGGTGGCTTCCTCCTCGGTCTCATCCTCGGAGCGCTCCGAGGGTCCTGTGGTGGTGCCAGTGCTGTCCGATTCGGTGGCTGGCCGCGAACTGGGCGACTCGATGTCCACCACCACTGTCTGCTGTGTGTTCTCCACAATGGTCTGCGGTTCCGGCGACAGGCTTGAGTCATTCTGCTGCTGGTCGCCAGCCTCCTCGGTTAGATCCTGCGGATCGAAGGCCTTCTCTCGCAGGCTCTCCATGTAGGCCACGATGTCGCAGGTGCCACCATCGGCTAGGTTCTCCTGCTCGAGGTCACTCAGGTGCTTGTCCATGAACCGCACCGTGGCATCCGTTTCGGTTGGGTCACGTCGGTCGCTTCTGTCACGTCGCTGCTTATGCATCGAATCCCTGGCCTGGCCCGCCGGATGCTGGTGGACGACGGCCACCTGCTGGGAGGCGGCCAGTCGCTCCGCCTCGCTCTCAAAGATCTCGATCACCTCGATCTCCTGCTTGGGGGACTGTCGTGGGGATTGGCGCGGCGACTGACGCGGCGAAGGATGCAGACTATGGGAATGGGAATGGGACTGAGACTGAGACTGGGACTGGGACTGCATCTCCCGGGTATCGGAGGCGAACAAGCTACCACTACTGCCTAGACTTAAGTTAAAGGAGGCCGCCACCTGGGCGGCATGCGCCTCTGACTCCGACTCGAGCTCCGACTCGTCCGGTATGGGCTTACCTAGGTCCTTCATCAGCACCGGCTGGTAGCTGGCCGGCGGATGCGACGATTGTATCAAGCGCGCCTGGCTGCCGGTGCTGCCCACCGAGAGTGTCGAGGTGGTGCTATATCGAGCGGCAGAATGATTCGGATGCGGATACGAGCAGAGAATGGAGAAATTCACAGAGGGTCAAGCAATAGTCGAGCTTACTGTCGTGGCATTTGGATATCTACTGACCAACTGGATATAATGTAATGTGGGAAAAGGTAACTGACTGCATCCACTACAAATAACTTAAAAGGACTCGAAGATGTTTCAAAGTCTTTAATACATAAAGTTGCATACATTAGGAAACCTTTTCAAGTGATTTTTAGTTACTGAACCTTTAAGTCTATTTAAGTTTAGTTTAATATTTAATATTTTTAATATAACAGATATTAGTTTACTTTACAACAAGTCCTGCTAGGCTTTCTAGTTAGTAAGCAAACATTAGATCCAAAAAAGAAAAACAAGAATTCTTTAAAGTTACGCTTAAAGTTGCTAAGTACCTAAGAGTTTGTCAAAGATAGTTTTAAATGCTTTTAATTATTGTTAATTCTTGTATTATTTATTGCAGCCTTTTATCTATTTATGGCATTATTCCAGTTAGTCAGCAGATAACCAAGTTTTAAGCATAGACTCTCAAGACTCACCTCAGCGTCAGGTGATTGGGCGTGCGACCCAAAGTGGCCTTGGGCCTGATTGTGCCCTGCTGCGAGTCCTCCTCGCCCTCGGACTTAGTCCCCGGATCGATACGCTCAATGTCTGAGCTATGGTGATGCAGATGCGGCTGCCGGATGGGCGGCGGCGGTGGCTCTCGAGGATGTGGATGCGGATGCCCATGGGCGTGGCCAGGCTGCACCTGCTGCACGTGCTGCTGCTGCTGCTGCTGCTGGGGTTCTGGGGAAGAGCAAGTGATTTCTTTATGGCGGGACGAGTGATGATGCGAGGTGCGATGAAGGAAGTTGTTAGCTAGCTTCTCGACAGGATCAAGGGGCTTTTTTTAGCTGGCTTCTCTGGGACTCAACTTACCTGCCACATCGCCCACTGTCTTGCTGCGACCGCGGAAACCCGCCGGCTGCATCTGTTGGCCGTGGGTATGACCAGATGCATAGTGAACCACGCCCACACTTGGGGGTAGGTCATCCGCCTCCTGACTGCCCGACAAGTTGTCGTAATCGATGTTGCCCGCCGAGTGGCGTTGTGAGCCTGACTTCTTCTTTGGCTTGCCCAGGGTGTGCGATCCATGAACGATTGTTATCTGAAGGGAGATTGATTTATAAATATATTTTTATATTAATAAATAATCTCAGATTTTACCTGCTGCTTGGGTCGTTCCAGTGTCTGTGAGTTACCCGCATAGCCCATGCCCGGACCCATGCCCTGCGAAGAGTGTCCGGAGACGGAGCCAGAGCTGCCGCCAAAGTTCTTCATGGGAATTGACATATTCCGAACGCTCTCGCGTATGATCTGCCGTATGGTCTTGAGGAAGGCATTGCGGAAGTCGGCGGTGCTGTTGGACAGCACGTAGACCTTCTCGGAGCGGCGTTGCAGCTGGGAGCGTAGATGGATTAGCTCCCACAGGAAGTGTGAGTCCATATCCTTGGCAGAGCTGGCGCGCACCTGAACCTCAGTTACGGGAATTAGCACCTGATAGCGAATAATCTCCACCTCGTTAGTAGCATTCTTGCTCGACACGCCCTGTTAAGTATATGGAATGATAGAAAGGAATTAGATATCGTTTGAATTTCGGTTTCTAGTTTGAAGTTCCTCTAACTCACCATCAACTTCTTCTTCTGGCGCAGCCGCTCCTTGCAGAGGAACACCACTGCTGACTTGAATACAAAGCACATGGCATGCAGCTCCAGTCCCTTCTTGATCTTGCCCAAAAAGTCGGAGATGTTTAGCCATTCGACGCCGCCATAGTACAAGAGATCTCCTAGAAATCGATAGATATGGTGATTGATTATACTTTACTTCTATATAAAGTAAAGAGGGGTTTCCTCACCTGGACTCAGGTCGATGGGCTGCTTGCAGGACTTTTGGTGCTGCCGGAACAGGTGATCGAAGATGGCACCATACTCCTCGTGAATGCGCTGCATCTCATTGATGTGCTCGGCCACCTTTTCCATGCCCTTGAGTGCCTCTGCAAGGGATCAGAACGGGAAGGGTTACCAGGGTGTCCAGGAAAATTGTGAACATCCATACTCACCACACAGATGGACATGCTCATCGGCCCGGGTATCGGTTAGGTTGCGCATTTGCTGCAACAGCAGGGGATACTTGAGGATGCGTTGAATCGGCTTGATCAGATACGATTCCAAAGTGCTGCTGTGCTGCTGCTTGGGATTCCGGGCTGCCAGGAACTCCTGCAGGGCGTGGTTGCCTTCGTCTGGAGGGAAATTAAGAGGAGAGAATGGTTGGTTGGTGGGGAAATGCAAATTGAGACATTTGCCAAATGATTCGATTTCAATGGACGCTCGTTCGAGTTGGTGTAATTAATTGCGACGCTGGCCCATTAGAGTAGACGGCAGGCCATGTTCCTGCTCCCCCCGAAGGATTGTACAGCACAAGGATATGCAGTTACGGCGTGGCAACGTCGACAAGAAAATGTCATTAACTTGTTCTTATTGTCAGCCGAGTAGCAGCTTTTGATAAAGGCAAAGTCAAAGCCTGTCAGCAGCAGGAGCAGGCAACAACCAACAACACCCGCAGAGGAACAGGAACAGGAACAGGAACAGGAGCGGGAGCTGGAGATGGAGATGAAGCTCAAGCTGGAGCAGATTTACGTCTAATAGCATGTCCTTCTGGCAGCCGCCCGACAGGTCCTACCTCCTCCTGCCTCAGCCACTCCAATCCGCCCCTGGATTCTCCTGCTCTTGCACGTAACGAAGGCACTTAAGTGCACTTCTTGCTATAATTAATTATCCTTTCAACTTTTTGCATAAAATTTCATGCAACAGCCGGGCGCAACAGCCCCCATTCCGCCCTCTTCGAGTGGATGATGCTACCAGAGTTTCCAGCTCCCAGGGTGAAGGAGCAGAAGTCGGAGAAGGAGAGCCTCCTCGTTACCTTGACTACGCCACTGCAGCTCAGCTCATTGATTGCAAATATTGCGCATATATTTTTTACCTTCAACGCTTTTGATTAGCTGCAACCCTGTCCCGACCCATCCGTAGACGCATCAATCAATGTGATAAGGGTGCATGCAGGGTTGCCAGGGCTGCACAGGATGGGAGGACGTTGCCACTGCAAGGATATGTGGCAAAAAAGAATGGGAATGGAGAAGACCACCTTCACTTCTCCCAGCTGTTTGCTCGAGTGTTTTTAAGCTGGGGACTAAGTCTAATTTAATTATGACATGTTGTCGCGCGGCAGCCTTTTATCCGGCTCACTGCAAGGCAGGCTTAGTTGGGGTTTCCCCCACTGCATCTCCTTGCTCCTTGCTCCTTGCCCCACCTCGGCTCGTGCTCTTTTCATTCTCCCCCATCTCCGCCAGAAGTTCTGGCTGGAGCTCTGGCATAGTTTTGGGTCGCCATTTGTAAGCGTGTCATAATTCTACAAGTTTAATTAACAAAAGATACTTGACAGTTGCCGCTGCTGCCTTGGCATGAATATGAATATGCTGCTGCCAGAGCACCCAGCTCGTCCCCCTTTTTGGCTGGGAGTTTGCCTTTAGTTTGCGGTTTTCCACCCGGGGGCGGGGTGTCCTCGTACTCGTCCTCGTCGTCGTCGGCATTTGCGGTTGTAATTATTCATTTAACTTGCAAATCATTTTAAAGTGAGCGAAACGCGTGAAGAAGATGGAAGGGGACGGGCGCCACCGGGGCGTGGCACAATTGAAGCGAATAGTTTGCCAATTGTTCGCTCTGTGGGTTCAGCTCGGTTCGGTTGTTTGACTTTTACAAGTTTCTTGCTCAACTCGAACTCAAATAGACTTTGACGCTTGACGCTGATTGCAATAGTTGAACCTTACACACACACATGTAGTATGTGTACAGTGCGTTGCGAAATGTTAATTCAGCATCCCGAAAAAGGAAACTTTTAATCACAACAGTATTTTGTGTGAGGGAGGGGTGAAAGACCCCTCTCAGCACTTGCAGATATATATGTATATATGTTTGTTTGGGTCAAGGATGTTTCCGTATTTACCCGTCTGCATTAATTATTGCTTTATTTACATTTCATTTCCCCACTATCTCATTTACGAAGCAAATTAATTCGTTTATGTTAATTGCATTAACTAGTCCCAGATATTTTTTGGCTTTATCTTCACGAATATTCATGAATAATATTGCGGTTAAGTTTGGGGTCCTAGATATTTTTAGCTTTTCGTTTAAGCTAATTAAGTTAAAGCAGCTACCGGTTTATGTTAGCTAACTTGAAGGTTTTTCAGTATAAATTTACTTTAAATTAAACCAGATTTGTCACAATTTGCATAACATTTCCCATTGCTTCGGTAAAACAATGCAAATTACTATATTTCCTATTAATGGATATATTTAATGTAATTTATTTTTGTACTGAAAACGATAGCAATTTTATTTGTTGCCTCAATTGAAATATGCAAATGAGTAGCTCCTCGTCAAATGGTATATAGTATTTAATGTAATTTTTTTCCCCGTATTTCCCTTATTTGATTTGTCTGGGGAATAGTACTGCTGCCACATAGAAATAGATTGGAGTACTTACTCGGATGCAGGACCTTCTGCGCCTTGCTGTGACTGGCACAGAACGAGGAGTATAGCTTGAAGTGATTGACATAATACAGAAAAGCTGAGCCAATTGCAAAGAGCACATTCTGCAGCAAGAGAGAGTGAGTTACGATTAGAAAACTTAGTGGAAATTACTCAATCCGGGGCTCGAAACTCACCCTGAACTGGCCACAGTGCTCGAACTTGTTAAACTCCGGCTCCAGGTCCAAGGACTCCTCCAGATTCTGCAGGAACTGACGCTGGAATGTCACAATCTCATGAATGTTGCCAAACAGCGCATTGATCTCGGCGTTGGAGAGGAATGTCTCGCGTTTCATGGGCTCCAGATAATGCTCCAGCAGATTGTTCAGATGCTGCGAAAAAAGGATATATCAATGAAGCATAAAATGTAAGCAAGCGATATACTTTTAGGGACGCTGGCGAAAATGCATAAATTAAATTAAAAAATCAACGACCGTCGCCGGCCGTTGGCCGTTGGTCGCCTCGCACTCCCACCGATTTTGGCCACAACAATTCCCGGCGGAGTTGGCCAGCAGTTATGCTTGGTTGGTGGAAACTTTTTAGTTTTGTGCCAGTTGGCGAAAAACATGAAACAAAAAGGAGTGCACAAATACTGTAGCATAGCCACAGGCGCGCGCTTTCATTTGGAACAATACTTCCGGCAGTCATGGGGCAATGGGCGCTCTGCGATGGGCGTGGTCGCAGTCCGCGGTCGGCAGATAAGACCCAGAGCCTTCGCCGTTGCCGCAGCGGCGCTTTACATAATTTCTAAATTATAATAATTATTTGTATGCTTCCTGGCCGGGACCCAGACCACACCAGACCAGACCAGGCCGTGAGCAAAACCAGACTTGGAGCTGGCTTAAAGCAAACAGTCGTGGCAAGGAGAATCGACAGAATGAGAAACAGAAGCAGAAACAGAAGCGTAGCGACACAGTTAAAGGATTAAAATTTGCATTTTTAATTGCAAGGCGGACTTTATGCCGCCCCGCTCTAATGAACACAAGTCAGTGGTCGATGCTGGGATTTGCGTTAAAGTTGGGTCTGGCTACACTGAATGGAAAAATGTCAGCCTGGGCATACTATTCATTAGTGATTATCATAGCAGGATTACCAAATGGTAATTCAAGAGATTGTCTTGTTTTAATGAAAAAATTGTTTATTTTTATCAAAGTACTTTAAGTATTCTAATATAATAAATTATTTAATCAAAAGTTTGAAAGTTCAGGGAACTCTTTTCCAAAATGTATAAAACTTTTGTGTTTCCTGAAACTTTTAGGACTTGCGTTAAAGTTTAATCTCCCTTATTTCCCGTATTATAATTTATACTATATATTTTTTTAAAACTGTACACTCACCTTAACGTAGGTGCGTTCCGTATCCACGAGCTCCATGACAACTTTGCGCAGCTTCTCCGCATCGGTCAGTTGTCGCGATGGGGTCAATGCCGTGGTTGACACCGATGAGGTGACCGAGCCGGTGGGGCTCGATTTGCGTGTTTCCTGGGGTGAACGACAAAATCCGGTAACCTTAACACAGGTTCACAGGTCAGGTTCAAGTTGTTGTTGTTGTTGTAACAGTTGTGTTGTGTGGTTGTTGTTGTAGTTGTAGTTGTTGTTGTTGTATTGGTGTGTTGATTGTTGCATGATGAGGAGTTATTTCGTGACGACGAAAGGATCAAAAACCCAAAAGAAAGAAGAACAGAACGAAAAGAGATGCGAGCGCGTGAAAAGGAGAACACACATACACAAATAAATGGCAATAAACAAAAATGAAGTTAGCCATGACAGAGATAGATACAGAATAGCGATAGTTTATAACACCACAGATGGGGTTTAGGGGTTGGATTTCGTGAATTAAGGGGTACTAAAAAAGGGGGTACTGGAGGGTTTTTTTTTATGTTGCAGCAACCCGCGACCCGCGGCCACTTTAAGGATACACCGAGACAGCTGCGGTTCTAAATGACTGTCACGTCCTTGTCCAAGTTTACCAGCCAAAGTGTTTGTGGGTCTCAATCCCAGTACCGAAACCCAACACCCCAATCCCCTGCTTCATACCCTTCACCATTCCCGATCCCCGGGAAGTAACTATCTGACATCCGAGGGATACGAACACCCATCCACTCGGGTCCGGGTCCTTGTGTGTGCGGTTACAAGCACATTTGGCACTGACAGTTGACGCTTGACGGTTGACATACACAGAGCTTACAAACGTGTGTACGATGTGTGTGTAACATACATCCCCATACACACCCTACACTCCCATATTACGACAACCCCCTAGTTTTGCATTAAGACGTAGTGCTGGAAGCGGGCCTCCTCCTTGAGCCATCTCTTGACTTTTCTCCTATTTACTCAGCTCTTTTGGGCTCCAACCTACACCTACTGTTTCGTTCCTCTTACTTGTACTTCTTACTGGCATTGGCGTAAAAAAATGCTGTGGGAAAAAGTGTTAAATGGAGCATTCCTGATAAATTGACTGAGCACGAGAGCAGCAGCAAATGAATTTGCATTGTAAATGCCTATACAAATAGAACGCTAACCTCGAAAGAGGTCTTGAACTTGAAGCCTGATACAGGGAATGAAATGCTTGAGAAAGGCAGAAATTGCTTAGATTAGAATACAAAACAGGGCTAAGACTAAAAGTGCACAGAAAGAAGCGCCTGCTTTATAAGTAAAAATTAATAAAATCAATAAAAATATATTTTGAATGTATTTTTGAGCTTTCTTTTATTATTATAGGATTTCCTTTTTTAAGATTTATAAAAATCTGAATACTAAATGATGTAACTGACAGAGAAACGGTTGTTAAATGTAGAGCATCAGTAAGTATCTTTCAACCATAAGTAACTATGATAAGTAATTAACTATTAGCAGTAATTAACTCTGAACAGTAAGTTTCTATGACCAGTAAGAAACTCTGAACAGTAAGTAGCTATGAGCAGGAAGTAACTCTCAACACTAATTATCTATGACAAGTAAATAGCTATGATCAGTAAGTATCTATGACCAGTAAGTATGTATGCTAAGTTACTAACTTTGAACACTGATAAACAATGACTTGCAACTTTTGTAACACAACACATATCTAAGACTTGGCTGGCAGCAGTCACTTCGTTCCGGCGACGATAGAACCAGTTGGGAATCATATGCACATATGTGCGAGATGTTTTTGGAACAAAGATCAAGCTATTTGAATGAAACTATGTAGTTATTCTTCTATATAATTTTACTAGTATATAAGTCGGAGCATGGCAAATCGGTGGACTATATATACATATATATAGCTGCCATAGGAACGATCGGACAATTTTTAGAAAAAAAATATTTCAGTTTCTAACAGATTTTCATCAAATTTTATATATAGCCATTATATGATAATCTAGAAATTTGTGTTAAATTTTATGAAAATCTGACTACTATATCCTATAGCTACCATACAAACGATCGTTGAAAATAGAGTAAAATGCAAAACGGTTAATGAAATAAAAGCAGGCATTACCTTTTTGTTTTTAAACATAAAAATAAATAATAATATGGCATTAATTCCTACAAACTTGGGCGTGCCGAAAAAGACATATAGACAAATTCTGCTGCATATGAGCAAGACTCAAATACTCGTTAAACAAATCTATTCTTTATGTTAAAATATAACTATAAAAGAAACCTTCTAATACATAGCTATGCTAAGTAAATGACACATTTTGGGATCAGGTATATCCATCAACCCCATTTTATCATCTCTGTGTTAAGACTGAGTTATCGCTTTGGATTTTGTGGCACTTAATCTTTGCTGCAAGGTCCGTTTGTCACGCTGCCATCACTATAGCTCCCTCTCTTTTACAACCCCCTCTCTTCCTTTCCCTTTTCCATGCCCTGTCTCTTTCTTCGTCTCTGTCCCTGTCTCTTTCTACGTCTCTTACCCCGTTTGCAATTGCAGTTGTCATTGTTCTGTTGCTGTGCACTGCAGCGTCTGTTTTCGTTGTTGCTGTTGCATTGGCATTGTGGAGACATTTCACTTTTATGCAGCTGCACTTTGTGTATTGTATTGTGATGCCCTCTCTTGTAGCTTGGTCTCCCTCTGATATAGCGGTCTCTTTCTAGCTGGCACCCCTCTCTTTCTCTTGCAGCAGCAGCAGCAGCTTGTTCATGTCTACTTTTAACTGTTTTATTGTTCTGCATTTTTGCGCTGCTCTCCTGATTTGCATAAGCGACGCCGACCCAAAAGCCAACAGGCGTAGACGGGATAAGAGGGGGGCCAGGCAGGTGGAGCAGGTGAATGGGGGGGAGGAGGAGCACCTGGTGGCGACCAGGTGAGACAGATGCACCTGGTGGCAGCTTGTGGCGCTGAGTGCCCACATTGTTGTTTGCCGCTGGCCTGGCCCAAAGATGAGAAATTTGAAAATGTCTTGAAACTGGCGCGCGGTTCGTCCTCGTCCTCGGCTATGTCCTCGTCCACTTCCACGTCTACGTCTACGTCCTGTGTGAAATGTCAACTTGAATTAAAAGGATTCCTTATGTAAGACAACACCCTGCAACCCGGCAACCCGGCAACCTTCTGCGACTCCCTCGCAGTGGCAGCAGTGTGTTTGTGTGTCACAGTGTTCAAGTATCATTAAATGAAGTGGGTTTCTGCCAGTTTCGAGCACACTTGGGGAAAGCATATCCAGAAAACAAAGTGCATTCTGTGGCATCTTTGCTTGTTGTTCTATCTGTCTCTGAGACAGGCCTCCTACTGTCCTGTCCTGTCCTGTCCTGTCCTGTCCTGTATATATATATATTTATATGTATATATAGATATCCTTGATATTTTTATGCTCTAGGCTGTGTGACGTTTATTGTTTCGGTGACGGAGGCGGCGGCGGCAGTGGAGGAGCTCCTTGTGGCTAGGGCCCAATAGGCCAAATTTGCCATGACATCTTGAGATGTGTCGAGACACGACTGAGTCCCATGTCCTGTGCCTTGGGGCAAGGCTCTGCCTCACTGGCTTCTTGCCACGAGGACACTTCTCCTGCTCCTGCTGCTTCTTCTTTGCCGCACACATATTTTTTGTGCAAATTTCAATTTGTGCACATTTCAATCACAAGTGCTCATTGGGGAGTGTTCCGAAACCGCCCCAGAACCTACTCACACACATCCTTAGACCGCCCCTAAAAGCCACCCAGCGACCGTCATGTTTGGCGCTCGTTTTAATAGTTTCCGTTTCCGCTTTGCGAGTTCAAAGCAATTTGATTTGCCTTCCAAGTGGCAAGTTCCTGTGGGAGGCGGCGCACGAAGGGAGGCGGATCAGGGGGAGGAACAGAGATGGGGTTGTGCAAAGGGGTGCTGCTAACGGGGGGTCATGGGGGTCGAGAGTCGTGTTTGCGTTTAGTTAACCCCCTTTTTCCGCACTGAGAAAAGACCTAAATTCAGGAGGGCAAAAGCTCCTTGACTTGGAAACACTTTATGGCTTGAAGTCTATTTATCTTTAAATAATATTTAACAAGCTTAACTAGCAATCGATATAGAGTTTATCAGGGATAAGCTTGAGCAAGGGAAATCGGTTGTGAAATAGTTTACTTTCATTTGAAATATATTTCTTGAAATTATAATCCAAATATCTAGAGATTCTTCTAAGAACTAAAAACGAATTTGCAATTATCTTCAATCATTCAGTACTTGTAATTAATTTTCCTTTAAACAATTAACTTAAGCATTCAGGTAACAATCGCAAGTAAATAATAATTTGCAAAGGTTTAGTTATGAATGGAACTTCGTTTTCAAATAAATTACTTTATCCCTACACAACCCTTTCTCGTATTAAAGTCAAGATAGCTTTGAATTATTTGAAAATAAAGGCACAAAGATATTCCCCTTTCAATTTAGATTTTCTCTCAGTGCATATACCCCAGACAGAGATGACCTGCTTCATCCACCACACTTTTCGGGCACTGCACTGCACTTACTTGCTCTGCGGTCTTCAACAGATTCTCAATCTCGAAGCTGCTCGTTCGCGATGTGGGCTTGGCAACGCCCAGTCCGCCCATTCCGGCCATGCCTCCCATTCCGCCCACGACCACGCCCCCGGCGGCCGCAAGTTGGGCGGCCATAGCGGGATCAACGAAGGAGGGGGCTGGCGAGGATTCAGCCTCCGGCGAGTACAAATCCTTGCTAGTGCCATCTGGAAGGGAGATAAGCGAATGTTGTGATTAAGCGTTATTATTATTATTATTATTATTATCATTACGACTTTTAATATTACTATCGTTATTATTAGTATTCCCTCCCTGCGAAGCAATTAGTTGTGTGTGGCGCGGGAATATCGATTAAAGAGCCGCTTTTTCGGTTATTTGTTGCCTGTTAATTTTAAATTCCATGTTTGTGCAGTAAAAGGCGTACGAAGGAATTTCAATACTGGCGAAAATGGTCTCCTGCCTGTGTTATTCCCGGCTCAAAGCCGAAAGTAATAACGACAAAAAACAGCCAGAAGCAACACAGCAGCAGCAGCAGCAGCAACAACAAGCCGTAATGATTATTGCTGCAATGTGTTTGCCACAACGTCCACACACTCAGGACGAAGCAGAAAGGATATAGGATGTACTAGGGAGACAGGGGAGAAACGAAGCTTTTAACCAAAAAAATTTATGGCCCATACATATGAGGCCAACTCTCTGGGAAAACCCTCTTGCACTCAGAAAAAGGCAAAGACTCACCACAACTTTTCTTTTTTTGTTGTGAGGAATTTGTAATCTAAAAACTAGATGCATGGCAACTTCTTGATGGAAGAATTTTGTGGTGCAAAAACTAGCAAGGAATTATAAAGACTACACCATATTATTTCTTGCTGGAAGAAAAGTTGCACAAAGTTTTGCATATTGAGTTGGTAACAACAAGTTGCCAACAAAAAAGAGCTTAAATATGTCAGAGGTTTATATATACAAGTTGGTCTTTTATTTAGACAAATTTATATTATTTTTGATAAGAAGAAAGATTACTTGTTTAACATTTACTTGAACACATTTAATTTAATCACATTTCTGTGCAGTTTTTAAATGAGCTATTAAAAAAATTTAAGGAGCATATATTTCTAAACTATTTGTATCATTAAACCAGTCCAGCATAAAAGCTCTAGAAATACGTTTAATACGTTTCTTTATACAGAAACTACTATTATTTGTAGTGTTTCTTTCAGAATATACATATATATTTTCACCCAGTCGTTATGTGTTTTTCTGTGGCTTGTAGTTGAAGTAGTTTGCCAGCACCCGGGAAGCATTTAAAAATCATGTCCTTGAACACCGCCTTGGTATCCTGCCGTCTTTGCTACTGTTGTCTTGGCTTCTATCTCCTGCATGCAAATTTGCTGGCAACAAATTTTATGAGCATTTTCCCTAAAATTTGACACCGCACACACACACACTGAGTGTGTGTAGTTATTGGAAACTGCCGCCGCCTTATAAATTTCAGTTTGCGGTCTCCCTTGGCAAACTGCACGTAGTCCTGCGGAGTCCTGGGGAGTCCTGGAGTCCTTGAGTTCCGGGTCCCTGCCGGAGCTAATAACTCGTGGACGTGCCAAGCCGAATTTGTCGATGGCAAATAACTTTGCCAGTTTTAGTGGCTTTAAATAAAGTAAGACTTGCAGTTGTTTATGGCAGGAAGATACGCTCGAGGAGCTCTCAAGTTGGGCCACTTTTTTGACCTCGTCTCCCATTTTATTTGGAGTTTTTCCTCTTGGCAGGATACTAAACAACTTGGCACAAGATGTGCATAGTTTCTTTGGGGGTTAATGATCCCTTAAATGTTTTCCAAGTTTTGGCCGGAAATCGGACTCCTTTTTCTTTCGTTGGGTTAACTTGCTTCAACTTTTCGGGATTGCATTTCGGAATTGCAATTTAATACAACTAATTGGCAAGTTTGTGGCCGTTGGCAAAGAGAGAGTATCAATATAAAATGTAAATCCCTGGCAATGAATGGCGTAAATTTGATTTGAAAATAGAAAAAAGAAGCCACCCTGTGTAATCAGTTCTCTTTCATTTCGTTCCTATTTTTTTCCTTCTTTTTAAGCCACAAGGATATGTGTGTCAAAAATAAAAATGAAGAAATAAATATTAATACGCGAGCACACACACAAACACACACACATATAGGGGGAGAGTCGTTTAATTTCTGCTACAATTTTACTTTTTTATATTTTTTATTTTAATTCTTTTTTAGTGTTCGTTCTGTGCCTTTTAATTGTTTGCCGCAACAAAAAAGTTTCATTTTGTGTTGCCTGTTGTTGCTTGCCGCTGCGTTTGTTGGTTTTAATTGTTTTGTGTTCTTAGCCACTTCGGCTTTTTGAGTGCAGTGCAGCGTATGTGTGTGTGTGTGTGGGATTTGCATATATGTGTGTGGCACACACTGAGAAAAGTGATAGTTTTAGAAAATATTTTCAGTAAGTATCTGTGACCAGTAAATAACTATGAGCAATAAGTAACTCTGAACAGAAAGTATCTATTACCAGTAAGTAACTATGAGCAGTAAGTATTTGCATTGGCCACGTCATATTTTTGAGCTCGAAGGCTGATCACTTGCACTATCACTATCGATGTAAACACTAGGTACCCCTAGGACAGACTGAGGCGCGCGCGACCTCAGCGCCTCTATTTATAGTCCCCGGGAAGAGAAGAGAAGAGAAAGTGAGTGTGAGTGCGCGGGAGAGGAGTTGCCTCTAGAGATTAACATAAAGCGATAGCCATAGAGAGAGAGAGAGAGGGGGAGAGGAAGAGAGAAACAGCGAGCTATTTAATTTAACTATAATCAATAAGTAACTATGAGCAATAAGTAAATCTGAACATTAAGAACCTATGTCCAGAAAGTAACTATGATCAGTTATCAGTCATCAGATTAAAGATCTACTTTCTAAAAGGTATTCAACTTTAACTGAAATAAAGAATAAGAAAGGTAAACAAGCTCTCAAAGTCCCATTATTTTTCTCTCAGTGCATGTCCATATGTACGGCTGTAGTTTGTAATCCTGTAATTATGTAGTTGGTTGTTGCAAAACGACACACATACACACACTCTCTCGTACACACAACCGTTGCCTCCCCCGCTTTTCCTCCTTACTTATTGATGTAATTGTTGTTGTACAGGGGATTCTCTCCCTCTCTTTCCCTCTTCCTCTCTCTTTCTCTTTCACTCACCCCCACCCTGTTGCTGGCCGTTGTCTAGAGAGCCAGCATTTAATGCAAAAAAATAAAGAGAAAAAGTATATATAAATTACTTTAATGAACTTTACAAATTCGCATGCATGCCCGGAAATGCGCTTTTTCGTTTCCTGCATGCATGGAAAGAGATGGCTATACGGTGAGTGAACGAGAGGGCTGTATGAGTGGGGGGAACAGAGTGAAAGAGAGGGAGCGTGCATGGAGACCGCACCTCAACGTTAAGGCTCATGGAAACGGAGCCCAAGCCAGACACGGACACGGATACGGACATGGACACGGAACCGTAACCATAGCAGTGATTAGTATGCTTTTGTTGTGCGAGTAGCTGATGAATGCTGCCTGCGGTTTTCCACGGTTTTCCACACCCCCCGCTCCACCACTCATCCCCTCGCTCACTTTTAAATGTTTTAAAAACGGCCGAATTTCCCCAACAACACACAACGATTTTGAGGTTACACAGGGGAGAATTCTTTTGGCATTAAGCAAAGTGGGTACTTAGTACTTACTCCAACCGGGGCCGGAACAATCAGTCCAGTTATCATCTCCTCGCTCATCACCGGCGGATCTGTGGGTGGCGGTGGGCACACCAGCGAGTCAATCATATCATCCGTAACACGCATGATCCCCACTAGATCTGGTGGCTCCGTGCGCGAAGACCTGCAGGAAAATAAAATGAATAAGGGCAAATGGTGGAGATTATAGTCAGAGTTGTGGTATTAGCATAATTCCTGCAATGGGAATTAAACTTAATAAGATGCGAAATATATATGTATAAAAAACTGTAGCACACCTGGCAGTGTTTGCAGTTAATCGAAATGAATTCGCATATTAATTATATGAATAATTATATGTATGTGCTTCATTTTTTATGTAAACTTAAATAAAAAATCAGTTTCAGGTTTTCAGGCCATCTGGTCGTATACGTAATATTTCATATACTTAATTTATCTTTCTAGAATCCATCCATTCTCTGCGTTTATATATTGTATATGTATAATTATGGGCAATATCTTTTGAAGACTTCCGAAAATTAATGTAGAAATAGGATAACTGGGCGTATACGTAATATTTGGAATTAGCCGTATACGTAATATTTCACATAATAATGTGAATTCTTTTATATATTCTTTTAATATATTTAATTTCTTTTAAAGAGTTTAGAAAATTAAAGAACGAATATGGCAACTGGGCGTATACGTAATATTATAAATTTATACAAAAAAACTATTGTTCTTCCATTCCTTGTTTATATATTATATTCATATTGAAGCTTAAATTCGCATTCTTTAAAATAATATTCATCGATATTTTTATATGACAATTTTTCGTCAAATCAATGTTTAAAAAACACATATCTAAGCCAAAAATCCATTAATTTTAATTCGGAAAGCATTTCTAGATTAGTTTTTATTAGTTTAATAAATCTGCACACTCAATAAAAATTTTAAATTTTTGACAATTTGAAGAATTTTAACGAATTTTTACAGAATTTTGAAAAACTTGTAAATTTTTTTTTTCTAAGATGGCTAGAACGACTCTGTTTTCAATGCTGATCAAGAATATATGATTTATAGGGTTGGAAATGATTCCTTCACTGCGATGCAAGCTCCTGACTGAAATTATAATACCCTTGAAAGATAACTGCCATATGAAGGGACTTTCCTCACAACATTCTCATTTATAACTCCTTTATCAGAATTATTTTTGCACAGTGTAGTATTTGCATAATTTCCGTTTCTGACCCTCCTGACAAAACCAAACAAATGAACGTATAGCAACACCTGAAATGGATTCCGGATTGCTGACTACTGCCGTGACCTTTTTCTGTGTCAGTGCGCGAAATTAGCAAAAGATGCGGAAAATGCTCCCAACGTGCATAATTTGAATGGACGACGAATGGCTGTTTGGGGCTGAAGCAGGATGAGGATGAGGATGAGGACTGGCACTGGGACGAGGACGAGGATGAGGACGAGTATGCGGAGCAGGAATGGGCGCATTTGGCTCTACAAACGCTTAGCACAAAAGCTTTTCTGTTTTCGTTTGCCATAAAGAGAAGCTAATTAGGCTATCAAAATGCCGTTCGGCTGGGTGGCGGAAAATGGGAGAGGAGTTGGGGAAAATGGAATGGGGTGGGGTCGGAAAACTGGTAGGAGTCGGAGGGCAGATGGTCAGCGAGACGGAACAAAGTGAACCCGTGGACCACGTTCTAACTGCATGGCCAGCCAAAGAACGTGAAGTGGCAACGTGTTTGGGTTACGGCTTTCCATTTTTGTGCCAGTAACCCCTCAGTAACCATCGCTCTCTACACCCTTTACATACATTTTCCAGCTGCGGCTTGAACTTGTTGACTTTGCTGAAAAACTATAAACCAAAAATGGTTCGAAAATGTACATGGAACATTTTTCGGTTCAAAATCTCTTCATTCTTTTTTTTTTTTGGCCCGCTTTCCTTTCCGTTCGTGCTCTTTTTTTTCTTTGTTGCGAAACAATTTTTGCTACTGGTTTAGTTTTCCCTTTCCCCGATTCTGTGTGTTTTTTTTTTGGTCTTTGGCCCTTGGTCCTTGGTCCATTGGGGAAACTTCTTATGGTGTAACATCATCAAAAATTGGCAAAGCTTGTCGATTGTTGACATTCTGGGGTGTGTGTATGCAAGTGTGTGTATGAACTTGATGTGGCTGTTGTGGCTGCCAGAGTTAGAAAGCTTGATTGCAGAATGTTTTAATTAACAACATCAGCTCAGCAGCTGCAGGTTGTGGTTTTTATGGATTTCTTTTTTATTTTTTTTTGTGTGATCCAACAGTGGCACCATAACGAATATTATACCACGTCAGCTGAAGGAAATCAGCGGGAAATGTGTCAGGCAGCCCGGGCAGCTTCAGAGTTCAGTTTCCCTTCAGCTTTATGAGCCATATAAAGGCGAAATGGACACAAATTTCCACACGATAAGGAGAACAATGAGCTGGATATTGCATTACGCTGTCACAGCGCTCTCAGCTAATTGACAGGCGGCCGGGACGACTGCCGGACGACTAAAATAGTTAATTAATCCGTGTAACTGAAATTTAAACAATGGACTACCGCTGACCGGGCCATCGCTCCGTGTATATACACGGCGTATACTTTATGGTGGACATTCATTCAGGTTTGAACATCGAAACAGATGTTAAGCAGAGCATAAACACAAGAACAATGACTGGCAATGCTCTGTGGCTGTCATAACTTACCGCATCATCATGCTGAGCGATTGTTCCTCCTGCAGGACGCTCTCCAAGTACATCATATCTAGATCGGACACAATTGCCCCATTGATGACCATTATTTCGTCTCCTTTGATGATGCCTGCAATTGGTTGGACACGGCAGCGTTAGTTGTGCGATAAAACATATATTTTATATATACATATACTGATATCTATATCTATATAGGTAGTTGCAAATAGGTTGAGTTCTGCTGCGTTATTGTTGCTTTTCAGTCGCAGTCCCCTGTGTATCCCTGTCTCTGGGTAGACAATAGATTCTGGGCGGGATCTAATGCCGCATGGCAATCAAGGTGGTTCTGTGGGTCTGGAATCAATGTCTGACAATTGTGCGGCTGCTCTGGACCACTGACATCTTTTATGTAACAAACGATAAGCGGAATGTCTTCAGCTGCTGCTTCTTATTCAGCTGCTGCTGTTGCAGCTTTTGTAAAACAATAACAACAAGAGCATTGTGGTTTTTTTTCATTGTTCATACGCCACGTTATCCCACCGACATCGTTCTCTCTCCCTGTCCCTGACTCTACCTTTTGCACTGTACGAACATTCTTACTTTTAAAAGGAGAAACTTTAAGTTTATAATCCAGAATTTAAATCTTAAAACAAACTTCTGAAAAGACTTTAATTTACAGAAATTACTTTTATTTTTCTTGTAGAAACTAGTATATTTGTCGGTTTATTATATATATTTTTCTTTGTGTATCTTCTCTATCTATTTCTCTATCTGCTGCGTTCGTTAGCATTTTCTACTTTGTCTGCATGACTCGTCTATCATGTGTGTATGTCGCCCTAGCTCCCTAGCTCCCTGTGTTTTCTACAGCATTTATTTTACCCATGATGTTGGTTATTCCTTGTTGTCTGTCCTGCCAGGCTTCGACCTGGCCTCCTCCTCCTCCTCTGCTCCGCCCCTGTAAGGAAAGGACGAGTCTCCTTCTTCCTGTTGACGACATGCATTGAGCTGCCTGCTATTGCAAGTTGCTCGTGTCGCTTATCATTGTTGCTGCAGCACCAGCAGCAGCAACATTTTCTTAAGGCAAAAGTTCGATAGACAGATATATGTTGTTCGGAGCCCGGCTCTTGGCCATATATATTTTACCTCAGACACACCTTGGTCCCATTATGTTTTCCCCCAAGCTTTTTTCGGGTGAGTATGTCTCGGACCCCCCTGCATTTGTTACAATTTAAACGGATTTTTACATCTAAATGCTGGCAAGGCATCACACATGCGATTTACCATATAAAATGCACAAATATGCACTGCAGAAAATAAGTATTAAGTATAAGTTTCAGCTTCAACGAACATTAAACTGAATGGTATACTACATTATATGAAAATAAATCTGAAGAACAGGAAGTATATGATTGATGTATCACCCTCAGAATAAACTTGCTTTTCTTTATAAAATATAATTGTAACAGTGTAAATACGAGAATGGTATGCAAGTGCTGTGCTGTTCCTTATCCTGAGGATTATTTCTGGCTCTGGGAAAAGACAAATTTTATTTATATTGCGGTGGCTCCTAGATGCCAGATCTTTATCCCTGTCTTTTTTTTCTTTCTCTCCGATTTAGCCTGCCATATGCGTTGTCAACACGTTCCCGCTTCCGGTTTCCAGTTGGCTTGGCCCAAAAGGAGACCAGGCAAATTGTTATTCCATGTTTGCCAAATGCTTTGCCACGCTTGTTTCTGGCTCTGGAGTTGCCAAACTTTGTGCACTTACTGGTGCTAACCAAAGGGGATCTGCTTAAAACACTGAAGGAGCTGCACTTGAGGACTCCCGCGAGATGAAGACTTTAAGACCCCGAGTTAAGGATGGATTTTGGACCGCGCGAAGCAGCTTTATTATCAGAGCCACCGCATTTGCTCAGTTCGTTACTCGAACCATTCCACAATTAGCCAAGGAAAGTGGCCAGAATTTTCCGCTCCCCGAGCCACATTTGCATTTGAAAGCTGCGGTCAGGATTTTCATTTGCCATTGCCCCTGTTTTTGTTTGACTCGCCAGTGGGAAAACTTTTGTGCAATTCGCTCGTAAATGTTGTCTTCGAGCCTGTCCGAGAGACACTGAGGGAGCTTTGTTTTGCGGTTGCTGCTTAAGAGTTGCGTCTTCCGACATGCTAATAGCCATTAAATTCAATTGTACCCAGCTGCCCTTGTCCCTACGCTTCCCCTCTTGGCCACAGCACCCGCAATCCCTTCAATCATCCCCGGCAATGGACCACAGACGGAGGGGCAGCAAAGTTTCCTATTGCGTTCTGCGTTTTGCAAATGTAAATGCGAGCCCTGCCAGAGTCCTTAATTTATGCATACACACGCCACTACAATGACTGAGGGCGAGGGGAAGGATATTCTCCAAGCGAGAGCGAGAGCCTGGCCAGATAACGCTAACGGTAGAGGGCTTAAAGCCGCACTTAAAGCCCAACACGTTGTATACGCAATATTTGATGGCAAATGCCGAACAGCGAACAGCGAATGGCAAATGGCAAAATGCTACCAAAGCCCCGGCTATCAGCAGGGATATGGCAGAGTATTGAAGCCGGGGAATCACAGAGACTAATAAAAGCTTTTGGTCTCCGGGCCGTAGGCGGCAGTTTTATCTAAAAATATCATTCTCTAAACTCGTAACTGAACTTTGCCTACGAGCTTTATTTATTTTATTCAACAATGGATATAGATTTTATTATTATTTTCATAGGAAAGTTAATGGAACAGCACATAACTAGGACATAGTTGTCATTTAATTTATTAAAAACATATAGCCCAAGGATATCTATTTACTATATTTCTATATTTCCAGAGTTTATTTATTCTGGTGTAATAAATTGACATGAACTTGTTTTAAGAGTTGGGAAATGATATGCAAAAATATAGGTCAACTGATACTCATGTGTCTTATATTGGGAATTAGTAGGAATTTTCTTCAAATAAGCACAACTTTATATGTCCCAGGCTATCCGGTCGTATACGTAATATTTGGCATAGAAAAGTTATCTTTTCACATTTTATTCCTCATATCTTACTCGTTATATTGTATTTAAATACAATTCTTTTAAAGAGTTCAGGAAATTGAATAACAAATACGGCAGCTGGGCGTATACGTAATATTAGGAATATGTCTCAAACCAAACTGTCGTATACGTAATATTTCATATACTAAAGTTATCTTTACACAATTCATCATTTTCCATGTGTATATATTCTATTTATATAATTAGAGACAAAAGAGTTCAGAAATTTGAGGAGCAAGTAGGGCAGCTGGGCGTATGTCTTAAACCATCTGGTCGTATACGTAATATTTCATATACTAAAGTATATCCATATATATTAGGAAGAAGTAGGAATTTCCATTCTTTAAATGTTTCAGGACATCCGGGCGTATACCTAATATTTCATATATTTAAGTTATCTTTAGATAATTGTTCCATTTTCTATGTGTATAAATATATATACATATAATTAGGGTCAAACTCTTTTAAGGAGTTCAGAAATTTAAAAAATATAAAGGGAAACAAGGCGTATACGTAATATTAGGATTAAGGAGGAATCCACCCAGTCATATACGTAATACTTCATATACAAAAGATATCTTTCTACAATCTGTATAAATTCTCCACATTTATTTGGGGAGAAACTCTTTAAAGGGGTTCACAAAATTTAAGACAAAATAGAATAACTGATGCGTATACGTAATATTATAAATGAAAACGTATACAACTGTTATATACCTTCATTCCATTCATTTTTTTTTAATATGCTATACATATTGAAAACATTTCAAGAGTTAAGAATTTTGAAAAAAAAACCATAAAGGAAACTATGTTCTTGATGTCGACATTTTCATTTGACAATTTTTTCGATAAAGAACAATTTAAAAAACCCATAAATAGCTCAAAAAAGCATTAATTTTAAATTGGAAAGCGTTTCTTTGCTAGTTTTTATCAGGTTAAAAAATCTACCTACTCGTTTTAAAACTTTAAATATATTAAATTTTTTGTAAATTTTTTCACAATTTTAACGATGTAACCCCTTAAATTTGTTTTGAAAAAATTTAAAAAAATGTATTTTCTTTTGACATGGCTAGAAAGATTCTTCTTTTAATGCTGATCAAGAATATATATGACTTATAGGGTCGGAAATGATTCCTTAACTGCGTTGCAAGCTTCTGACTTAAACTATAGTATAAAAATGTGGCTAACGGTACGTATACGTAATATACGATTATCAAACGATTTCTTAAGCCGTAACAACTAAAAACTACTAATCAGGGCCAATTCTCTCTCATTTAATTAAGCTATGGCTTCCTTAATTTCCCTGCCAACGAATGCAACATTTGTCCAATCGAAAACTCATTAGCAGAGTTGCTCCTGCCACGTTCTCCCCCACTGTATTTTCTTGTGCAACTTTTTACCCACAGACGTTGGGTTTATATTCTTTTTCTTCTTATTTCATTTGTTCCTTCCGGAAAATTTCGTGAGCATTGTTTCATGGATTTTTGATTCGTTGTCGCCTTCAAAACCAACCAAATGAGCGCCACTCGCACTCGACGTGCTTAATGAGTTTTCTGCTATAACTGCACCGGCGAAATGTTCCTGTTCCTTCGGTTCATCACTTTGCCAAGTGCAGCATTGCAGTTTTCCCACCTGGCGGAAAAGGGGAAGGGATGGGATGGGATGGGACCTTTTCCTGTTCCTGTCAGTTCCATAATTTAAGGCGCTGTTCTAGTGGCATTTCGACTACATCCACTTGACTCCCGGTGTCCTCATCCGTCGTCGACGTCTTTACCGTCATCGTCGTCGTTGTCGTTGTCGCAACGGCAAATGCAAATGCCAGCTTAAGTTGATTTTAAGTGATAGAAAAACAACAGCGGGACGGGGGGAACAGGGACAGGAGCTGAAGCTGAAGCTGAGACGGCTCACTCTCGAGGAAAAACCCCTTTAAGGACCTGGAACCACAGCTGCAGTAAACCGACAGCGCCCACACCTGGCAAACATTTCGAGTGCGCTGCTCATCACCATCATCGTCATCCTGGCAGCCTCTTTCTCCCGCTTTTTATTCTGGCCACCTTTTTTTGTGTGCCGGGCGAACAAGCGCTGACAGTTGACTTTTTGCATTGCACGCCCCGAGGAGGCAGAGGATGAGGTGCTCCTGCTGCTCCTCCGCCATTCAGGCTCAAACTCCACTTGACTCGACTCGGTCTCCCTTGTAGACCAAAGTGAGTTTGCTCAAGTTTCGCCTTGTGCTCTCTCCAGTTTCTTTTCTTTTCCTTTTTTTTTTTTGACATAAAAGTGAAAAGCATTTAAATATAAAAGCAGCACACAACTACAGAAAAGAGCAGGCGGGCAGCAAAGGCGGGGGCAAGGCGAATTGGAACGGAGGTGAGCCGGGCACTTTATAATTTTCTTGGCAACATTGGGCCACATTGTTTCGCCCGGGGCGCCAGGTGAGTGGAGCTTGAGTCCGTGGTCTTCCCCTTCTCTTCCTCTCTCTAGGGACTACCTGGAGACAAAGACTCTATTTCATTTCCTCGCGTTCCGTTGCGTCACCTCAATGGCATAAATTAAATGCACGATTTCATCGCCTGAATGCGATTTGTGTCGGAACCCATTTCGTTGTGTGTCATGTCATTTTAGCGTTCGTTCTGCGGACGGCCTCAAATGCGGTGTTATCCTTTGTGCCCGTCCAGGTATACAGGTGTACAGGTATATAAGTATACAGGTGTACTCTACTCACCGTTGTGCATGGCCACGCTCTTGTCCTCCACGCGACTCACGTAGCAGCAGAGCTCATCCTGGCGCTCCGCATTCTCGATCAGTTCCGCCTCCACGGAGAAGCCCCACATCTGCTCGAGAGTGGTCCGCTGCAGTTCCACCTGGTAAAGGATCTTCATGCAGACCTCCACGAACTCGTGATTATGTAGCTGAAAGAAGAAAATGGTTTATATTATGAGTAACTTATGGTAAATACTACTTTTGGGTTAAAAATATATATGATTATGTGGCCTTTATCAATAATAATGGTATAATTAAGAATCGAAAGAATTCAAATCTATAATAATAGTTTCCAAAGATATTCTAACACTCGATATAACATTTTCTAGCAACGTTTTAGGAACCTTTTAAGGGGTTTTTAAAGCTGTAGAAACAAGTTTTAAGTGAATTGCAAACCATCTTTTTCTTACTATTTAAAATTGTTTAGCAAATTTAAAGACAACTTTCTAAGGTATTTCAAAACTCCACAGATTTAAGAACATTATTTTAAGTGCTGATTTTTCTCTCTCTCCCCCATTGGAGCAACGAAAGATCGATGGAAAGTGAGTTTGAGTGGACGAGTTAAGTGCCAAATTAGCCGAGTTATGCAAGCTAGTAGAGTAGTTTTGCTATTGATTGAGTGGAGTTACTGGGAGTTGCTCCAAGTTGTTGTCGAAAATTTATTGAACTGCCACCAGCGAAAGGAAACTTTTATTCAGCCCAAAAGCCGCACTGCACTCCCTCGTTTTTTTATTTTCTCTACAACCATTTGCAGTTGCAGTTGTCGGAGTTGCACATTTTGTGCCATTTGCCAATTGGCCTGGCCAATATTTACTAGCTTGTTGTTGAGGTCGGAGGTTGGAGGTCGAAGGTGGGAGATGGGAGGTCGGAAAGTTTCCAGCTAGCTGAAGGCTGACTTGGCAGCTGGCTAAAGTCTCACCTAGACTAATCGTGTGCCAACTGAAGGGGAAAAGGGGGAAAAAAAAGGAAATGGGAAATGGCCAACGGGTAAGTTCATAATTTATGGCATTATGTTTTTAGAAATATCGAAGAGCAATGGCCAAAACGTTAGGGGCGGCAGTGTGAGCTAATTGGGAAATTTGGTATTTTGTTGCAAGAACAAGTCCTGCAAAATTCTGAAAAAGAGGAAAGAATTAACAGGAAACTCCCTCTGTCGAGAGATTTGACTGGGGTGTGAAAAATATCAAAAGTACTTTGCAGAAAGTTTTTTGTAGAGAGAAATCTGTGCATTATAGCTTCAAGCTATGACATAACTATCATCTTTAATAGTCCTTATGATTAACTTAAATCAACAGGAAACTGATACGTATTTCTTTACATTACACTTGACAATTATATTCTTAGTCATTTAATTAAACCATAAATATTGAATATGCCAGAGCTGAAGGACTATTTTAATGCACATGTCATTACAGACATTCCAAGAAAATTCCAAGAATCTACTCCATCCTCCTTAAGATATTATAAATATAGATTTAATTATTTAAATGATAATAATTAAAGGCAAGCCAATTAAGACTCTCGTGGGCACTTCACAGCGGGTAATGTGGCAGACAGTTTCCATTAAACTTGCAATAATTCCGGGCTGCTGCCTGCCGCCCTTTCAACTCCTAAAATATTCCGCCCCTTTAACCCACGTGCCAAAATTCCATTCGCACATCACTCCACATGCAATTTCCAAGTTAAATTCGATAAGTTGAATTGAACTAGGAGATGATGATGGAGTTCAAGTTGGAGCCCCCCCAAGGAATGCCTTCTTGGGAGGGGATATACATACATATGAAAGCATTCTGGCTCTGATTATGTACTTACATAATTCTCAATCAGATCGTTGCGATGCGGCACAAAGTAATTGTGATCCTCCATGTCACGTCGCTTCTTGACGCGCACAAAGTGCTCCATGGGATTGAGGTTGCGACGGGCGCAGGCGCTGGCGAGGAATTCCTCCACAGACATGGCATCACGTAGATAAACTGTCGAGTAAGCATTGTCGGGCATTGCAACTTTGAAAGTTTTTTCCGGTTCGTCACGTGAATTCATCTGGAAAAAGGCAGAAAATTCGATTGGATAAACAGGGGCACAGACACACACGGCCAGATATATATATATATTTCCCACGTACAATGTCATTAAGCAGTCAGGCACAGACATTTTGCGAGCCTCAAACATATACACAGTGCATTAAAAGTGTAGTGAATTTTGCAATTTTATTATAAAAACAAGAACTAATTTATTGTAAACAGTATACAAAAATAAGTAAGAAAACTAAATTCAAATGAGAGACTTTGAGATAAGTTAACTCATGATTTAAAACTTATAGAAAACAACTGCCTCTTTACTATCATGTTAATTAGCCGATTTTAATGCATCTTAATTATATTTACACCCTTGCAGGGTATTATTATCTTTCAACAGTGAATAACTATGATCAGTAATTACCTATGATCAGAATATAACTATGAGCAATAAGTAGCTCTGAACATAAAGTATCTATTACCAGTAAGTAACTATGAGCAGTAAGTATTTGCATTGGCCACGTCATATTTTTAAGGTCGAAGGCTGATCACTTGCACTATCACTATCGATGTAAACTCTAGGTACCCCTAGGACAGACTGAGGCGCGCGCGACCTCAGCGCCTCTATTTATAGTCCCCGGGGAAAGAGAAGAGAAGAGAAAGTGAGTGTGAGTGCGCGGGAGAGGAGTTGCCTCTAGAGATTAACATAAGCGATAGCCATAGAGAGAGAGAGAGAGAGAGAGTGGGAGAGGCAGAGAGAAACAGCGAGCTATTTAATTTAACTATAATCAATAAGTAACTATGAGCAATAAGTAAATCTGAACATTAAGAACCTATGTCCAGAAAGTAACTATGATCAGTAATTACCTATGATCAGAATATAACTATGAGCAATAAGTAACTCTGAACAGAAAGTATCTATTACCAGTAAGTAACTATTACCAGTAAGTAACTATGAGCAGTAAGTATTTGCATTGGCCACGTCATATTTTTGAGTTCGAAGGCTGATCACTTGCACTATCACTACCGATGTAAACACTAGGTACCCCTAGGACAGACTGAGGCGCGCGCGACCTCAGCGCCTCTATTTATAGTCCCCGGGGAAAGAGAAGAGAAGAGAAAGTGAGTGTGAGTGCGCGGGAGAGGAGTTGCCTCTAGAGATTAACATAAACGATAGCCATAGAGAGAGAGAGAGAGGGGGAGAGGCAGAGATAAACAGCGAGCTATTAACTTTAACTATAATCAATAAGTAACTAATAATTTTACTATTATATAAGTCGAAACTTTGCGAATCGGTGGACTATATATATACACATATATAGCTGCCATAGGAACGATCGGAAAATTTTAAGAAAAAAATGTTATGACTTTTTCAGTTTTCAACAGATTTTCGTCAAATTTAATATATGTTATAGTCATTATATATTAATCTAGAATTTTGTGTAAAATCGGTCTATTGTATCATATTGCCATACAAACGATTACTATATATAAATTGAACTGCATATTTTTTTGCCAGTGCACCCACATTGGCAAACTGGCATGCTGGCATATAGCCTTATAGCCACACGGAAGTGAAAATTGAAAAATAGCAAACACACACATACATTTCTACCCGCAGTTGATGCAGTTGTTGTAGTAACCCTTCGCCTCCCCCCTCCGAAATGTAATGAAAAATGTCGCCAGCAGCAGCAGCAGCGGCAGGTGAAGCAGCATCCGTGATAACCAGGAGGAGGAGCAGGAGGAGATGCCGCGAATCCAGACCTGCAAGCAGGATCTGCTGCTGCACATAGTTGGGTTTGAAGAAAACTCAGTTAAAATGCTTAACCGTTTCCACAACGTCATCGTCATCCAATGTTAACTCTGTGATGAGGCTTCCTGCTGCAGCGCCTCTTCATGACCCTCCTCCTGCCACAGCTCCCTGGCTCCTGACTCTACTCACTCCTGGCTGGATCTGTAAACGAATCAGGTGGCCCAGCTGCCAGTTGTCGGCTGCTGGAAATTGCATTTGTATTGGCAGCCATTGGCAATGGGTTCGTTTCGTTTCGTTTAAGTTGGCAGCAGTTTGGGCCCAGCCAGGTAATACACTCACTCACCCACATGCAGCACACTCACCGTCACACCCACACCCACACCCGGCCAGGACAATTGAATTAGTTTGGCAGTTGGCAAAGGCAGCCTCCACACAACACGAGCTACCAAGTGAGCTCCAAGAAGCGTTGCAGGAGCAGAATGTTGCCTGGCATAGCCATTTTGCATATCGATTACGGGATCATTATGCCAGACCAAATATATCAACTTTATATTCATGAAAGTGTATGTGGCATTTATACTCTGCAGATCAAAGGACCTCAAAGGCGGTGGCTTACAAAAAAAAAAAAAAAAAAAAAAAAAAAAAAAGTAGTGCAGCTTCTCAAAAAGGAATTTTTTAATATTTAATTTTTGGTTGTTCAAAAAAACCAACAGGCATTCGAATTTGCATCATATTATATTTGTGTTGGCCACTCAAAGTATAAATTGGGTACAGAAATATTATGGGAATGTTGAATCCTTTCAGTTAAAGAACATTTGTTGAAACTTGAGATAAATTTAAAGATACAAGAACATCTAGATATCTCTTTAAAGTTTCCATTTATTTAAGTTCATTAGGAATTGTTAAAATTTAGAAAATAAATAATATATTTTTCATAGAAACTCACTTAATAAATGCATTTACAATGGAATTTAAAACCCATTTCACTACAGAGAAAATTACCATTTATATTTTGCTAAATTATACAACTCTGCACTTGATTTGTTATGTTCAAATTAAATTCCATATCAAGCTAAACAATTGAAAGCAACTTCAATGCGATTTCAGGGCTGTGATAATGGAAATGTCAGTGCCTGGCTGCTGAGCACCGATTGTTCCGAGGACCTGTGTCCTCGATGCTACGGAACCCTTAAAGACGATTAATTCCGCACGAACTTAACTCTCCTCCCGACTAATTAACTTTTGATTGTTCCTGACTGACTGGAGTCGTCGTCGTCCCCAGCCCAAGGCCATGAGAATATATATTTCTCTGATATTCTGGCGGGCATTGTCGATGGACAGTTTAATTAAATTTTAGCCCGAGTATTTTAACTTTTGCGAATTGGTTATTTCGGCTGCCGGATAACTGCCAACTGTGTTGCCTGACTGAATGATAATTTGCTTTGGAGAGAGGCCTTTAATTTTATTTGCCATTTCTGAACTGCAGTTGCAATTTCACAATTTCACAATTTCAACTGCATTGCAGTTGACATGTTCGAAAAATGGCCAAAGTGAAGGGCAGTTACAGGCGCTGAAGGAGAAATTGGCTTGTTTGGGTTTGGGTGTGGACTATATGAACCAAATCAAATGCACATTTTTCAAATTCATTGAATTTTCAGTGCATTTACAGCGTCATGGCTGGGACTCCTTCCTCTTCCTCTCAATTATGTAACTTCATTGCATTTGTTTTTACATGGTTCTACTGTGTCTGTCCATGTGTGGAATCATTTATATTTGTATTTGTACTTTATGATATTTTTTAGGTATTTAAAATGGCCGTGATTGCTGATGGAAGATGCCAGGGGTAGGGCAATTGTGCAGCGTTGGCAAATTTAATTGGAAATGAAGTGGTGTGCCGAGAGTTCCATAAGCGAGCCCATGAAATTCGAGTCATGCACAAGATTATTTTGTCAATAATCGGAAACAAATTGAATTTATTAAATTAATTGCATTATGAAGCAAGAGATATGTCCAAAATTGGTAACACTAATTGGGATTTAACAAACCGCTGATGGAAGTCTCCTTCCTGGTTTTATTAATCAACTCTCCCTCCGCTGTTGTTGCCTTGAATTATTTTCCCAACAAATTTAATCTTTGTCCAGCTTGAACTTTTCTTTATTCGCTTTCTCGACTTGATTTAGATTTGATTGTGTGTTGAGGTCATTAGCAGGGGTGAGGTGGAAAAGGACCAAAAGGAACTTGGAGTTGGACTGAGTCTGGGGCGGCATCTGATCACCATTTGAAATGGCGTCGCCCTGCATTATTCACTTAAAATATGCAAATATTTTCTTTTGCCAAGTCAACTTGAGTTCTTTTTCCCTCCCGCGTTTTCTTGGTTTTTCTTTCTATGCGGGGTGGGGGAAACCCTGCCTTCCACCCACCCCTCTCATAAATTTCATTATTCTTTTTGTAATTTTTGATGGCCATTAAATGCAAATTATAAAGCTAAAATACACAAAGAAAAAAAGAAAGGAAATACAGCAAATTCTAATGGACAGGGGGCGGCGTTGGGACATATTTTTATATGATGGCCATTGCCCATCCATTTTAAGCATTAGCGCTCAATTTAGCTTTTAATGCCATTTCCGTTGCCTTAAATAAAAATTCAATTACTCTGGCACACACACACACACACACGCACATTACGAGAAAAACCATAAACACATACAAACAGTCGCGAGGAGCGTACAGCAAATGCGTTTAAAATTGAAATAATTTTATTACCCATACGCCCCGTGGCCGCACATAAATGCCACACATTGATGCGCGAGGACAACCATAAAGGCTCGTATTTATATAGGTAAATTTATATGGGCATTTTCCGTGAGAATTCAAGCACCTTTAAGTTCGGAAAATACACAACTCTTTTGAAGCATTTTTTCAATGAATTTCTATGGTTTCTCCTAGATGTATCCATTTTAAATTATAAGTAAACCCAAAAAAGGTATTTAAAAGTGACTAGAATTGAACTCACCTGCATGGAGCGACGACTGGAGCCGCTATTGGATCGCGATAGCATCGGGGGCCTCCGTTTGGTAGCTCCTCGTCCTGCCAGAAGATTGTTGAGCAACGAGGGCGAGCGGGCACAGATGAAGGCATGGAAGGAGGATACCGTGAATACGCCCAACTTGTTCAGCGTGTTCTTTGTGGGGCGTGAGACGTGAGTCAGCAGCGACTGTTGAATAAATGGGAAATGCGAAAAGTTTACAAAATTTGATACGTGTGGAATGAATAAAACGTTATTTTTGGGACCCACTACTAGTAGTACCCAACCCGTAACTAATTTTACTATATTTTGCCAACCTCTCACACAGAGGAAGAGAGCATTAAAAAAGGCAGACCGTGTGGACGAACACCTATGTAAATAAGCCTTTGGCATCCTGCAGTCGACTGAAGTTGCTCTCTTCACAGGTGCTGAAGTTGTTTGCATTTTGTGGTTATTAATAATAAATAATGTTGCTTTTCAGGCACACAACTGCACTTACCAGAACCCTCTCTTCCCCACAGTTCAGACTGCCATTAAAAGCGCAATCAACTTTCAACCCTTTTCAGTGAGTCAGTCAAAGCATTCAGTCAGTCAGTGAGTCATTCAGGGAGTCTTTCTAAGGCTTGGTTAGGGGGAGGAAAATTGCCTTTAAGCTCATTTAAGATGCTTAAACTTTTGTTATGGAGATTAATTGTGCATGTTTGGGTTTTGATTTTGCAAAAGGGATGAAGGAGTAGGCTGTGCCTCGGCCACTGTTCAGATAGGTAGAGGTAATTATAGACAACTCGACAACACGTCAAGGGTTCTCGGTGAAATTGTAAACGGGTTTGCCCGGAATAGGACATCATCATTGTTGAAAGGATTTTGGGCCAATGCCATTGTGGTCCCGGTTCTAAGCCCTCGAACCAGGCTGTGAATCTGTTTTTGATGTTCCCCAAAGGTTGGAGGACTTAAGCTTGCGGTGGCTTAAGCGAGTTATTGTTCTGGTATTAGGCAGGCCTTGATTGGGGAATAGTTTGGCGTGGCTTGACTCTGCGCCTCAAGGTTATGAAAGGCTAAAGATACTGATTAATTGAAAATGTTGTTAAGCTCTTTCACAGACTTGATTGAAATATGGAAACAGCTCTAAACTAAATAGAGAATTATTAAGCGAAAATTGTGCTTAAACTGTTAAGTAAAATTGTTATTGAATTATTATTATTGTTATTGTATTTGAAATAAATGAAATTGGACAATAATTATCAGCTTATAGTTTTGTCATTAAAATCAAAATGAAAACATAAAATAATTAGCCTGGCGGTTAACACCTATCCTAAAATTGACTGCGGTCACTACATAACCACTTTTATTTTGTGTATATTTAGATTTTCTAATTTCATTTCTAATTTTTTAATATGCAACATGATAACACAGTGTATTTTTAAACACTAAAGCTTAAATGAACATTGTGGTTATAAACAAAATTATGTTTAGAGCCAAATTTTAGCTTTTTGCTTTATAAAACAGATTATTTTGGTTATTTTAGAAGAGGCTTTCTTTAGACCATTTAACAATAAAGATAAACCATGAACTTTAACACCATTTACCATGTAATTGATGCACAACATTGTGTCATTTTTAAATGAAATAATAAAAAAATAAATGTTTCATTTCAGCAATTTAACCCTGTGGTTACAGATGAACTTCAACACCTTTACTGCAATTGGCACCCAACGGTGCTTCCCCTGGCGCACAAATGTAGGCAATATTTTTCGCGCTAACAACTGCAACCACTCTGGATGAATCATAGAGCTGGGGCCAGAAGGACATGGCTCTCTACCCATTAATTGCGTCCGACTTATCTGCCTGACAGCCTCGCATTTCGCTGGAGGTTCTATATATATGGGTTTGGGGCCCAGTTGTGTGTTTTCCACCTGGCCATAACTCACCTTCGGATTGGGCAGCTCGCCGCTCTGCAGCGAGGCCATGTAACAGCGCAGCCGGAACTGTTCGCAATGCAACCGCTCCAGGTTCTCCTCCCACTGCAGTATCTGCGTCTGGATCTGATGACGCGTCTCCTGATCGGTGACAACTGATTGCTGCAGCTCGGCCATGTGCTTCAGCTTGTGATCCTGTGGGGAGGGGAGAGAGAGAGAAGCAGAACAACGGGTTAGTGTGCCATAGCATATGCAATACATACATATATTCAGGATATATATCACATGTGTGTGTGAGTGTCTGTGTGGGTTATGGAAGCATCCGAGGCATGGCATCATTAGCATTTCATGGCAGCTTTGTCCCACTGCTCTGCGGTGGCTGCCATTTGACGAAAATACATAAATCACGCGTCATGTGCAGCTAAAAATTTTCCCAGCTCTTCCGTCAAACCGGCGAAGGGGGGTTTTCCGCAGCGCAATTCAAATATCTCTGCTCCTGGCACACCCCTTTTTCCCGCCCTTTTCCTGATCCTGAAGTGCGTTGGCAATGCACCAAAAAAATAGGGGAAAAACCCCTTTTCGCGTATAGGTACTGCGCATATACATGCCCCTGTTTTCATTACAAATACCGTTTGACTTCCGCCGCAGATGCTGCACCCCTCTGAAGCGACCCATTACCGTCGCAGGACGAAGGGACAGGCAGGACGATGGGACCAGGGACCAGGGACCAGTAGGGAGTTAGGAGCAAAATTCAGCATTTGAAATCCCACTTTCACGTGCATTTATAGCACGCTTGCATAGATCTCATGGAGCATGGAGCACGTGATTGTTTCATTTTGGTCGCTGCTAGAATCCTGGCTCCTCGTCCTGTGCCCCTTTCCCGCACTCCCGCAACCATTTCCAATCCCCTGCACTTCGTTTCTTGTTGTTGCATTTTGACTGCTGCATTGAATGCGAGTCAGTAAGCTGACAATTATTTGCAGATGCAACTGCTGCTGCTGTTGCCGTTGCCATTGCAACTGTGCAACTGTGTGTGTGTGTGTGTGTGTGTGTGCCGTGGGCGTGGCAACAACCTGAATAGGCACTTTCGATGTTCGACATTTTAATGAATGTGTACACATAAACAGTCAGGGGTTACGGGTGGAGGGAGACGAGGGGCTTGGGGCAGTCCTACCTGGGATTACGTGTGTACCACCACCAGAGCCCAGCGCCCAATCCTGCAATCCTGCAATCCTGCAATCCGTGCGACTCTCTCTCTATTTGAACTGTGCGATGCTGAGCCTTTTGAATGTTTGTTTTACGTGGAAATAAATCAAAGTTTTGTGCATTTTATTTGCACATCTCGCACACGACACACACAATGCGGTGGTGTGGCTTCAAGCCTGCAATCGATATGTGTGGCAAGGCTTCACCTAATTCAATTCCACTAAAGACGCCAATAATTCCTAGTTGAGGTCTAAGCCAGCCTCCGCAGCAGTCTCGGTCTTGGTGGGCACCAAGCTGCTTGGTTAATTAATAAACTGAAATCCCATTATGCACTGCGACCGCACACACTCACTCACCGCCAAGGGAAGAGACGGAAGAGCAGGAGGATGTCGTACCAAGGAGATCCCTGTCAATGGCACTTGGCACTTGAGGAAAGCTGCTTATTTGACAAACACAAACCGGAAGGAAGGAGGTCTCGAAACTCCAAGAGGAACAGAGACACTATCTCAGCCCCCCAGTTTTGTGATTATTTACAACACAAAACTGGGCCGAGGCGAGGCTAGGCTAGTCGTCTGAGGCTGCCAGGCAACAGTTTGTCCTTGTCAAAGTAATATGGGCTCTTCCTGGACCACAAATAGCTCTCGCCTGGTGCTTGACCATTAATCGCCCCACTGGCCATTGTATCCATTGTGCCGGACCCTCTCCGACTACCGGCGACCGCACCCCAGGAGTTTTTGGATACTGATAGCTTGGAGCAGCCACTCCAAGGGTTAATGGCAATGTTAATGGACTTGTAATTGCCCTGCAATTGGGAGTGTAAATCACGCAAACGATAACTCCACAGCCAGAGCTGTGAATCCCCTTCGGGCTGTTTGAACTTCACTGGGCGAGAGATATGTTTGCCGCACATGCAATGGAAATATTTGACGGACAACCAAGGCTATCTCTGGATCTTTGGCTTCCCACAAAAACCCATTGGACACACACATGAATGAATAAGTAAACCTGTATTTTACAGGACTACAGAGAGGAAACAGGTGCAGCTAATGGCTATCGAATGGGATTTGTGGTTTTAGTAAAGTTAAACTTTTTTGCTTTTTGAATTTGGAATGAAGAGAATACATCAAAAGACCATTTGTTCTCATTATGTATAGGTCAGTTCATATCACAAGAAGCTTTTCTGTAAGGTCCTTAAACTTGATTCGCCTAGATTTCACATTCTGTTTCTGGAATTAAGTTTCTTTTTCGTAAAGTTCTTAATTAAAGTTCACTTTACTGAAGTGTCCTTTTAATAGCTTTACTCCTAAATGGCCTTCTCCTGCCGTGTGGCTTGTGTTCTTAATTTAAAGTCAATCTTGTTTTGCGTAGGTCTTCTTTCTCGCCTTTGAGCTTCTCTCCTCCTCACTCGATTTTGAGGCTTCTTCCGCTGCTGCTTCTGCTTGCCTTTCAAATCCATTTCAGTGCCGTGGGAGGATATTAACAGCACTCGCAGGACCACAAGGCACTGCTATATAGTGCACTTGTGCAGCAGACCCTCTCTCTCTCACGGTCTCGCTGTTGCGGTTGCCGCTTGTTTTGACACATGTCACGCGCTAAGTGACAGGCCCAGCCACAGTTCGAGCGGCTCCTTTCCGGGCTTTCGGCTTTCGGCTCCGTCTCCGGCTTGAGGTCCGGCCTCCATCTCCTCCTCCGGCTGCTCCTCGCTGCTGTCATCTCAATTCCCGTGAATTTTATTATTGCTGCATAGTGCATCTCTGTTCCTCCTTTTGCATTCACCAGGCTGTATCTGTCGCTCCTTGACGATGAGTTTTTGCGGTTCGCCTATTTAGTTGTCCTGCCTCTGCCGCCCAGACCATCATTTCCCGACGCTCCGTTGTCCTGTGGTCGTGTTCCTGTGGTCCTCGCCCCCGTTGTCTGTTGCGCTTTCATTAAGCGCCACTTGAGGCTGCCTCTGCCCCTGACGATGCGATGCCATAACCCGATGCCTCCTGATTCCCGGACCATACTCCCCAGGCTCACATTTGTGCGGCAGGATACAGAGAGAAATGGAACCGAAAATCATCATGGTTCGCCAAATATCAAGCGGTATAAATAATGCTCTTGACATTATTCCAAAGCCATGATTGATGTGAGTGGCATTTATATCTATTTTCCTCATTATTCTTATTTTATTAACTCGGGGGAAAAAATATTCATTGGCCATGTTATTTATTTTGGCACATCCTTTTGTTTGGGGAAGCAAATTGTTTATAAACTCATGTTGACAATTATTTTAAATGCATGTGAAATCAGAGGGAATTGCAGTGGAAATTATGTAGAATTTCAGTGAAATGTCGTCCGCTTTATTTGGCAAAGCTTTTCTGTTGATAATTAGGTGAATTTTCAGCTGGGAAAATATTGTATATTTTCACCTGTCTGATTTTATTTTGAACTGGGATGATTATTTATCTACAAAAAGTCCTTGCATTTCTTTTCCCATTGCAGCTCTATAACAAGGATTTATTGACTTAAATCCCACTTAAATTTTCCCCTCAGTGTAGATGGAGAATCTGAGGATGCCATTGCCATTGCTAGATGCACTTGTTATTATTATTATTGTTGGTCTTGTTCTCGTTGTTGTCGCTGGTCTGCCATTTCCGCTTGAGAGTTGAGGAGAGTTTGGAGAGTTCATGGTTCTGATTCTGGTACTTGTTTTTCTTTCTGTTTTTGTGTTTGTTTGTTGTTTTCATACTGAAGCTGCTGTGTTTTGGTTGATATATGTTTTTACTCGAGAGTACAATTAAAAAATACATTCAGCTATTGTTTGACTCGCCCCGTTGACAATATTCCTCGCATGACAGGCCAAAGATGCGGCAAACGGCAAAAGCAACAATAACTGCGACCCAACAATGACCGAAAGAATAATAATAATAATCAAATGGGGAAAGCAGGACGTGGGACGCAGGACGCAGGACTCGTGACCCGCTATCAGTTTATTTTGCTTGCCAGCTCTCGGTGCCATCAATTAACACGGAAACGGAGTAGTGGCGGTCCCCAAAGGATATTGAGTAGTGTAGTTCCTCTTTGAAGGACGCAACCTCTGCTTAAATGACTTTTGACATGGCTTTTGCATTAAATGGCTGCTCCATGGCAGTCAAAAGTCACCGGTAAGAGTACGGGTCAATCTGGCAGGACCTGCTGCTGATGCTGCCCGCAGCCCGTTGCCATGTCAACAAAAGAGGCCTGCAAAATTGTATATGGGCCTGCATAAATGCTGACCGCAAAATGATGCCACATTATATAACGTGTGAGTGCTGCATCTGAGGGCTGAGCTGGCTAAAAAGGGGAAGCCCCATTTCCTCCCAGTAAACGAACTCGGACCTCTAAACTGGCGCCTATGTCTGTGGCCACAGAGCCATGGGGTGGGATGAGTCTGTAGATTGCATGCTGCATGCTAGATCCTGGATGCTGTTGACAATTGAATTGAATTTTCCGCCCCTGACCACAGCCACGCCCACTGTGTCAGCAGCGCCTACATAAAGCATATTTTTGCATCTGCTGGGAGCAGTCGTCGACAGTGGACAGTCGACAGTCGGCAGTCGGCAGGCTCTCGATGAACGCCTCCTGAACCCAACACGAAAACAAATCAGGAACCAGAGAGCAAACTGCCTCCTCTCCGCCTGCCAGGAGGGGATTAAGGGCAGGAATGCCGTCCCTATCCCGGTTTGGCCCGGTGGCAACCATATGCCAGACCCATTTCCTGTGCAACTTTCGACCAAAAGTTGCAAAAATATTCGCACGTTTGGCCAAAAACAAAGCTGCACCAAAAGGGAGGTCCACCCGACTGGACCTGGTTTGGGTTGGGTTTGAGGATGGAGATGGGGGTCACCATCATCATCACCGGACTGTGCGGGGTCACCACCCAACCACCCACACATGTGTGACCCTCTTTCCTCCCACTTGGGCCCTTTGTGCCGGACTTTGGAGTTCAACTCGTTTCTCATATTTCTTGCCATAAATTTTTACCATTTTGGCATTAGTTTATGAAATGCCACGCCCACCACCACCATCACCGTAACGGTATATACGAGAGTGTATGTGTGTGTGGCAGGTCAAACTAAAGTTTTTTTTCCCCATCATGAAGAAACCTCAGGAAAAAAAAAAGAAAGCAAGCAAACCGAACAAGTAAATTTTATGGTAATTATAAACTTTATGGTTTCATTAAAAAATATTGAAAAGAGAATACCGAGCAGGCAAAAAATACAAGAAATAAAAAAAGGAAACCGAAAAATGGAAATTTCACAATAATGGAGGGGGAAGGGGGTCCTGGACTCGCATTGTTGCACAAGCCGACAGAGCCACCACCCCCCTGTGCAACCGTCACCCATCGAAGTTTCTTTGCATTTTTGTGCGGCTTTAAGTTGGTCTAATTAAGTAAAGTTTTTTGGGTGTAAGTTAAAATTAACTAAATATGCATTTCATTATAATTTTTGGTTTACAAATTTACGGTTTATGGCTGGACGAAATTTAGCTTGGCCAAGGATATGGTGTGTGTGTGTGTGTGTGTGTGTGTGCAAGACCCCAAAGTTGTGGTTAAATTTCAGTTTAATTATAACAAAATTAATTGCACACTTTAGGGCTTTCATTCCCCTCTCCCAGTGTATGTGTGTGTGTGGATTTATCTCTTTGTTTGGCTGCGCAAACTTGCGGAGTGAATTTCCCTCGAAGGAATTTAAATCCTTCGACTCCTGCGGTACATCCGAAATGGATGCCTACTTTCCGGCTCAGCAGTCAAGAAAAACAAGCATGCATTTTGCATGTAGTGAATGTTTTCATAAAGCGCAATTAAAATATCTCTCTCTTTTGTTCTCTCACCCCATACAAATTGCATTAAGCTTTCAATTCACAACCGATGCATCATTTAATTAGTGCAATTATTTAAAATGGAATAAAGGCGGCAAAACTGCGGTTAAAAGTGTGTGTAAAATACCTGAACAAGTTGGCACAAAAAAAAAGAGAGAAATATATTTATAGAGCGAACGAAAAGTGATTGAAAGGTTCCATGGGAAAATGTTAAAGCCAGATTTTGTGGTAGAACCCAAAATAATATAAATGCTTTAAACAGTATTTATGTTACAGCTATTGCTCTGAATTCTGAAATTTAATGTAAAACTAGTATTATTCTAGGGAATTAATATACATAAATATTATTTAAAGCTTTAATGTAGCCTACTTTTAGACAACATTTCAATTGATTTCAATTCAACAATGATTTCCACTATTTGCAAACTTCCACAATTCAAGCTTTGAACAACAATTGCAAAACGAAACGCTTCTGATAGAGAAAATATAGTTGAAATTGGTAGGCGTGACGCCAGGGGGCGTGGCATGGGGACGAGTGAGCTGCTATTGAGCTAAAAATGACAGCAGCCATTGAAAATTGAAAGCAGAATCCAGGACTAGAAGCTGGGAGCTGGGAGCCCAGTGAGCCTTGTTTAGACAGCGCCGCCATGGCAATTGCACACGCCAGTTAGCGAGGGTATGAAACACCAAACCAGGTGAGGAACGGGACAGCAGCAGCAGGAGCAGCAGGAGCAGGAGGAGCACGAGGAGAATGTGAGGTATACGTGGTGTCGTAGGAGTCGTAATTAGAGCGTAAAAACCAGAGCGTACGAAAAACCCAAACGCGCTCGGGCAGCTACTACTATTTTTTTACGGCTCTGCATTGTGTGTGTATGTTTATATACATACATACGTGTGTGTGTGAATGCTTTATGCGAAAAGAAAAATAGATAGCTAGAGAAAAAAAAAGAAAGAAGGAGCAGCTGGAGGAGCACACACAGATACAGATACAGATACATTTACACTGAAACTAGAAAAGCTAAAGCAAACGAAGCGAAGTGATGCCAAAACCGCCTACTCTTACTAACCCCTCTTAAGAGGGGGCAGCAGCCTCTCCCCCCTCCATCCCCCGCTGACACATATATGATTATTTCCGAAAGGTGACAGCTATAAAAAGCAACAACAACAACACACAAAAGTAGAAGGCAAGACAACAACAACAACTAGAAGCAACTACAAAAAGTGTCAGAAAAAAAAGTGAGACAACACTGTTGCTCTTTTCACAGCACAGAGAGGAAGGGAAGGGTGAAAGGGAGCAGTTGTGACCCGCCTACACACACACACACACACACACACACTGGCTCACAAAAGGAGCAACTAGAATGAAATGCGTTGGTGTGACACCTTTTTTTTTGTGCTGCTGCTGCCTTACTTGCCACTGTATCATCTTTCTTTTAATTTCATTCAAGCTAACCCCCTTCTCTGCTCAGTTTCAGGTTGTACACTGTGCAAAAATTATAATTATTACTATATATTTAGTTTAAAATTAATGACATTACTTTCTGCTGTCCTTAAATGAGGTTTTATCAAAGAAAATTTATGATTTTAGAGATCTACTGAAATATCTTTGAAAAGCGCTCATAAGTATGCTACATAATTTTAGATAGTACCAAGTACTTTGTATGAAAGTTAAATTAATACAATTTATAATATTATATTATATAATAAGGTAATTTAAATTGAAATTGGTATCTTAAAGAGATTATGACATACTTATTTAGACACATTTTGAAAGGATTTCAAAATCCTTGCTATTTAAATAGCACTAATTATTATTTTGGTAATTATATGTATTGAAATTTAATAAATTATAAAAAGATTAGGCAAGAATATTGAAATTTTTACAAAAAATAATACTTTAACAACTATAATTTATTTAAAATGTTAAACAATGTTAAGAGATATTCCTAAAAAGAACATTCCAACTCCTAACTTTTTTACCCCGTGTATATTATCTTTGTTTTCTTGTGCCTATTTTTCTAGAAAATTAATTAACAACAAATGCAGAGACGCAGAAATGCTAAATGCTAAATGCAAACTGCATTTATGGCCACTCCTTAAGCTCATTTAATTAATATTCATCCAACAAGTTGGTTTTTTTCGGCCCACTCGAGTAGGAGAGAGGAGGAAATCGGAGGGGGATAGGCGGAAGCAATAGGACCAAGAGCACTCTTATGGCAATCTCGGACTTCCGCTCAATGGTTTTTGTTTTCTTTCCCGGCTCGCTTTTCCTTCATTCTATTTCTGCTTTTCATTTTTTTTTCTTCTCTGGCAGCGAAGTAAACACAAACAGGGAGAGAGATAGAGAAGCGAAGCAGCAAAAACGCAGCAGTTCAAGGAAGTAATTATGGTTTATCCAAAGGGACAGATAGTGCAAGACGGCCAAAGGACGAAGGACGAAGTAGGTCCTCCTTCTCCCTCGCTCTGGTCATAACATCAAACTACAACTTTGTGGAGCAAATGAGGAAAAAAACTAAATTAAAAAAGGGCGCCAAGAAGCAATCGAGCCGGGGGTGGCTCCCAGGCTCACAGGCTCACAGGCTCACAAGGATCGCAGTGGTGGCAGCCATCGAAACTGGGGCACAGCGAAAAAAATGATGCACAAGTGATGGTTGAGTATTTAATATAAATAATTAAAATGTTGGCCTTTTTTGGGTTATTTTCTGTAGTTTTTTATATATTTCAATCTCTTTTTTTTTAAGTTTAACTGTCTATAGAAAGTATTTGTATTTTAGTTTTTATATGAGTATAAACAAGGATATCTTTAGAGTAAAGGATATTCCTAAATTTATTTAAGCTTAAAGCTCTCAACATATTCAAAAAAAAAACTTATAACTGACTGTTGCTGCTCTTGATTAATTATTGCAGCATGCAAAACTTCACTTCTTGTAATAATTCTGTAACTATTTTGTTTTTTTGTTGCTTCCATAAAATTTCCGGATAACCGGAAGTTGTAGTTTTGCAGCAGACACTGTGGCAACTGGGGCAGCAAAAGCGGCAGCGATGCCAGCGACAGAGACGAATGAATCAAGTTGTTGAAGAGCGGATAGGACAGACAACATAATTGTCTTTCAGAGTCCTTCTAACTAACTAACAAACAACAACAACAACAACGACCAAGGATAACAGCGGGGAAATTAGAGGGGAAAAAGTGGCAGGCTGGCAGCCAGGCAGGCAAAGAGAAGCAACTGAAAATGACATGATGAAAAATAAATAAACAAATAAAGTTTAGTTTCTTTGGATGGGCAGCAGGAGCAGTATCTCTTCTCGTCCCGTTTTCCACTTGCCTGGTTTATCCAGAGCATTTATCGTGGGGCCAAGTGCAATTTCTTGTAGCTTCAGCTCGGGTTCAATTCCGTTTGCTTTTCGCAATTCGCTGTATTTTCCCCCCAAACGCTTTGTCTTGCGTTCGGCGCAGAAAATTTTCCTCACTTTGATTTGCTCGCACTCCCTACCATGTTTTGATTTTCCTTTTTTTATTTTCCTTTTATTTTCCCCCGCTTAAAAGTTTCTTTTTTCCTTCTCGCTGCTGACAGAGAGAGGAAAATAAATTGCAGTGCAAGGAATTTTACGCTGTTTGCCGCGAAATTGATGGGGAATTGATTTGAAAGCAAATACATAAATAGTTGCAAGTAGAAGCAGTTTTCCTTATTTCCTCGCGAAAAACCTCCGACAATGGCATAAATCTTTGGCGAAATCGCTGGGGAACTGAGAAATTGGTTGGGAATGCGGGAAAGCAGCAAGGAAAACGCGGAAAATGCGGAGTGGGAGGGGGAAGGGAAAATGCGATTGTTGTGTTCCGTCGTGCTTGTTGTGCTGTTGACTTCTGAGTTGACAGCGCGATATTGAGAAATTGTTGTCCTGCCCAGGATATATCTGTGGGAATTTGTTTTTCTAGTCGATTACATTAGGCAGCGGAGTCGGGAAGGAAGCTACCTGAAGCTCCAAGGAGTTATGGAGCAGATGTCAATTTAAGGGTCTTACTTTGAAATTGGATAGTGTTTTATTGGAGTTTTCTCACAGAAAAACTTACTAGGGAATGTTGAGGAAGGATTGCATTGAACTGGATTCGAAAGAAAGTGACAGAAACCCTTAAAAAAAGTTTCAAAATCAATTAAATTAATGGCTTAAGATGTACAATAGGTTACTAAGCTCTTGAAACCTTTTGGGAATTAGTTTTAAAGTATCCTAAAGATTCAAAATCAATTAAAACGTGTTTGGAAGTAAGCAAAAGTATGTTTGAAGTCAAAATTCCTGGTAATTGGTTTCAGTTGTTATAGAATAACATTTTGTTGCACATTTTTTGACACCTTAATAATATGTTTTCATATCCGAATGTCCTGTCTTTCTCATTCACATTTACCTTTTATTCTTGCCTAAGCTTCCTCCAAGTTAATTTAATATACCATTCTCTATTAACAAATTTTGCAATTTCCTGTCAAAGAATGCTTCACTACACAAGCAATCAAAATTCAAAACATTTACAGATGGGGAACATTGACAACAGATTTTCATTGTTGGATGCACGCAATGATGTGCAGTTAGTCCCTCCGTTTGATGGATTTCCTTACTTAATTCGCTTTTCATCAGCCATTCAATGCAATGCCATGGAATGTCATGCCGTGTGTGCAAGCCATTCAGGACAGTGCGCGCCATGACAGCGGCAAATCCTATTTGCACAAATGCCAATCGATGGGGTATTTATGGCCGCCTGGTACGAAACGCAGCTTATCCCTTTGACATTCATTTCGCATTTCGCATGGCAGCCACTTGGCGAAATTGACTTAACTCTAGAGAAGCAACAATTTGCGGATAAAACCCGCAGCCTTTGCAGCTGCAGCTGAAATGCGGAAATGCAACCGCAATCCAAGCACCAGGACGCGTTTGCTCCTTGAATTCCACTGGCATTCTCCAGGAGTTCCCAGGATTTCCCTCTAGACAGACCAAAAAACCGCAACGAATACTTTTGCACAGTGGCAGAGTCAGGTGAATGTGAATGTGAATGTGAATATGTGTTGTGAAATGTATTTGGTTTTGGGGTTTATAATACCCGCATATTTACTTGGGACGTATGGATGGGAGGGGGTACTCACCGACTCAATGGCCTTCTCCAGCCGGAAGATCTCCTCCTGGAGCAGGTGTAGGGTTCCGGTCTTGCCGCGATGCCGGGCAAAGGCAGCAGCACAGGCGCTATGAATGCTATTCACCCAATTTTCCAGCTCCACCTGCGGATTTGAGAAGGAAGGTAGTAGTTTAGCGGAGGCGGAACAAATTGTAACAAATTGCAGGCCAAATGCACCGCAAGCAATTTGATGTGACTCCCCAGCGCCAAACGTCGAACTTGTCCCCCATTTCCATTGGCATCCCCCGCCATGCTCCCATCTGCTCATCCGCTCATCCGCTCATCGCTGGCTATCAGTTATGCAAATTTAATGACAAATCACGTTGGGCCACAGAGCGAGAGTTGGCAACCTGACAGGCGGGATGTGGTTTGGGGAGACTCCAGAGGATGCGGAGGCGCATCCTGAACGTATGCCTTTGAGACATGTAACAGTTTAGGGCTGCCACAAGGATGCCGCTGCTGCTGCTTCTGCTGCTGCAGCTGTTCAAGGCAATCTGCCAGTTGGCAGTCAGTCAACGCCACCTCAATCATGGCTCACACTTTAAGCCGCCCCCCGGCTACCTCTCTATCTCTCTGTCTTTTTTCTTCTCAATCTCTTTCTCTTTCACACTGTATGCTTTTTGCGGGTTGCGTCAGTCAGCGCCTTGCCAGCGTCCTCGTCCATGTCCATGTCCTCGTCCTCGTCACCGTCATCGTCACCAACACCAACACCATCAGCATCAGCATCATCGTCATTCTCATCGTCCTCGTCCTGTATCTGCATTTGCATCTATTCACACTTGCAGAAATATGACGCGGTCTTGGCTTTAAAAATGTCCTTGTTATGACTCTAGCAGGGGTTTTTCTGTTTATGATTTGATGTTTACTTTAAGTTTTAAGGATGCATGATTTAAAAAGATTAATCATAAATGAGGTTTAGCCTTATTGTGTGATAAGTATCATTAAAAAGAAGCTATTAAATGATTTGATATTGTATCCAAGACTCTTCGATTACTTTACAGTATATGTTATTTAAACTATTTAGTCATTAGTTTATTATTTACTATATTTCGAATTCTTCGAGTGCATGTATCTGTATCTGCGGTTTCTTTATGGCATACATTTCACTCATCTCTTGGCTTGGGCTTAGCTTGGCTGGCGATTATGAGCAGAGAACGGACAAGAGACAGAGACTAGGGAGCCGCGAGCGGTGAACCCGCCAGCTCGCATATCCTTGCTATATCCTTGTGCAAACAAATTTGCGCTACCATCTTTCTATGCGATGGCGACTTCGGCAAGGCCAGGCTTTTACAGCCGCCGCCTTGAAGGACTTCCCTTGGATATTGACTGCTCGAAATGAGGGCGAGCATAGCCCGGGGCAGTCGTCATCACTCAGCTCTTCCATCTTCCATTACCCAGGACACACGCATTCGCACACGCACACGCCGTAATAAAGATACTCACCTGACAGGGTGCCTGGAAGAGATAGGCATCACCGAATGCCGTGCTCAGACAGAAGATGTAGTCGCGCTTGGGATGCTCGGGTATTGGTTGCATAATTGCACCGTCCACGATAATCAAGTGCTTGGGAGCCGCCTCCACGCTCCGGCCCTCGCGGGAATCGCAGGGATAGAAGAGCAGCGTGGTGCCCTTAAGGCACACCCAATAGCCCTTCCAGCCCCGCTTCCTGGCCAGCTCGATTTGGTGCTTCTTGCGTAGTAACCATTTCTTTACCGATAGGAAGCTGCAAAGCAAAGTAAATCAGTTAGTTTTTTTTTTTTTGGGAGGTAGCAGGAGTACTCGTAATCCCTAGGAGAACTTTAGCAGCTTCCTCGCCATCAACCCATTAACCTTCGGGGCTAATCAGTATACTGGGATTGGGAATGGGATGGTGGTTAGGTCCAGCGTACATAAGTCTTCAAGCAGTTTATCATAACAAAACAGCAGGAGCTAGCTTAAAAAAGCCGAAAATGAAAATACCCTAGCTTGTAATCCTATTAATATGAATATTAAATGATAATGGTAGGATTTTTAATGGTAGTATTTTAAGTAGTTTAAGCTGGGTTAATAAAGGATAAAAAAAAAACTGACTTTCTAGTTTAAAGAGATTAAAAATCAATAGAACATAATAGAAGATATATTAAAACAAGAAAGAAAACTAATTTGGGGAGGCTGAACCTCAGTTTATTTTCAAAACAAATTAATATCTGACTGTCTTTAAGAGTATTCCCTTTAGTTTAATATTAAATACGATTTGCATTAATATAAAGGGTATAAGTAACCACCGGATAGCCACGTTCCCTGTAACATTATTATATTGAAGCAACCTGCTAAGACGAATCAAGATTAAATAAAAGTTATAGGCTTACAATAATCTTCCCCCGCTGTGTTTTTGCCACCACTTTGATACCCTCTACGTTAGACGGGCACGGACACGGACATACTCGTAATAATGTTAATCCCCCGACACTGCTTTCTCCACCTTAATCACTGGGAAATTATGTGCCCCCAAGGCGTCCCCGTGGACCCACATACACACTCCACTCCACTCTACGGTTCGTCCTGTTATTTATGATGACTTGTTGGACGTGAGCTCCAATTCTGGCTGCCAGATTACATCTACCGGAGGCATAAATTCCCTGGGATCTAGGAGGAGGTGAATATATATATACATATATATAAACTTACCCAGCTTTGCGAACAGCTCCCGTGCAGTTGAACGAGGATGCAGCGGTGCCAGTGGCCTTTGCTTTATATGGTGACGCCATGACACTTTCCCCATCATCTTCATCCGAAACGGCGGTAGTTAGGCTCATTCGATCATCATCCGAAATCTGCAACACAGACAGAGATAGTGAGAGAGTGAGTCAAGTGATTGGTACAGAATCAAGAATGTGGGCAATCAATTTAATTAAGATACGCCTCCTGGCAACACGTACAAGGACACGTACACGTATCGGGCTTTCGCGGCGATAAAATTCAATAAATCGAAGGGAAAATAATTGAAATAATTAAGTCATAATTAGCAGAGAGAGAGACAGCAACGGGTATCCCCCGTTGGTAAGCCCCGAGAACGAAGCCATTTGAAACCAATAATGGCCAGGTTGCTGCCTCTGCCTCTGCCTCTGTCCCTGTGCCTTTCCATGTCCTGGTTGCTGGTCCTGGTCCTGGTGGCTGGTGGCTGGTTGCTAGTTGCTGCTGTTGCTGTTGTCAGTGCCGACAGCAACATTTGTTACGTATGTCGTCGATAAAGCAATTTGTCTTCTCTTCTCGCCTGCATTGCCAGGCAGGGGCAGGGGCAGTGGCAGGGTTCGACAGGACGACAGGAGGACACAGATAGAGATAGGACAGGCCCAGACAACAATTGACAAAATGGCCGAGGGAGAGTCGGTGAGAGAAGGGAAATAAATGGCGAAAGGCAAACTGTTACTTGGCAATGTTATTTCATCAAAAGCCGGCTCTCGTTCGCTTGCCTCACTCACTAACCGACTCCTGACTCGACTCACTCACTAACTGACAGTCAGTCCGACTGACTCGCTCCCTCTGTTTGGCCATCGCCCAAGGAGGGAAGGAGGTACCCAAGAAGCTGGATTCCATGTGGGAATTCAAGCCAAGACCAAAGCCCAATGGCTCTCTCTCTCTGCTCCGGCTACGTGTCCCGCGTGGCAATAAAAATTGGTTTGCCCATTCATTCGTTTCAATCGAGGTGGGCGTGGCCGGTGCTCTCGACCCAACTGTCGCTCACTTGCTTTTCATGCCATTTTTATTTGAGTTCCCAAGGAAATCAATTTACAATGTGTTTATTCGTTTCGTCTCTGGGTCCTTCGACCCCGACGACTCCCATTCGGTTACTACGATACTTCAGCCTGTCAGTCACTCCACTCCACAGCACCCAAAGAAGAAAAAAGACAGAGTCCTCTCTGGAAAAGCGGACCCCTTCTCTCTTGTACATTTTGGCAATTTTCAAACATTTTTGCTCATATGCATGTTTTACAAGTTATTTATTTGACTGCCGCCTCCTTGCCGGGGCACAGCATGATGTTTGCTCACGGGAGGTATATCAGGGGTTGGGGGGAAGTCCCCACGTCCCACGTCCCACCCGTGGCGGACTTGGAGCTCTGTCGTATCCGTCTTTTGCCAACCGGGGTCATGTGTACTTAACCCACAAGCAAGGGGGAACAAGAAGGAGAAGTAGATGGGAGGCAAAGGAGCTGCGACCAAGTTTAATCAAATTTTATATTAATCGAAGAGCAGTGCAAAGGCATGCAAATAACCAGAAGTGGAGACCGCCCAACCAACCAACCGACCGACCTGAGACGTGGCTTGCTTAGCGACTGAGCGACTCCCAGGTCCAGGACTCAGATCAAAGCGGTTACCAGTGGACCCAGTTGGTGAGGGGAGGACGAACCAATCGATATCTGTGCGTGTCACTTTAAGTGGCTCTTCCCCTCCGAAGTTGTGGAGAATTTAAAAGGAAACCGAAAAAGGGAGAACTTCAAAAACACACACATACTTTCTGTAAGGAGCAACAACCTGAAGCTAAAGCTTGATGCTCAATCTGAATCCGAAACTCGTCCACCGAAATGAAATAGTTTCCGCTTGCTCAATGAAGTTTTCCATGAAATCATCAAGCCGAGCGGAAGCTGTCGAGCGGAACTGTTCAACTGTTGCAGGATGTGAGGGCAGAGGCAAAGGCAGAGGCACAGGCAGGCCCAGGACTCGGCAGGACTCGAAGCACTGCGACCCATTTAAGTTAAAGTTTAAAGAAGTGCAAGAGAGAGATAGAGAAGAAAGACCTGACCCAGTGTGGAAAATCAGTGGGAAATCTAATCAAATTTGTGATTTAAAGGGGGCCTCCGGAATTAGGTACACCCTTTTAGAGAAGATTACTACGCATTTGCCATTCAAGCCAGCCCCTGGAGCTCCCTGGAGAGTTTGGCCCGAGAGTCCAAAGAGTTTGTCAAATGATTCATGAATTTTTAATTGGCCCAAAAGTGGGCAGCCTTCTGGCTGTTTCTTGAATTTCATCATCAGGGCCATCAGGGCCACAAAACTGACAATGGGATTTCACATAGTCCTGGGTAGTGTAGAACGCCTCCCTCCCTCCCTCAACCCACTTCATCCGGTGTCCTAGCAAAACTCGCACGAATGGCTGAAAACGTTCACATGGGTAAGCCTAAATGGGCAACCCAAAACACGAACACGAATGCGAACACGGCCAAACAACAATCACACAAAAGATTAAATGCCAGCCAGTCGGTCCTGTTCCTGTCCCTATGCCTCTCGTCCTCGTCCGTCTCTCCTGCCACGCCCACCTGATTACTTTGGGGCCTAATACGCCATATCTCAGCATCGGTGCAAAATCAAAATTCAATTTACGCACAGACGAACCCGAGAACCCGCTCAAACATACGCCCACTTAGGCCCAGTGATGGGCCTGCCTCTCTCTCCTCTACATATACAAACATATATATCCTGGCCCCACCTATGTCATACCCTTATCCCATATCCCATCCCTATCCTCACAGGTGAGCCAGGTGCTTTCGTTACGATTTCTAATCAAGAATTGATTGTGATCCCTCGATGCGGCTGTCGTTCACGTTTCAGCCATAATTATCAATGACTTTTGAATGTCAAATGTGGACGACGAGATGAGCTTGGGAGATGGGAACTGGGAGCTCGGGATGCCATGTCATTGGCACTGCCATTGTCACCTCCCAATTCCAATCCCCGAGAGCCTCCACCTCACACTTGCCATTCGTGTTGATGGGTGAAAATCTTTTCATATGTCGCTGTCAAAAATTACAATATTTGATAGAGTGTTTATGCAGGGTGATGCGATGCTTCGTTTTGGGGGAAGGAAGGAGCTTCACACCTCTCTTGGAAAAGCGAGACTGGGTTGAAGGTTAACCTTGCTGGGGAAAACTGGGGAAAAGTTATTCGGTATCTGTGGCACGTTCCTGGCATTGCTGCGATTAAGTGAGGCATTAAAGAAGTTCTCAGCAAAAATGTTGTTAGCCAAACGAAATTGATTCAAAGGAGAGAAATCTGCACTGGATTGCAGGTCAGAGGCAGGAGCAGAGGCAGAAGCAGGACGAGATTGAGGTTAAGCGAGATAGGTGAGCCAGGTAAATACAGACGAGACTGACTTGTAAAGTTTCCTCTCTCTCATTTTTTTGTTTGCTGCTACTGCTTCTCGCACAACCAAATTGCTGCATTGCAATGCGAAAATCAATTTGGAATTATCCCTCAGCTCATTTCATTTGTCGGTTTACGACGGTTTGGGTTTACGCCAGAGGTAGGGGTGAGCCAACCTGCAATGTCATTCCAATTTGATTAAATATTCCTCGCAGAGAGCTGAGCTTCCATCTAATTGGCTGAAGGTGAAACTGTTTAGCATTGAATCAATCAAAATTAACAAGCGACCGGGCAACCTTGGGACTAGCAATTGGTATGGAGAAATGAAAGGCGGAATGGGGGCAGTAATCTCGTCGAGCAAAAACGAATCCTTGGAGCTGTGTGAGAGCACCATTTACGTATTCAGATCATGTGAGGACGTAACAAGCGTTAATTAGAGGGGGACAAGAGCAAAAGAATCGGGGGAAAAAGAAAAGAAATTTCAGCTACAAAGCTCTTAATTTGAGGAATTCGTGACAGTACTAGCTGGGCTTTGGCAAATTCAAGAAACAAAAGGAATAATTAAAGCATAATTTAAATACGAAATTTCCCTACTTTAAGTTCTAGTCTGGGAATATCCGTGCACCTTTAATCCCAAAATCCTGAAATCCTTAAATCCCATTCTGGTTTCGCCTTTCTTTCACTGAAAGCCTATCTCTTTGGCCGCTGATCTGGCCATTAATTAATATGCAGTTCCATTCAGTTGATAAGCCAACTAAGCTCACTCATTTGAATATATATATGCACACAGATGTACATATATCCCTTTTTGCTTTACACACCGGCAAGAGTATCCTTGTATCCTTTTGCGATTCAAGCACCGTGCACGTAAAACTCTTGACCAATGCATTTATTTGCCTGTTAAGTTAACCGAACGAAGCTACAAGGATGCAAAGTAAACAGAGAGAGAGAAGAGAGGTCCTGTCGTTGTTACTGCTTTATCTACCTATTTTAGTTGCCATCTGCACTGGTTTTCTACTGCCCTAGGCCACGCCCATGAGACGCCTTTTGCCACTTTTCCATTCGGACTTTTCCGGACAAATGGCCTTTTATCACTTTGAAGCCGTTTGATTCATGCGTATTGCAATCAATGCCATTCATTACCGAAAAACTAAATACAAGTACCAGCTGCCACCCATTCCCTTCCCCTCTTGATTTTCCTGTCTGTCTCACTGTGTGTGTGTGTGTGTGTTAAGAGCTTTTCTTGTTTGGGTCGGGGGGCTAATGCTCTAATTTATTGCTCCTTTGTGGAAAACGGAGCCAGAAAAGGAGCCCAGCCCAGCCAAGGCAAGCAGCTGCTCGAGCGTGAAAAGGATGCTTTGGCTTTGATCAACGTTTTGTTAACGGCGGCCCCAAAATGAATTTGTACCAGACAGACAATACACTTAACTGGAGGCATTTCCCCATCCCCCACGACTTTCTACTCCTCCTCCTCCATCAAGGCGACATTTTCTCACGCGATTTTCATTCATTTCCCGAACGGGAAAGCAAAAGTTCAAAGCAAGCCGAGGAGGAACAAGTGTATCCAGCTCCAGCGATTAGGATAGAGTAGGAGACTCGCCCAGGAAAGCCCTGGGATTACAAATAATGTGTGTGCTAAATGAGCAGCCAGGATTGCGAGTCCTTTTATTTGCTTAAAACGGAATGCAAGCGATAATACGAAAAATGGTATCAACTTTTGAATTTGGACTTTTTCAGAGGTTTCATATTGTTTTTAAGTCTCTAAAGTTAACTTGAGATGCATTATATCATTTGAAATTAGTTGAATCTTGACCTTTTTAAAGGTAATTAGCTGTGTTTTAGATCTGAAATATTTTGTATGAAAATGTAAATGACATTTTTGCCAATTTAAATTCAAATAAGTTCACTTGCTATGATTTAAATTATTAATCAAGATAAGAAACAAGGTTTATATGTTTCCCCAAACGCAAATATTGAATTTCCACAAGAATAAAACCCAAGATATATCCGATAATCCTACCTTGCGAAGGAACATTTCGTTGCACTGTTTGGCGGTGCTGCGCCAATGGCGATGGCGATACCGGGAGTTGCCCAACTTCAGGGTTCCCTGAAGATCGGCTGCCTCCTCGACCACCCGACGGATGCACTGGTAGCGCAGGCGATTGCATCTATGGATCGGTTGCATGGGCACCATCCCATGCTCTGGCTCCGACTCGGCACCGGAGCGCACCTGATCCTCGTCATCATCCACCCAGGCACTGAGCACACCCTCCACAAAGTTGTACAGCATCTGGATGTTGGCCTTCATTGGCGCCGATCCGGAGGGCACCTGTGTCTCCGTTTTGATTAGCTTTCGATTCTGGCACACTTCCCGCAACAGATTCTCGCCAAAGTGTACGGTTTTGTGGCGTCTTCGGCGTGAGTTGAGCGAGGCAGCCGAGGCGGATTTCATCAGCTTTCCATTCGCATGATGCACATAGGCGGGCAGTGGTTGCACTAACGTGGTCATGGGCTCCAGCCAGGCCAGACCTCCTCCTCCTCCCATTGGCAGGCCTCCCCCAGTGCCATTTCCTCCGGCAGAGCTGGCGGAGTCACCACGTTGCAGCGTATTCGGCTGAGAGTTGCTGCGGTAGTGATGATGCTGGTGCTGATGCTGGTACGGATGCGGACGCGGGGGCGAGGGTAGTGGCTGCATCTCCAGATCCAGTTCCAGCGGCGCCGGTTCGATGTCGTCCAGTGTCGTGGGAGGCTGGGCCAGCTGGGTGCGCAACCGGTTGAAGTCGGCGGCGCAGCGAGGCAGTGAGTTGCACTTGGCTGCATTGAGGCATTTGCGATTCCGGCAGCTGAGGAGTGGCGCACACGACCGGCAGTCGTGGCAGATGACCAGGCGGCGTTCCGGGCCAGCTGCCACTCCTCCGCCTCCTGCTATTCCCGCGGAAGGAGGCGGTGGCGGCGGAGGTGGCGTGGCCGTTGTGGATGGCGTCGTTGGCACATCGGAGCCCATGCCCATGGGCACAGCATGCAGTTGGACCTGGGCCAGCTGCTGGTGCCGCGCCAGATTCACCGAGCTCACCGACGAGGTCAGGCACTGGCGCGCCTGGCACTCCTGGTACCTGCAGTGTGGATCCGTGCAGATGGGCAGCAGTGGACAGTCGGGATCCGTGCAGGGGCCCGGCGACGGTGACCTGGGCGCTCGTTCTGCACTCGAGGACTTGCGCTTATGGCCACCAGATCGCTGGGCGGACATGTCGGAGACCGTGGCGGATCTCTGGGTCTGGTGGCGACGAGATCGCTCCTTCTTCACGCCTCCGCCTCCTCCAACTCCTCCAGCTTCTTTGCTGGTCTTTGGCACATACTGATAGCGTTCCTTGTGCGGCTTCGCATACAGTCGCTCCAGGTGGGCAGTGGAGGACGTTCCGGCACCGCTGCCCACCACCTCGCTGGCCGAATGACGGAGCCTTCGCTCCCGGGAGCGCTCCTCCCGCCGCTGGCACAGTGGCGTGTGCGAAAGGGCACTGGGTACCGCATAACCACTGGGTATGGAAGTGGGAGGTGGAGGCTGCTTGCCCAGGGACTGGAGCTTATGCAGCGGATAGGCTATCCAATCCGCCGTCAGCTGCTGCTGCTCCTCCTCGCTGGCAGCTCCACTGTGTCCCAGGGAATGCCGCTTGCGATGGCCCGAAGCCTTGGACTGGCCATGATCCTGAGCATCCTCCTGGGAATTGGAACGCGGTTGGGCATCGCTGCCGCTGCCATTGCGTCGATGATGCGAGCGCCGGGACTTTCCACGTTCTGCTCCGCCGCTCACCTGCATCTTGGTGAGCCACTCCACGATGTCCGTCTTGAGCAGCGAGAACTCGCAGGGTCCGGAGCTCTGGCGTGACAGCGGCTTCTTGAGCAGCTCCGACAGAGCCTTGGCATAGGCGGAGGAGCCCACGCTCTTGCTTGCATCCGAGGGCAACCGATCTCGATCTCTATCCCGGTCACGCTCTTTTTTCCGTGGCAGATGGTCTAGGAGCCAGTCGGGCAGCTCATCCTTGAGCACTGTAATCTCACTGGGACCCGACGAAGTGCGCACTGGCTGCGAGGGACTGGCCGTTTTCTGTAGCTTCAGCCATTCCATGGTCTCGTCTCGCACCTGGCCTCCTTCCGCCGAGCGGGCAGAGTGACGCTGCTGTGCCCTCCGGTCGAACCATTCCAGCTGCTCGGGCGCCGGACGCAGGGCACTCTTGGGCATGGTGGCCACTTCCTCGGCACTCTTCTGGCGACGCGGTGGCAGCTGGGGTCGTTGCTCTATCCGCACATGGGCATGGGCACCCGGGGGCTCCGTAAGCCGGACGGATCCCTTTCTGCGTATGCATTTCTGCTCCATGGTCTCCTCATCGCGGGCCCGCACTCGACGAGTGATCTCAAAGATGTCGCCATTGATCTGGTGATAGAACTTCTCCACCTCCACGCCACGATCGAACTCCTCCTTGGCCGTGGGCTTCACATGCGTCCTGGAAGGCGGGCGTGGTGGCGGAGGCGCCTCCTCTAGCCTCGCCTTCTTCTTGTCATCACTGTCATCGGAGGAGGCATTCAGCAGGGCCCCAGAGCCAGCTGCTCCGCCATCCACTACCCAGCTTATCGAACGTTCACCACTGGTTCCTCCTCCCTTCTGCAGCAGGCGGTCCAAGCTCCCATGATGGGTCTTGATGGTGGGTCCCACCAGGCTGCCATCGGCTGCTGCTTCGCCCAGGGATTGCAGCCGACATTGGGCATTGCAGATGCAGACACCGGGACGCTTTTTACTGCCAAAGCGGAACAATTGGCTGGCCAATTGGGAGACATTCTCGCCCAGGCCCAGGCCCAATCCACCGCCGCCTCCGCCTCCGCCTCCTCCAGCGGCGGCTCCACCCGCATCCCTTCCCGAGGCCGTTGTTGCCGATGTCAGGCGTCCTCCTGGATGCGCCACCGGTGTGATGTCGACGATCACGCAACAGCAATGCAGCGAGAAGGACTTTTTGGGATCGCCGTCGCTGCTACAGTCGCCCGGTGGCCCGCCAGTACTTCCGTTTCCGCTGCCGGCACCGTTTCCGTTAGCTCCTCCTCCTCCGCCTCCTCCACCGTTGCCTCCAGCTCCCTTGACGACCTGGTGTCCCCCACTGGCGACAGCTGTCGGTGCACCGCCGACCGCACTGTGACTGCCGCTGTGATCGCCGCTGTGATCGCCGCGCTCGATGCTGTTGCTTTGTTGGGCGGCCAGAATGAATCACAGCGGCGGCGGCGACGTGGTCGTTGTCCTGTTCCTGCTCTCCCTCCTCCTCCTCCTCCTCCACTATCTCCTCTGACTCCTGGTCGTGCTGGTGCTGCTGCTGCAGCTGCTGCTCCTGCTCCTGCACCTGCACCTAGGCGTCCTTGGGCTCCTCTGCGTCCTTGCACTCCTGCACTCAGTGGGCCATGCATCGGCGTTAGTCCGCCATTTATTTATGCACTTTTAGCCTCAACTATTTAGTGGTGATTATTATTCATTTGATTAATTAAACTAAAAGCTCATTTTGCGGCACAGTCATTTATTACAGCGTCAGGATAGCGATGTCCTGTTATTTTAGCCGTTGTTGTTGCCGTGTTGCTGTGTTGCTGTGTTGCTTTGGCAATTTATCTCACACGCGTCGCACACATTTATCTATAATTAATTATTTTTACTTGTTGCCAGCAAAGCGAGCGACAAAAAAGAAATCACTTGGCTGCGCCACAGTCTGTGTATCGAGTTGTGTGTTGTGTCCTGTGTATTTATTCGAGGATTTATTTAATTATATTTGTTTTGCTCTATAAATCACAAAGCAGTTTGCCCGCAGCTCCCTTTCCGCCCTTCCCTCTTTATTTAACGTTGGCCCAATTTAAATTGTGTTCAGCTTAAAGTGTTGTCGAATTTATATATATTTATCGAGTTACTAAACGTCCTATATAAATGCTTTGGACGTAATCTCATTTGCTAGCTAAACACAATATTTTATAATATGTGTTTTATAATACATAATACTTTGTGAGTTCTTTTATAAAAATCTAAATGCATCATTCAATGGCCGAGTTGAGCTCTTTAAAATTAAATCAAGTCCATTAAAAATTGAAATGGCCTTTGATCTAGTTTTTAACTAGGCTAAGTCTTTAAAAGAAAAAATTATAAAGACATTTATTTAATGATTATGACATGAATTTAAAGTTGTAAATTATATTCAGTAATTTATAATATATGAATATATTAAGCAGTAAAAGAAATTACTAAATTTCCATATATTATTATCAAAAAATATATAAATTTGAATCGTTGGTTAGTTATACTTTAATCGGGACATAAAATATATTGTCAAATTTTAAATAATGAATTATAATTTTTATTTTATTCCTAGTGGCTATTCTATATTCCTTCCTATTCCTGTACCCTTTTGTCATTAATAATTCCTGCTGAGAGCGAAGAGATCAGTATGAGAGAGAGTTATAGTTAGGCGTTACTCATCTTGTTGTCATATTGTTTGAATCCTTAAACAAACACGAAAAATATCTCCTATCGTAAACTTTATAATCTTATCGTTTTTTTGTCTTTATTTGACTTTTGTTTTATAAAATGTTCTGAATTAAAGAGAGTTTAAAAGAAGACTTTTAATCTTCTTCATAATTCTCTATATTTTGTATTCACAAAAGATAAAAATAATCCCCTTGAGATAAAGTCTGAAAATGTCTAGGCGTAGGCGCTTTAATTAGCATATCTACATATATGTTTATAAGGACTAGCCAGAAAAAAAGGAAAACAATGTTGCACAATGCTCTCTCTCTCTCTCTCTCTCTGTGTGTGACTATGAGTTCCTCTTTTTTACTTTAGGCTAAATTCGGTGCTCTTACTGCCATGAGCCTTCTTCGGTGTTATTTTAAAGTTGCTCTGCAAAAACTTTTTGCAACTCGTGCTCAAATATTTTGTTTGTTATATTGCTAGCATAAATTTGTTGGCTATCTCTTGGAGCAACACGAAGTGAACGAAAGAGGGGGAGAGAGATGCGCATATATTTATAAGCGCATACATAAATACTTTTTGGGCTGGCAGCAAATGCATAAATTTCATGTCTACATCTGCACGGAGATATGACTCGGGAACTGCTGCTCGGATGCTGCTCAACGGTCATGTTTGTGTTTATGCAAAGGAGTTTGCCAAAGTTTTTTCGTTTCGTTTCGTTTCGGGTGCTGCCGAAAAGTTTGCTTGTTAAGTGAAAGGATTATATGATCCAGTTGCTTTGCCGGCAGGAAGGGGCAAAACTTAAAAATACACAGCCGAATAAAACAACAAAACTTTTCCTATTTTTATGTTGTGCTGCTGCTGCTGATGCTGCTACTGATGCTGCTTTTGCTGCACCTAAGAACGAATCCCATACACACAACACAGCAACTTGCCGCAAACTTGAGTTGTGTTGATAGTTTTTATAGCCTACTTTTCTGGGCCGCGCTCACGAACACCCCAAAAGAGGACGAAAGTTGCGAATTAGTGTGTCTTAGAAGGGGAAAAGGCCAGGCAGCAGAGCAGCGCAGAGCTGGGGAAAACTTTTTGGCCAGCTTGTCCCGTTTAGATTAGAGCCGTCGATAAGTTTCAAGTTTGCCACATTTGCCATGTGTTTAGTTGGCAACTGTGTGTGCGTGCTGAAGAGAGATTGCACACTCGTCGCTGCGTGTGTGTATGGCCAAGCTCAACTAGTTGGCAACTTGGGAAAATGAGGAATGTCGAAGGGGAGGATCTTAAGCCACCACTTGAAAGGAGCTTGGGGCATTTGTTTAGCGATTTTCGCTTGATTCGGCCAATAAAGTTAATTTCTTTCTACACTCCCCCGAAAAGGAGGGAAAACTTTTTGCCCTGCTTCAGTCTCTCTTCTTACTCTCTAAATGACATTTTTATATCATTTCGATTGTTGTTTCTTGGCCGCACAAAACTTTTCCCAAATTGCAAGGGACAGACAGCGAGAGATCCTAGCTCAAAAAATTTCCATAGCACGCGAGGGAATTTCCACGGCCTAAGCATAAGCAAAGATGGGATCAGTGAGATAGTAATTGCCAAAGAAAAAAACAGGTATTAAAATGTTTCGCTTTATCCTCGCCAGCCTAAAAGTTTATCCTTGAGTTAAGGCCACGTTTATTTGCACGTTTTAAACTTGCTTTTTATGGCTGTTTTGAGATATAAAAGGCAGTTTTGTGGCTCGCATAAATTATATTTTCCCCTGATACTAAGCTTACTTATTCACTTTTAGTTTGAAATGATTTTTAAAGGAATTTATATGCACTCTTTAAGGTTGTTTTTTAATGGCTCCAAGTATTAGATTACTGCGGTTCCTTATTTACTTTTAGTTTGAAATTATTTTTAATAGATTTATCTGGGGACTTGATGCATTTAACGCAGACTCCTGCTAAGGCTGAAGGACCTATATCCATAAATATAAATACGTTTAATGGTCGGTAAAGGACGAGACAAACAACAACAAAATGTGCCACACCAGCACCCTGTCTATCGCTCTCTCTTTCTTTATATATATATATATATCTCTCTCTCTTGCTGAATTCCTCTCTCTCTTTCTGTACTACGTGTATGTGTGTGTGTGAACTTCGACAGGCATGACGTTGATAATATCCTTGCACATGCATGACGTTGCTGCTGCTGCTGCTGCTTCTTCCCTCGCCTGGTTATCCTTGCAACAGAAGGCGCAGCCTTTTCAATATGCCATCGGAGGGAAAGCAGCATTGCCCCAGCCACCAGCAGCATTCGCTTTCGCATTATTATTTGTTGTTTTCGCTCGCATCCTTCGCATCCTCGCCCATTGCTTGTTGATATTTTATTAGCCCGACTTTTGTGGGCCAAACAACACGCAAAACAACAAAAAATAACACAAACACACACACAGGGACACACACAGTCACTGGCAAAAAGGAAAACTTTTTTTACACAGCTCCTTAATATTTTCGCAGCGAGATTCTTGGCAGTTCGATTGCGATTTAAATTTTCGGCCCCGCGTGCTAAAAATATCTAGGTGGAAACAAAAAAAATAGAAAAAAAAGAAAATGGAAAATGCGAGGGCGAAGCAAAACAAGTCCGCCATATAACATGGAATCTCGACACGACTCGAATCTCTGGCGCGTTTCAAGTTTTTCCACCGAGTTTTTCTTTTCTTGTTCGTTGTTTTTGTGTTGTGTTGCCCCTAAATGTCTATGTGTGTGTGTTTGTGCGGGTCCTGCCGCTGTGTTGGTAAATATGTGTTAAGTGCGTTGGTATTTGCCTGTACCCTTGTGGCACGGCGCTCCCCCCTTCTCCTCCTCCTGGCTGCCACACAGCTGCTCTGGCATTTTTCAACACTTTTTTCTGTTATTGTTGTTGGGCGGGATTTTCATTTGAAGCGCGGCTGGTTTTCCGCGGCAGGTTATTCTTATTTTCTTGTTTTTTTTTTCAGTCTGCAACTTGTTAATTTGACTTTAATGCCTCTATATTTCCATGCCTGGCGACTGGCGCCTGACAATCGAAGCGACGCGATGCGATGCGATGCTCTGCTTTCGTTTGATTTTCCCCACTGAATTACAGGAAAAATACACCCTCTCTTTGGCTTTTGGTTATATTTTGCTTTGCGTTCTGTTCCCTATTTTCCTTTTTGCGTTTTTCCTGCGTTGCGCTTAACTTGTGTGCTAAATTATATGGTCTATATGGTCTATGGCCCGCTGTTTCCTCATGTGTGTGTTTGCCTGTGTGTTACTGTGCCAGTGTGTGTGTGTGTGTGTGTGTGTTGCTGTTTTGTAATTTGATTTCTTTTTTGCCGCCC